AACGTTAGACCCATTTATGTAGTCTAATTGCATTGCATTACTACCGTAGGCTTTTCTTCTCACTTCTCTTTCCCACAATTTTGTGTGTGTTTTCAATTTCTTTACATGGGAAAGATTCATTATATTCGTTTAGTGACATAATAATTTTATACTTCCTTGGCAAACATACTATGTCTGTGTGAAATTTGTTTCATTATGAAAGTTTATTATGAGATCATTTATCTTCAATTTTGATATGAAAGTGTGTGCAACTAATGCTGATTATGGTATAAAATTTTGTTAGAGACTTCTTATTGTCTTATAGGTTCATATTGAGAATCGACAAGATACAATTTCAACTTGGATATTTGATCATAATTTCAGCCATTTGGAGTGCACAACGGGGAGTAAGAGTATCAAGAAATACTCAGTGATTATGGTTAAATTTATTTAATGAATTAATTGTTATATTGTTGTTCATAAGTGGTAGCAGGTGTACTCAAAGTTTCATGGACTTGAGAGGTACTCTTGATCATAAGGTTTAATGTATGATGTATTTCCATTATACTTAACTGTATACCAATGCGTATTTAATTTCCAACTATACTGAGGTGAAATCCACTAATCATTTGTGTTCAAGATTGTGTAGGAAATATTTCCAATAACATGCAGGTTTAGAGCACGCTAAAATGGAGAACAAAGACATGACCTACATTATATATGCCTTGTGAAGGCTAGTCTTGATATGCATGTCGCGTGGAGGAGGCTATTAATGCAAAATGTCGAGGGGGATGTGCTTAAGCCCATAAGGGAGTCACCTAGGGAGGTAACCCAACTTCTGTGATTGGCGATCCACTAATCATTTGTGTTCAAGATTGTGTAGGAAATATTTCCAATAACATGCAGGTTTAGAGCACGCTAAAATGGAGAACAAAGACATGACCTACATTATATATGCCTTGTGAAGGCTAGTCTTGATATGCATGTCGCGTGGAGGAGGCTATTAATGCAAAATGTCGAGGGGGATGTGCTTAAGCCCATAAGGGAGTCACCTAGGGAGGTAACCCAACTTCTGTGATTGGCGATCCCATGAAGGAAGTTCAATGTGGTAGAAATAATCCATATTGCGTGACTCAAATAGCACTCATAAAACTAAGGAGATATCCTTGAGATATTCTTCTGCTCATCCCTAAGGCAAAAGTGCTATTTTATGTGACGTCAGGAAGGGACTTATCCCTAAATGAGTTTCAAGGCGGAAACTCCTGTAGGGTGCAGGTCACATGTACTCTTGGAGAACTCACCTAAGTGAGAGACATCGTGAGGCCGCGACTGTGAGAATTGGGCTATTCTCTAGTAACTCTCATGAGAATCAAAATTAGCGCTTGACCATAAATAGCGCTACCCCGCATCCAAGTTTCAACCAATACTATGAGTGGGATATGTTGAAGTTTGGTCAAAGGTGCCGAGTTCAATACTTCGTACACTCAGGTTCCTCAAATGGAGACTATCATCACTAAGTGAAGGTTCAAGCCCGAAAGGCACCTACACCTATTGCATATTATTATATTGCCCATATATAAATATATATTTTTCACAATTTTTCTTTGTCATGTTAAAATTTTGAAAACCTTGTGGGGGATTGTTGGAATTAAAAAAAAAGGTTTTAAAATTTTAACCATTTTTATTTATTTATTATTTTGGCTATTTTATTTTATTTATTGTGGGGGTTATAAATATTTAATATTCAGGTTTTATTTCTATATTGAATGCCTTAATTTTCTGGTTGGTGAAGGTTACATGTTATTGGATGCCTATAAAAGGCCACTCCTCCTTCACATTTGAACACACCACAATACACCATCAAGATATCGCATACCTCAATCACCACCACAAACTATTTCTCTCATTTTTCTACTTTTATATATATTCTCTACTTTATATTATTATTTTGGGCAATGGTTATGTGACTTGGATACCTATATCCGTCTATGAACGTGCTCATAGCGGATCTTGAGTTTGGGTACAAGGGGTCGTATCTTGAAGTCTTGTAGACCATCAGTACCTGCACGTAAGGAGGCTACAAAGGCTTTAGGACAGCGTCTTTGACGTGCTTCACCGTACCAAACTCACCTTCTTTCTTATTATTTATTTTGCTTATACTTATCTATTAATTTTTTTTTCAGTTTCATTGTACCTTCATAGCTTTCAAATTTGTTTATATGTTATTATAATATAAAGGTTTTTGAATTTGGATTTACAAAAGAAGAAAACTATAATTTTTATAACATGTTGTTTTGGGGGTGATCAAAATTCACCCAATTTGCCAAGGAAGAATTCCTAGCGGCCGGAGAATTCCTGGTGGGCGAAGAATTCCTATCGAGTGAGGATTCCTAGCGGACGAAGAATTACTAGCGGCCGAGAATTCCTAGCGGCTGGAGAATTTGTAGCGGCAAAATTCCTATTGGCCAAAGAATTACTAGCGGCCGAAGTGCTTTCTCAAAAAGGTGGCTGGTCTTTTCTTCAAAGGCTATGGTGCCTTCTCAAAAATGCGGCTGATGTGTTTTCTTCAAAGGCCGTGGTGCCTTCTCAAAAATATGGTCGAGTGTTCCCTTTACAAAAGTGGTCGGGCATATCCTTGCAAAAGTAGCTGGGCATATCCTTACAAAAGTGGTCGAATGCTTCATTCTCAAAAAGTTGGGTTGGGCACTCCTTGAATACCTTGGTTGGCCACTCATCTTACAAAAAGCTGGGCTAGGGCGAATTTTCTCCTTGCTCACCTTGGCGCCCTCCTCTCAACACTTGGGCAAGCAAAGTCGGGCCAAGGGAGTTGAAGTTTGTCGAGAGGTATGTTCACTGAATTCCCAATATTCGAATATTTGAGAACTCAAATATAGTCCAATGTAGGGCCAAGCCCAACATCCAAATATTTGGAGTTCCCATACCACCCATCTTGGCGGATGGTCGACAGATGGTAAGCCAACTCTAGAATTCTAAAAACTCAAGGGGCACAAGGTTCCACCAAATGTCAAGATGAAATCTCGAAGGTCAAGGCCCAAGCCACAGATTCACTCCCAAGATTTCCGGAGGTCAATGTGCATGTGATGGAGGCCTCACAAGGAAACAAATCAAGGAGATTGATGATAGTTCATCATATTCCAAAACATGAGAGAATCAAGCAATCAGAATATTTCCACCAATGTGATCCCACGAATTCAAGGGGCTTCAAAAGGAAAGAGTTTTAAAAAGAGTTTACATTTGGCCATTCAATGGCTAGCCCAAGGGCCAACAAACGCCCTATATAAACTTCATCAAACGAAGGCAGAAGACAGACAACATCAAACAAACAAAATTATCTTTCGTCTTGCACTTTTCTTTTCCTAGACTTAGGATTTTATTTTTCAGGCACCTAGTGTAGTGAGTTCTTCCTTTTTCTAGTGTAAGTTTATATTTTCTTGTCATTTAAATTCAAGTTTATTTCGATTCCTTTACATTTCATTGTTATTGCACTTCAATTAAGTTTAATTTCAAGTTTGTTTTTTTATCGTTCTTGTCGTTCTTATTGCTTTTATTTCATTCTCACTTTATTTATCGCTTTGATTTATTTTATCACACTTCAATTCTTGTCTTTACGTTTATACGCATATCTAGCTTAATTGCATTATTTTTACATAAAACCCTAAAAATCACAAAAACATCGGTATGAAACCTAACCATTCTCGAGCCTGAGAAAGTGATAGAATCTAGGCCAAGAGGAGGTTCCTTGCTTGGCCGATCAATCGTTTGGTCAGAAGTTAGAAGCGCAACACATCCATCTATTCTCATTCCACTCAAGCCCAAATCCGGGGCTTGGTGATGGCACACCCCGCATTCCAAAGAAGAAGGACCAAAAGTTCCTTCCGTCGGCTGTCTCGGTCGAAAAGAGGGAAACATAATTTGGCATGCCCAGTGGGACACACTCTATGAGCGACTGAAAGGAATGGCAACATTCCTAACAGCCGATGAACTACAACGGTTATGATTCTTATGGCCCGAATAGCCAATCCATCGGCCAATACTATGGTCAATTTAATTTTACCCATCAAGATGGGCTTAACAACTAATAAGGCTCAAGTAGTCAATTTGGTGGCCAATATGGTGGGCACAGCTATGTTGGAGGATTTGGTGACCAATATGGTGGGCATAACTATATTGGCGGATATAATCTTATGAACCAAAATGGTTCAAATGATCAAAATGGCTTTGGTGGCCAAACCAATCAAGGTGGGTATAGCGGCCAGTACGATTCTACATATCAATATGACTCTGGTAGCCAATTTAATGGCCAACATGACGGAAACAACAATTATGGCCAAAATAATATGATATATCAAAATTATGCGAATGGCCAACATGGCTATAATGGCCAGTACAATCAAGTGGCCAGAGGACAATACACTTACCCAGATGGCCAAAATAATCCGGCCAATATTTGTGATCAGCCTAGTTATGGCTCCCACCAAACGAATCATCCTAATGGCTAGAATGGCAAAAAATTTCTTAGCGTAAGTGAGAGGCCATATGTTGACCGAATGGACAAAGAACATCAAAAGTTCATAAAGGAAATATCTGAAGTGAAAGATGTATTTATGGAGATGGCAGTTTCCAACGAACTTTTGATTCAACATTTGCGTGAAATCTCTTTGCGACTTGTGACCGAAGAGCAAGTTCTTAGCCAACAAGCTGAGGGGCAAACTCTCAACCCCAACCTTGATTCTCAGTCACAAGAGGAAAATTCTCATGTGGTTGCAAGTCGGCCACCCATTCTACCTACTCCTCTAGAGGAAAGTAAGGTTAGTAAGGAATATAAGAGTGAGAAAAAGATGGGCGAGACGACCTTAGAATCAAATGTTCAAGTCGACTATCCTATTGAGAGCCTAACATTGGTTGAGGAAAAGGAGTCCACCCAAGGGGATGAGACCCAAAAGATGGTCACTGATGAAATTGCAATATGGTCCAACCCAAGGCAACCATCCTAGGGTGTAATGGCCTCTAGTGAAGAAGAAGGTCAGTGCACGATTCAAGATGCAATAATAATAGATATGATTGTAGGAGAAAAACTTGACATTGCGAGACCACAATTGCAAGTGTTCAAGTTTATTGAGCCCCAGCCAAAGGCCAAGATTGGCCAACCAAATGGACTTGCTAGGCATGAAGGGTCGGCCAAAGTGATGGCGAGAAGTCATCCGGGTAGTTCTAGTCATCCTAGTATTTCAACCCATCGCCAACAAAATCGCAAGATCCAAGTCAAGAATAAGAAGGGCTCCAAGTAAAACATGGTTGGCCACCGCCATGGTCTCCATGAAAATTATGTTATACGTGGCCACCAACTAGGTAGGCCATTAAGATTCAAATAAAGGTCATGGTTCATTCTTGAATGAATTGGCTACTTGGTTTTTTGAAAAAAAAAATAATAATAAAAAATAAAATAAAATAAAGGGCTCAAGATTGAGTTTCGTCGGCGGAAGATGAATGATGCCTTGATTTCGGCCATAGAGATGGAAGTTTGTGATTTTTGGGCAAAAGATTACTTTGAGCTATGTCCATCACCCAAGTAATCCGCTAGAGGGATTCACATCACTTCGATCATAATTAGATGGTTGGTTCACTCCCCATGTATACTCAGTGACAAAATGTTCCGACCACTTAAAAAGGCCAAAATGGCCTCAGCCGAACCACGGCCATCAACCAAAATGATTTTGGCTAAGACCCAGTCGTCGGTCCTAACCATGTGTTGGTTGAAGATGTTGCGAAAGTCACTGGAGGACCATTGTTCAGGCCAAATCATGCCACCTCATTGGAAATCCAACAACTCATCCGTGTAATAGAGATGTCGAACAGCCTCAACCATCAACGAATGCAAGAGGTGACTCAAACCATTCCTCAAACCATGGCCACTCGATCAATGAGTGGTTGGATTGATTGCTAGGCCAACCAGATGGCCAAAATAGGAACCAAAGGGCACCTAATGGAGTGCCGACGACGAGGCCTCAAGCTGAGCCCCAACCAAATATTTTTGGAGTGAATCCACCCAACCAAATCCACTAGCTGGGGGCAACCCAGCCCTAACGGTTAATGTTTCACCGATAGGAAACAACCCATATGCAATTGTATTCCAACCGATTCCAAGTGTTCCCACCATACAATCAATTTCACCCACAAGCTCACCTAGGGGCCGGAGCCAATTTTGTTGGGCCTTATATCAACCAATTCGCCGGAGTCGGTGGTTGGAATAATCTCTGCGAAAATACGAACAACCCATTGTTAGGAAACCAAGCAATCGATTGAGGTGAAATCGAACAAATGATTCAAGACATGGTGGCCCATGCTAGGAGGATTGGTAGGTTAGTCTATCGAAAGCCATATTCGGAGTACTTTGATCAAGATGAATTTTCTAGGGGGTTCAAAGTTTCGAATTTTGCACTATTATGGCCTCCAGTCGACCGTCGAATATATTGGCCGATTCACGGCCCAATGTGTAGAGATGGGGCATCGTGAGGCCTTGAAACTAAGGTTATTCCCAAGTACACTCACGGGGGCAGCTTTCTCAGGGTATGTCAAACTTTCACAAAACTCTGTCCCACATGGGCAAGTCATGGAGCAAATCTTCCACGACCAATTCTATCGGCCGAAGCAGGAAGTCTCAATGGCCAACTTGGTGAAGATAAGTCAAAAGCCAAATGAGTAGGTCCAAGAATACTTGGGGCAATTTAGAGAAGCAAGGGCTAGGTGCATAGTTAATATGCCAGAGCTTGAATTTGCAAAATTGGCCCAAGGAGGATTGTTACTTGACCTTTGAAAGAAATTAAAAGGAATTGAGTTCCATGACATTTATGATCTCTTACTTTCGGTGGACCAATACGAAACCCTTCTAAAGGAGGAACAACAAAAGGGGCAGCAGGCACCTCAACCAACCTTTTATAAGAATTTATTCAAACCCTCTGGGCCTAGAACTATGGCGGTCCACGCGGTGGACGTTGAAAGATATAGAGTCAGAAGAAAGAGATCAAGAGGTTTTACTAAAAGAGGAAGAAGAGTCGGTCAGGGTAAACTTGGTCGAGATTATGGCCAAAGGGCCATATATGTGCAAGGCTTTGGCTAAAGCCTTCAAGGATCAAAGGCCGACGATGGCCTAAATTTCCAAGTTTAGTGGAACTTCCCAAAAGACTTCATCGATTGGAAGATCTTGAAGTTTCCAAAGAAAGTTATCATGGGCATTCGACCAGAACCCTTTTCCAAATGCCCAAGTCAATATGGTGAATGTCAATTTCCCAAGGCCAGACCAACCTAGGCAAAGGTTGGACTTGTGTGGCTTAGCAAAGGTTGCGGCAGAAAGAAGGGCAAGGGAGATTCTGGAGGACTCTAAGGCAAAGCCAAAATGTACCATGAGGTGGCCAAGGTTCCTGAGACAAAAGTTTCAACTAAAGAAGAACCTCTAACAGCCATTGTGCTATGCAGTCGATGCCAATGTGAGGTGACTTTTAAAGTGGTTCTGCCAAAACCCAATGAAGCTAACCAAGGAACCTACCAAGGAGCTAATTAAGGAGCTAACCAGGGAACCTACCAATGGGCTAATTAAGGAGCAAACCAAGGATTAAGTCCAAGTGGGCAGACCTAGGAGTTTCGAAAGGAGTATGATAACAAGTCCGACCAAGAATTACAACCCACACAGCCCAAGAGGCAAAATGGAAGTAAGGCCGAACAAACAGCCATTGCATGAAAATTAAGATAGGTACGAGGGGCCACGATATCAGCCTAAGAGAAGAAATCAACATGCCCCTCTAAGGTGTGAAGACATTGAATCGCCAAACTCAAGCCAAAACAAAAGCATGTGGGTTTCGGTGGGCGAAGGCAAAAGCCAAGATGTGGCCTATGTATCAAGACCCCGCCCTGCAGACAGGAGTACTTTCAAGGTACTGAACACAAAAGCGGGCCAATGGTATAGAAGTATAGGCCCAAAACTCCCACCGGTACCCCTAAGCAAATGAGAAGGGCTCAAAGGCAATATGCCACCACTTGAAAGGCGAAGTTAGAATGGGCAGACAAAAGGCACTCAACTTGACCGATTGGTTGAGCTTCGAGAAAAGCTTCGATTGGAGGAATTCGAGTTGTTCAAGGCTAGTGCCGTCGCTTTCTTGGAGGCTGCCGCGGTCGAGGAGATGAAAATATGTCGAGAATGGGTGAATGGTTGAGTCGTAGTAACGACCCCGGAAGAGCCAATCTTGCAGTTGGAGGCCCATTTACGGGGGCTTTTGAGGCAAATAACTCTAAAGTGGAAGTTAGTGAGCCAACCAAGATGAGAGGAGATAAACCTCTTAAGGTTGAAAAGGCAAGGGCGGCTCCACCAAAAGTCAAGCCTCCAGTCGCCAAAGCCCTGGTCGTGACCGAAGTGGTCCAAGAAGACCAAAACATGGTCCAAGAAGCTGGGGATGAGCCTCATAAGATATTAAGCGAGCCTAGGGTGGAAGAAGACTAAGTCATGGTCGATGCCAAAGCCAATGTGGTAGAAGAAGAGGTTGAGCACACGGTCGAGGAAGAAGCTAAAGAGCCATTGGAAAATCTCGAAGGTTCGGCGGCCGAGGACAAAGAGCTCTATGGGGATGATGAGGAGTATGCTGATGACGAGTACTTAGAGGATTTGTCGGAGGAAGCTATGGAACACTTAGAGAAAGAACGCAATGAAGAGATGGCCAAGTTTGAGAATGAACTAAAAGTGGGCAAGGTCAAAGTGAAGTTTGGAGACTTTGACGAGGTAAATGCCATGGTTGTTACACTCCCACTATTTTTTGAAGCTCGGCCGGATCAACCTAATTATATGGACGGAGATGTGTTTGATGAGGTTGAGTCCATGGTCGAATTGGAAAGGGCCAAAGAAATTGAGGTGGCTCAAGAAATTCCAAAGGAGGGGAATGCCCAACCTTGCATCGTGGCGCCCAAAATGGAGGAAAAGTTGCCCGAGAAGGTGTGCTATGAGATGCCCACCAAGAAAATGTCCTCCCACCTTAAGCCCTTGTATGTGGGAGCTCATTTCGATGGAGTTCCGGAGAGCAAAGTCCTTGTAGATATTGGGGCTACGGTCAACATCCTACCCACCTCAATCATGAGGAAATTAAAGAAAGGCTTAGATGAATTAATTCCTACCGAGACAACGGTCAGTGAGTTCATGGGAGACACCGTGACTTCAAAGGGGATTATCCCACTCCAAGTTAGAGTATGGCAAAAGGTTAGAATGACTACATTCTTTGTGTTGGAGACAACGACCCATTTCAATGCTTGGTTGGGCCGAGATTGGATCCATGGAAGTAGTGTGTGCCCTCTTCACTTCATCAATTTTCACAATTTTGGCATCAGGATGGAAGTGTAGAGATTGTTCATGCCGATGCACGGCCCTGCATGGCCTCCGCTGATGCAGTGGAGGCAAAGTTTTATGAGGATGACATTGGGCCTCTTTATTTTATAGGGCCAGATAGGAATGGTCGACCTATGGGAGTCTCGGCCCAAAAGTTGATATATTTGGGGCACATGATGCCCAAGTAGATGGGGAGCGCCCCACTATAGCTAATTTTTTCTCCCTCAATGAGTGATACAACCATAGAGGGAAAGAAGAGGACAGCGGTGGAAGACACGTTGAGATGGCTATATGTTTTGGGTCTAAAGAGCGGCCGAGCATGATCCATTGCTAACGTGGTGGAATTCACACAAACTGAGATGGATGATTCGAATGCGAAAGTCCAAGACCCTCTTTTGGAAATCAACTTTGGGACGAAAGACGGTCATCAACAAATCTACATCAGTGGCCTAATGAAGCCAAAACTTAGGGGCAAGATGGAAAAGCTTTTAAGAGAGTTAAGGATTGCTTCGCTTTGGATTACATTGAGATGTCTGGATTGAGTCGTAACTTGGTCAAGCATCGTCTACCAACAACAGAAGATTTCAAGCCTTTCAAGTAATTGCCCCGCCGAATGTCGGTGGAAGTAGAATTACCAGTCAATGAAGAAATTGTAAGACTTGTGAAAGCCAAATTTATTAGGCCAAATTTGTAAGTCGTGACTTCGGGGTTTCCACCTGAAATTTCATAAAATTCTTGGTACACAAGAGGGGAATTGAAATTAAGAAAAATGAGGCTAGGTTTATCATTAACGCACCCCAGTCAAGGGGAAGCGATTCTAAGAGGGTTTGTTGAAGAGAGAGAGATGGGGAATAACAATGGGTGTGTTGAGTAGTTTTCGGGAACTTGACGAAAGCTCTGTCAAGCTCTGGAACAATTTACCAGAAGAGAAAATGGGAGAAGATAAAGGAATGGGGCTCGAAATTGCAGAGGTTTTAGGGATGAGAGATGAAGCTTGCTCTTTGGATGTGGTTTGCTTGCCATTTTTTGAGTTGTTTTGCTGGGTAAAAGGTGCCTCCCTTTTATAGGCGCTGGAAACTCCTTTTTCCCAAGAAAACCTTAATTGGTTCTCTCCAATGTTGCTAAGTCTTCTCTTCCATTTCTCTCCTCTTCCTTCGATTCAACCTCTTTTGTGAAATCTTCCTTTGTCCAAACACACAAAGACAAGATTTTTGGGAGCTCTAAGGCCTTCTTGCAGCTGCTTCAGTGTTAAACTCCTATTTTTAGCTACTACCTCACTTTCTTTCCTCCCTTATTTCATGGCAAGAGCTAGTAGGAGAAATGAGTGGGTAATGGTGCTGGTCTAAAGGGTGTTTTGCTCTAGTATCCTTTGGTTTTTTGGATGGCTTGTGTTGGGATTTGTCTTTGGCCATGTGCTAGAGATTCCCAGCAACCTGCATACATCGGTAACCTTTGGCTTTTGTCGTTGGTTTGGTCTCTAGCCATGTGCTAGAGACTTTCAGATATTTTATAGGTCATTTGGGCCATTCTAAGGTGATGGGTTAACCCATTAAGAGAATGGGCTAATTTCTTAGAGTATTGGGCTATTTTTCCTAAAGTATTGAGCTATTTTCTCTCCTTCATGCTTATCCACATATTTGGGCTCAAGAAATGGGCTTGAGTTTCAGGGCTCCCAAGTAGCCCAAACTTCCATTTCTCTGCTCATCAATGGGCCTCATGAAAACTCGTAACTAGGGGTGGAGCCACATTGGGACCAGTGTGGTCCCGGGCCCCCACTCAAGTTTTTTTATATTTTAAAAGTAATATACTGTTATGTATTTGTATATGTATATTATTTCAAATACTTTACGTTTTGATATGTACCCACATATGTTGTGGCGGACTTATTAAGGCACAAGGAGGTAGTTCAAATTGCGCCCTTACTCAGTTGGTGGTGGTGCACTCCAGATGTACAGATTACGTTATTTCCATTTTCAACATTTAAGTAAATGTCAATTAAAGTCAAAGGAGAAAGACAATTACTTAAGTTTACAATGTAAATAAGGAAGTACCCCCTATTTGGATTCAAATAAAAATACTAGAAAATCAAATTCCCACCAAATCAAAATATGAAAAATCGGTTTTAGTGTAAAATACGATTTATGATAAAAATGATGGCTCATTAAGTCAATATATACTTCATACTAAAATCCCATAAAATCAATTTTTCTTATTTGATGTGTAAGGAATAAAAGCCGCCAAAAATTATCTTGAGAAAATGATTATTCCGAAAAACCATTTTTCATACTTAGTTAATATTTTTTCATGTATGATATGAATGCATGAAGGGCCTAAGGTTGTTTTTAATTTGGGAAATTTTGATTTTTTTTTTCTTTCTATTGGGTTTAATGGGGGAAAAAGCTTTAAAGATATTTGCTAAATTGCTACTCTTTGTCTATCTCTTGCAATTTTTCTTGCTTAGAATGTATTTGTCTATCCCTTTGTCGAGAACAATTATGATTGCAACCAATAAGCAATATAATTCTTGACATATGTGATATATATATACATATATACACTATTTTTTTGTATGTATTGTGAGTTCAAATTTTTTATTCTTTATCATTTGCAAGAGGCCCCCACACACATGAAATCCTGGCTTCGCCACTGCTCGTAACCATCCATACCACAAACCACTCAGCAAGCCCCAGACATTCACGTGACTTGGGCCCACTTAAGCTTGTAGCGTGTCGTGTTGCTTATTTGCTTGGCTTGGCAAGTGTGCAAGTGTATATGACGAACTCTTGCGTACCCAAGTTGGGTTTTTTCCCAAGTTAGGTATCGTACTAGGCTAGAAATATATTTGGGCCTAGCCTTGGAATTTTTGGTCCTCAACAATCGTCAAACGGCAATGACATCACAAGATTGCTTGCAATTGGGAAACAAAGCAACTTTCCTAGGATGTTGGGGAGTATTGACTGCATGCATTGGAGATGGAAAAATTGTCCATCTACGTGGCAAGGTATGTATTCTGGTCACTTCCATGGACCAACAATTATTTTGGAAGTTGCGGCTTCATATGATCTTTGGTAATGATTATACCATGTAATATTATCACCTTAATGATATATATCCAATGTGGTCAACATTTGTAAAAACAATCTCTGCTTCACATGGTAATAAGAAGAAATATTTTGTTGCAGCTCAAGAGTGAGTTAGAAAAGACGTCGAACGTGCATTCGAGGTGCTTCAACCACGTTTTTCTATCATCTATGGGACCAAAACACACTGAAAGATATTATGATTGCATGCATAATAATGCATAATATGGTTATTGAGGAGGAGCAACATGATGAGAGATATTGTCGTCAAACCCATAACTTTGATAGAAGAGGGGGATATTCCAAATATAGAACCTACATGTGAGTGTTCACTAGGACTAGTAGAATTCATTCAAAACCATATTTGCATCAGAGACAAGCAAACTCATTGTAGGATCCAAGAAGATCTTGTCTAGGACTTGTGGCAACTACATGGAGGAGAATAAGTAATTGAATCACTTGGGAAATATAGCTTAATATGAAAGGAACAGAGTTCTAACATCTTATAGAAATAGACTTTTAACTATTGCCCGATCTTTTTGCCAAGATATTATTTTGAAGGCCTATAATGTATTCTGCTTGCATTAGTAGCATGTTAGTAGTATTCATTGCCATTATTCTAGAAACCTCACTTCGACGTTGAATTGGAACTTCTTTACCCCTAATAGCAAGTTGCTCTTACTTTGCAGCATACATCAATTGGAATTCCTCATCTTGTCTGCGCACATGTTCTAGTTTTTGTTTTCTTAATTCTTGGATTTCCATTTGAACATCTATTGCAGACTCTGAATTGCCATCTATTGGATTTTTACCCTTTCCCTAGCTTGCCAATTTCTTTGCAGCCTTTTTACCTTCTAGTCTTTCTATACATGTAGATTCTTGATTATCTTCCCCTAAATTTGTAACACCCCCAACCCAATTTAATCGTTCTATTCAATTTATTTCTATTTGTGAATTTACAATTTTGCCCTTGGGGGTAGGGTCATTTTAGTCACTTTTTTTATCCAGAAGGATTTTGGGGATTTGAGTCGCACCATTGCATAGAGCTCGCTCTTTGTAGACAGGTAGTAGGCTCAAATTGGAGTTTTCAAGAAGAAGTTGTGGTCAACAGAAGTGTAGTAGCACAATCGTGATTTTTGCTAAGTCAGATTTTAAATAAGCTAGAACAATTCTTCTCTCTCTCTCTCTCTCTCTCCTCCGCACGATACTCAACTTCAGGTGGCGTTTTTTCCTCCGTCCGGCTACCAAATTCGACGATTCTTGTTGCAACAGAATCGTCTCTTCCTCCTTTACGCATCCATACCCATTTCCACCTTAAAAAATCCAAGATTGGTCACGAGTTTGGATTGTAAATCAATGAAATTCGATTTCGTCATCAGAACTGTTCGTGCAATTTTCAGAGATTCCAGCGGCCAAAATTGTCGAACCAGGTAATCTTGCTTTGCGTACTCCAGAGGAAGAGCCCTCTCAGGGTTGAGCAACGTTGGCCTATTGTGAGTGGACATTTGTTTTTTTAATGTACTTCGTTTTTCAAATATGGAATTGCTTGCATAAATGTGTTTTGATTGATAATTGATTTAATTTGGGTTAATGAGGATATGAGATTTCTAAGGGTTATTATTTTTTATTATTTAAGTATATGGATTTGGGTTTCGAACTATGGTGATTTTGGATTGGATGACATTGGGTTTGTTTATGATGGTACATTGTTGTTTTAATTGTGGAATATAGTACTTTATGGGAATTGCATGTGGAAACAAGTTTTGTTTATTATTTGAATTATTTTGGGTCTTGATGGGATTATGAGATTTTGTTATAGCATTTATGCTTTTGAGAGTTTGATATTTATATATGTATAAATATTTGGGTATTGAGTTATGAAAGCTATTATTGTCCAGATGCCTATGTATATGGGATTGGGTACATTGGGATATTGAGAATTTGGGAATTTGGTTTGGGTTGTGAGTTTTTGGGAAATTGAATTAAGGGAGGGTATATTATATATATATATATGGGTTTATGAAAGTAGATTTCAGATTTTGGCTATGGGATATACGACATTATATGTACCTCCCCTTGGATATTGTTGGTTACTTTATCCACACGTTGAGCTGGATTTTCCGGCGTGTGGGCTCACCTGAATATTGATTACTGTTACTTTACCCACACGTGGCGTTTGATTTTTCGGCGTGTGGGCTCCTTTGGATACTAATTACTAGTTACTTTACCACATGTAGCGTCGGATTTTCTTGTGTGTGGTAAAGAATCCGAGCACATTTAATATTGGTTACTTTACCCACACGTGGCGTTGGATTTTCTGACATGTGGGCTCACTTGAATACTGGTTACTATTACTTTACCACAGGTAGCGTTGGATTTTCTGGCGTGTGAGCTCACTTGAATATTGGTTACTATTACTTTACCACAGGCGGCGTTGGATTTTGTGGAGTGTGGTAAAGATCTTGGCACCTTTGGTCGGGTGTGCCATAGGCCTTGACGGGCAGTCTGCCCACTTAGGATATGGTTTGGTTTGGCCACATGTGGTGTTGGATTTTTTGGTGTGTGTGCTGTAGAGCGGTAGTCCCCTGGTTGGATACCTTATCCCTAGACGCAGGACAAAAAGTTGAAACCCTGTGGGCTAGTCAAACGATCCCCGTGTTGGATTGTTTTCCCGATACAAGTTTTGGTGTAGTGGTTATATATATATATATATATATATTTCCTTCTTATTTATTTGAGGATCCTTCCTCGCTTGTTGTGCTTATGAGCATGTGTCTTGGAAGAGAGTGGTCTGGGAAAGGGAAAAAGGTCCAGTTTAAGTTTGTGTTATATGCTATATTATGGGAGTATGGGATACTTTGGTTTTTAAAGAATGGAATGTCAAGCATGTAAATTTGATTATATATAATCAAATATGTATGTGGGTATTTGTGTGGGTATATCTGTACATTTGTTTCCAAGTTAAGTTTATTGAGCATGTGCATTGAGACAGCTTTGCACAGGAATGAGCTTTTGAAATGAAGTTTGGAATTAAGATTGAATATTTGGGAATTACTAAGCATATTGCATTTTTGGCAAGGGTATGGTTTTTTCATAATAAGGATTTTGGGTTTGATGTTTATATTTCATATTAAGGACAAAATGTTGGAGCCTATGATGTTTTCAAGAAAGTGAGGAAGTATTAAAGATTTGGTTTTCATTATGGTATGCTAAGCTACAAATTAATTGAATTTACAATAATTGCGAATATCAGTCGGTAAATATGTACTTATACAAAAGAACTTTGTAGTATAGTTTTTTGACAGTATTTTATAAAATAGAGGGGGTTATTTATATTGAATATCAATTATGTTTAACATTTGTTTTTCGTCCACTCACATTTTCTATTTTGCACCCCCTAGGTCCTAGATTACGAGGTCAAGACCACCACGTCGAGGCATCACGGTTGTCCGCTACTGCAGGAATTTTCCCTTATTTTTCTCTACTTTTTTTTTTCCTCAGGTTGTAAACTAATTCCTTAGTTGCTCTGTTTACTCATTTGACTTCGGGTAGAGGGCGTTAATCCCATTCGAATAGTTTATCTATGGTGTGTGCTTTAGCATTGTGTGTGCTAGCTGTTGGGCCTATTTACTTTGCTGTTTTTGATAGGTGGAAAAATTGGGGAAAAGTCCATTTTTTAGGGGAGATTCTACCGAAATTTTGGCAGTAGTCGACTTGTTTATCCCTTTAAATTGGGGTTGAAGGGCTTTTTTAGTAAAAGGATCCGTCATAGGTTAGTTGTCGGACGGGAAGCAGGGTTCACGAATTTCGAAGGGGAATCCAAAGCAGGTCCTGTCAAAACTGACTACTTATGGAATGCAAGGAGAAGAAGATACAGGGCTTGCCTTTTTATTTGTCTTGGGTTTTTTCTTGCAAGTTTCAGTAATCCATCTAGGTTGATCCTTCAGTAGATACTAATAATGCTCATGCGCAATGCAGATCCCATGAGTTGTTGATGCATTTCTTTTGCTTGCAAGATCTGAACAGTATTTTAATAATCAATCAACCGGTTTGTAAAAACACAAATCGTGAAACAGTTTGTAAATTAGTAATTTTGGCAGGAATATTACCCTGTCTTGTTAACTCACACCACTTTGAGACCTCCCTTCAATCTTGGCCATGTATTCACAGAATTGGAAGTGCATTCAGAAGTAAACTTCTTCTCTGCCATCCAGTACTCATGAATTCTATTCTAATAGGTAGAACTCTTTTGCTCGTTGCCATGCACTCTATCTAAACTAACATTGAGCCATGCAGACACAAGAAGCATATCTTCTTCAACAACAAAATTCTTAGCTCTTTGTTGTTTCTTGGTGATTGATCCACTTAGAAGAGTCACTTGAGGCACTTCATTGTCACCTTCATTTTGAGTAGTAGGCATGTAACCAAATGTTAAAAATGGATCATTAGGGTCCACCTGTCCATTGAGGATGTTGGCATAATATGCCTTATCTACATAATCTATCCACATGTCCATTAAGCCTATCAGATTGAGCCGTGGAGTGGGGAGAAATAGAACCACAGTTCATAAAAAATACGAACATTGCAGAGAAGCATAAGATCTTAACAAAAATTAATGAGAAGCTCTGTGAAGCCACACGTATAACAGTTTGCAGGCATAACAAACCCTAAAAATGCATTAATCTCAACCTTGCCTAACTTGAATTTGTTGTAGATATTCAAATACTTTGTAAATCATATCAATTTTGAAATTTCCTCTAGGATGACTAAAAAAGCGGGCGAGACGGGGGGGGGGGGGGGTGAGGCTAATTCGAGATTATTAACAATAAATAAAAATAGACTCTCAAAGCAGAATTGATATGGTTTATTAATCCTGAAATGTGCAGAGTTTAAAGTAAAGGAACACACAGATATTTATTTTACATGGTAAAACCCCAACTCTGGGGAAAATCCACTGGACTCCTTAGTCCAAACAAATCCAATATAGAATGAAGATTACAAGAAGTACTCACACATATATCCTAGATGCAATCTAGATAAAGTTTACCGACTTTTTGGTAACTCAACTTCTGTCATGGGATGATCTTCGACACTCCTTATGTTGAATGCAATACTGGTTGCGATTGCTTCAAGCTCGCAGGACGATGAACGCCACAACGGTCCTGGTGCCCTCAACTAAAGATGAAAGGATTTGATAAATCACCACGTAAATAAGGAACAATTGATGACTTATTTGAAAAATATGCACAACAGCTTTCTCTTAAAAATTCAACATGCTCAAAAACAATATGTCGAAAGCTGTGTCTTCTCAAAAGAGAGTCACACTTCTTTTATTTAAAGCTCACTCTCCTAGTCAAACCGAGACCAAAGAGTCCACAAGCACTCTACAATTATGACTCTCAAATTTAATCCAACACGGACTCTAACGAAAGACGTCAAAACATGGAGACCAAATACTATTCAATTATGGATATTAGTTTTGATTCAATATGGACTCTAAGTGATGACACCAAACAGTCACTTTTTTGAAGAAATTATTATCACCTAAAACAAGCTAATTAGGAGATGAGCACAGTGCATGTCACTATAGGAAATGCTAATATTTTAACTTAAATCACAATGGCATTGAAAATAACTTCAACTAGGAATCCTATTGTGAATGCATGATGACAGGACCTGCCCTAAATCCTCAGAATCCGTGATGAATCCTTTGGTTTTTTCGACATCCAACCGATGCCGGTCCACATGCTAACATCCTAGCCTCTCTTCCAAATCAAATGAGGAGAGAGTCGAGACTTTTTCCCGAAATTTTGGCAAAGTCTAACCTGAAAAATGGACTTAACCAAAATTTCCAACCTGTTAAAATGCAGTTTAAAATTCCCAAACCTTAGCAAGCACAATCGTAAGTAGTTGTAAAGACTCAATCCACAATCATTCATCAATCTAAAATAGGTTTCCGCCCCTGTCACAACCACAAACCAAATTAAAGTCCAATAATATGGTTTATCTTGCGGTTGCACCTGGGTGAGACCACAAGCTACCTACATACCCTTACTGAGGGATCAAGCCACACGTAGTTCTTCGATCAATAATGACGAGTCAGGTAACATACAATTATTTTCAGTAATATCAACAAGTTAATTTTAGGATCATCTTTTCCTTAATAAAATCACAATATGCAGTCTAATTCTTTAAACATTACTCCTTCTTCCCAATATAATATAATAATCCATTTTCCTCTCCTTGTTACTTTACTACATGTCGGAGAGTTCAACGCCACGTGTAATAAAGTAACAATAATCAATATATCTAGATCCTTTACCACACACCGGAATAATCCAATGCCACGTGTGGTAAAGTAACCAGTATTCAAGTGAGCTCACACGCTAGAAAATCCAATGCCACCACTATGCCAAATTTCACTTTCCGACTACATAGGCATCAACACAAATATTTGGGGGAAGAAATGAAATACTGATGCTGTTAGTATATTAGGCATCGATTTTATAAATAATAAGACTAAAAGTATATAAAGGCATCAGCACAAATATTTGGTTTTTACTACCGATGTCATTGATTATACTTAGCATCTATGATAGACATATACTGATGTGTAAAATTGTTAGGTGAAAAATAAATTTAAGCGCCAATTTAGCTTAGATGCCAAAAGCCTACAGTTGACCGCTATAGTGATTTTTCCCTAAAAAATTTTAGTCCCTTGTGAATATTTTAGATTTCCCCTTTCTCACCAAAAATTTTCCTCTCTCGATACCCACAGACGACAGTGAGCTACCATCTTCTCACCTTCAAACTCCCTCTATTCTTTCTCGCGATACCCTCATTCACCCTAAACCTTCTCTCGCTATATCCACAGTCACTGTCACTCTGTCATCACTCTCTCATCCCATCACAGACAGTCACTCTGGCTGCCTCCTCTTTGTTTCGAGATTTGTGCTCGTCGGTCATCTCCTTCCTTCCTCTTGATGCTTCTTCTTTAACTAGGGTTCGTAACTCTGATCCTTTACCGGTACATGCTTGCTTTTATGATTCTGAGACTATCATTTTGTACACTTTATGCTGCATTTTTAGCTTTTTTTACCTTAATTTTTCTGTTTGTGGATCTGATCCCATATTTGCGTTTTTCTGTGTGTGGAATTTCTGCTACTTTCTGGGATCAATTTTTCTAGATGTTGAGAGCTAGCCCTGTTCTTTGTTATGGATTTGAGATTGCTCATGTTCTCTGTGTTGTGAATTATTTTCTATTTTCTAAATGTTAGTAAAGTCATAATTTGGCATATCTACACACAACATTTTTTGATTTGGGTAATTTGTTATACATATAATTTTCAAGTTTAGGGTTTGATTATTCTTCATGTGAGTTCTATTATTTTTCATAGATGTTGCATGTTGCAATTTGAAGCTTATTTTTTAGTTTGTTAAGGGTTGTGGTTTTTTGACATTGTTTACTGAAAATGGGTGCCTTCTTTCAGAGACTGGGTAAGGGCACCACAATAACCTTCAACAACTCATTTGGAGGTCAATTGAAGTCCAAATTTTGCATTCCCTTCGGAGCTCATGCATTTGCCTTTGGTGGAGTCTCTTATCTCTGCCTATACTGAATCTTGATAACTATAAGTAAGACAAAACATCTTCCTCTTCAATCTTGAGTGTATTTTTTTTCTCACTATTTGAGTTTTGAGTTTTGTATGCTTCCATTTATGCTTTTATTATTTCTATTTGGATACCATTCTGTTTAAAACTATTTGAATACTTTGGTTTGGTCTTTGAGAGTTAGTAAAAAAACTTTGGTTCTTTGTTGGCAACTGTGGGAAATATTGTGATGCAATTTTATTTCAATGATGGAAGGTCAATGTTGTGCTTGTAGTTTCCATTGCAATGGATGGCTTAGATTGTAAATTTGATGCTGTTTGTTTGAAGCTTTTTGTGTTTGCATGGTTTTTTACTCTGTGTGATTCATATTCACAAATAGAGAATCCAATGGTTGGTTGATATATAGTTTTCAAAGATTTCAAGCCCATTATTCTGTTTTAGGTTCAACCACCAATATTAAAAGCCAAAATTCAAGCTCTAAAACAAATTATTTAGTACAAATCCAAGGTAACCAACTTACCTTATTAGATTATGCTTGTTTTAGCCAATTAATCATTACTTTCGGATAAGATTAACTTTATAATTAAAAAAACATTTAAGAGTAGCCCCTAATTCTATTGTAGCCTACCATCCAAACCCACCAAAAGGTGACACATTCGCAATTCCTTTTCCTTCCTGTATGCATGCCTTTTTATTGATTTAGAGGCATTAAATATAAGGTTAGAAACTATGAATATCCATAGCAGCACCATGTGGTATGTAATTCATGTAACATCATTGCAATTGAGCTTAATTGCATGCAATTGGCTGCTAACCTCTTTGTTTTGAATATAAACTAGTGTTTCCTCTAACTTGATTGTGTATTGGTAAAAATGATGGGTTAAGCAATTATGGAAAAATCTTGGATGCTTGCCGATAGGAGAAGTAAAGAGTATGAAGAGGGAGTTGAAGAATTTCTAAGGATAGCATTAGCAAATGCTATTGATCATGGATGTATTCGTTGTCCATGCCAGAAATGTGGGAATACAAGAAACTTTACAATTAGAGTAATAAGGGAGCATATGTATTTTAATGGTTTGGACCAAACATACAAGGATTGGATATGGCATGCCAAGCCTATTGAAATAAATGCTAGTGAAATTGTAAATCAAGAACCACAACAGGAACGTGATTTTTTGGTGAAACGGTTGACAAGTGCGAAGGTGCACAAGAACACTTTACTGAAAATCCAGAGGAATTTAAGAAGTTTTTGGAGGAAGCCGGGAAGCCTCTTTATCTTGGGTGTCATAAGCACACCAAGTTATCAGGATTGGTTAAGTTGTACAATCTTAAAGCAAGGAGGACGTTGGTGATTTGCTCTTGATCGATCAAGAGCTACCCTTGTCTATGTATGAGACAAAGAGGACGTTGAATGCATTGGGATTGAAATATGAGAAGATACATGCATGCTCTAATGATTGCATTTTGTATACGAAGAAGTATCATGATTTGACAAGCTATCCTAAATGTGGCCTTTCAAGATGGAAGGTGACAAAGAAGAACGTAGTGAAGAAAGGGGTCCCGACAAAGGTTTTACGGTACTTTCCTCCTATCCCCAAGTTTAAACGTATGTTTAAGTCCTTGGAAACATCTAAAAGTTTAACTTGGCATAATGAAGCTCGAATAAAGGATGGTCGATTGCATCATCCAGCTGATTCTCCGTCGTGGAAGATGATTGAATATAAGTGGCTAGATTTTGGGAGTGAGCCAAGAACCTTAGGTTAGCTCTGTCTTCGAATGGAATCAATCCATATAGTTCACTTAGTAGTAGATATAGTTGTTGGCCAGTGATTTTGGTGACATATAACCTTCCTCCAGAGTTGTGCATGAAGAGGAAGTTTATGATGTTAACATTGTTAATTTCTAGCCCTAAACAACCTGGCAATGATATAGACATCTACTTGGAACCATTAGTTGATGATTTAGCATTACTATGGGATGGGGTGGAGGGAGTCTATGATGCTTTCTGGCAAGAGTCATTCACTTTAAGAGCTATCCTTTTATGGACAATCAATGATTTTTCGACATATGGTAACTTGTCTGGGTGCACTATGAAAGGGTATTATGCATGTCCAATATGTGGTGACAAGACATATGTGGAAAGGTTGGAACATGGAAATAAAATGACATTCACTTGGCATCAAAGATTCTTATTGTAGGGGTTTTTTTGTTCCAGCAGCCTGACGAATGGGCCTGGGCTGCTGTAAGAATACAACGAGCAAAATCCCCCAAATGCTTGAGTTAGAAACCAAGCTCCCAAGAGAGTTTTTAGAAAATCTGATGAGATTTTAAAAGAACACTCTCAGGATCACTTTACTAACACCCAAATAAGCATGATGATTTTACTAATGACTTAGCCTGAGGAGCATGTGCCATGAGAGCTAAGCTTTCACGAGTTTAGCAATTTGAGAGAGAGAGAGAACAACATGAGTTTCTTGCAGAGGATAAAATCTAAACTGGGAACGAAGGAAAAATTGGCAAGATTTTATCTCAGGGAAAGAAGAAAACAACGGAGAAAGAGGATTGGGTGGCTTGAGTAGATTCCAGGTTGCTTGACAAAGCTTGGTCAGGCTCTGGTTTCTTACAGAGGAAATATTAGCACGATTCCTATCCTAAGGGAGAAGAAGGATGAACGAAAGAAAGGTTTGGGTGGCTTGAGTAGATTCCAGGTTGCTTGACAAAGCTTGGTCAGGCTCTGGATGGTTGATTTTTCTGGGTAGCAAAAGTCTCCTTTTATAGGCATTAAGAGCTCTGATTTTGTCTGGTCTTCCTCTTCCTTTTTCCTTGGTAGCTCCTACTTAGCCCTATTTTCGTGCAATTCTCTTATCAAGGCGTATGGGAAAGGAGCCATTGTGGTTCCAACAAGTTTGACGCAGCTGGAACTCCCCACAAAGGTGAGGCGCCACTTTGCTTTCTCTCTGCGTTTTCAAAACAGAGTTTTTAATGGGGAAAGAGATGGGTGGAGCCTTTTGTCCGATGGGTATTTGCCCTTTACCCATGAATTTCTGCTGATTCTTGCCTTGACCCTTTGTCTGACTTGTTTGGAGTCTTATCAGAGGTGGAACACGATGACAGCTTTTGTACAAGCTGCTGGACTGGGTTTGTGCGTGACTTTTGGGCTGCTGGCCTATTATTTCTAGTGAATTTTCGTCAAACTGCTGGAAAGGGTTTTTAACCCTATTGATGTGGGCTGGACTAAATATTTTGGTAGGTTTTTTGGTGTCTTCCTAGAGCATGGGGCAATTTTTCTCTTCTCTCTCATGCTAACCCATGTGCTTGGGTTCTAGGAATGGGCTTGAGTTTCAAAGCCCCCAAGTGGCTTGAAACTTACGTTCCTTGAACCCTCAATGGGCCCCGTAATTGCTTGTTTCCTTCCATACCACAACCTTCTCTGTAAGCCCCGGTTAATTTTGTGGCTTGGGCCCACTTAGGCTTGTAGCGTGGTTAGGTGTGAGATAACGTTTTTGTGCTTGGCATGGCATGTTGCTTGGCATGTTTTAATTTTATCGTCCTTGGGAAGGACTGCGATGTTTAAGTTTGGCATGGGCTTGTAGAGCCGGTATATTTTATCTCAACCCCTAGCATGGCTAATTTATTTAGCATGGCATGTGAACTACAACTCGCATGTGGCGGGTTTTCGTGTACTCCGCTTTACGCTTTTCCTTAGTAGAGTGTCATTTTGGGCTAATAATTTATTCGGGTCCAACCATGGATTTTTTTGGGCCTCAACATTAGCCCCCTTAATTATAAGGGCCATGGACAAGTGTTGGAATGGGCCGAATAATTAAACCCAGCCCAAAAAAAATCAGATTTGTATTTGTAGAGAACTTCTTCTCTTCCCGCGTGCAAAATGACGGCGCATCATGATTGGTTCCAGCGGTTATTTGCAGTTTCCCAACGCCAACCGCCTTCTTCTTCTTTTATTATTATTTTCTTCCTTTTCTTCCTTTCTCCCTCGTTTCTCGCACCAGACCCAACCTTCTTCCAATTTTCTTTTCTTCGCTCCCTTCCCCTTCTCCAACAGACTCAGACTAAGTGAGAGAGTGAGATCGGGCAGAAGTCATCTGCCTCCAATCGTTGTGAAGAAGCCCATGCCAAGTTCGACTCCGCCGCCCCTCCCTTATTCGAAGGGCTCCGTTCGTCGCTGCTGAAGGGGCCTCCTTGTGCGATTTTCTTCCAAAAATCCCCGATTTCTCTCCTTTTCTTGGTGTATTCAAGATCCTTCTTTGGGGAATTCAACAAGGTATGCTTTTTCCCTTGTTTTCTCTTGAATTTATTTGGGAAATTTGCTGGGTTCCTTTCATCCATGAATGTTGCCCTTTGTTATGGCTGTGAAACACCAAACCCTCTCTTGACCTATTTTGTTATTGCAGCAACGTGGGTGCTTACAGCGTGGGTGCTAGCAAAGAAGGATTTGCATCCATCTTCCCAGGTTCTCTTTTCTTTGGTTTGCTCGAATTGCTGGAAAGGTACCAAATTTTGTGAGAAGAAACCGTTAGCTTGGGTTTGTCCCCCTTTTCCTCTTCTTTACTTTTATCTGACCTCTTCTTTGTATATGAAAATGCTGAACTTGGCATGATGTGCTTTCTCTTTTGTTTATTTCTGTGCAGGTGCATACGTCTCAGGCATAGGTGGGGCAGGTTCTAGAAGCCTTTGACGTTTCTGCCGCTGGAACCTTCAAATCCTCCAGCTTCTAACTTGGATATTTAGGACTTCCGTTTTATTCTTTTGGTAAATAGCTCTGCCAATTTGAATATTCTAGGAATAAGCATAGACTGGTGCTTGGCCCAGGCTTACTCCCCTTGCGAACATATGCTTGATTAATTGTAGAGTTTGTTCTTGGCCGTGAGAAGTAGAAGTTGACAGAACGCATGTCTTGCAATGCTTGATTTTTGTTTTGAGAGAGAATTTGCTTGGCATGCTTATTGATTCACAGGATGAGAACTTTGTTTGTCGCGAACTTGGGTCATAAATTGCATATTTGCTTGAACCTTTTTTTTTTTTTCTTTCGTATGCAGAGATTTGCCATTTTGCCAAAACTGGTCATGGCATCCGCTAATCTATTGCCCATTATTAGGGACCCATTTATCCCCTAGATGACAGATTAAAAAGAGTGAGGCCTCCTCCTTTGCTTAAGAGCGCTGGTGAAGACGTATTCATTTAATGGAGAGCCAACGCCGGAAACAACTCCAGTGGTTGATCCTGCATAAAGAGGGGCATATTTCTGGCAGTCCCCTTGTTCTTCCAATATCCATGTGGCATCAGCAATGGTTGGTTAGAATGGGTTGACTGCGAATTGAAGGACCCATCCTCCTGTGACATCCTAAATCGGGTAGGGTTGCTGGACGCTATCTTTATTTCTAAAGCTTGCGACATCCATATTGAAGCCAAGATGCTCCGGCATGTGGTTAGGCGATGGAATACCGAGACACACATTTACCTGTTCATGGGGAGAGTTTACTCCCACACTTGAGGATGTAGCCAATATTTTCCACCTTCCACTTTGCGGCAGCCAAGATGCTTTCCACATTGCGTTGTCTCCGGAAGATGAACTAAAGCATGAGGCTTTACGGAAGGGTGCCCTGACTTCTCCTAGCACTTCTCTGCGGTTTAGCAATTGGATACAGTTTTTCGGAGATGCTAACAAGAATGAGCCATGTCGTCTTGCAGCGCTTGCATCGTTATGGCTTGGGAGATTTCTCTCCTGTGATTTTTATTTTTATTTTTTTATTTGTTTTTATTTTTTATGATCATTTGCATGAGTGGGTGTTTCCTTTGGCCTTTGTGATAGCATGTGGTAGCGTGCTTCCTCTAGCCCCCATGTTCTTGGGGCACCTATACTGCTTGCTTGACCAAGTTCAGCTTCTTGAGAAAGGGTCGGCATGAACCATGGCTGTAGAAACCAAATTCCAACACTCGTTTGGAGGAACTGGATGCCTCAGGCATGCCTCCGAATTTGTTAGTGACTATGAGCGGCATGTTGACATTGAACCAATATCCAATAACCTTCTTGCTTGTTTTACTTGGTATATACACATTGCGTGCTGCCTGTTGTGACTTGCAACTCATACCCTGTAATTCTCCTCTTTCTCAGGTTGAGAGCATCTCACAAGGTGCGGAGAATACACTTCCTACTTCTACTCCTGGGATGTCCAGCGTAGCTGCCGACACTGTCATACGCCTTCTAGTAATGCAGCCTCTTGCTCCTCCTCTCTTAGGGACATCCGACACAGCTGCCGGCACTGCCCCACAGCTTCCAGCAGTGCTGCCTCCTACTCCTTCTTGCTTGGGCACACGTGACACAGCCGCCGACACTTCTCCACAGTTTCCAGCAGTGCTAGCTCCTACTTCTTCTTGCTTGGGCACACGTGACACAGCCGCCAACACTTCTCCATAATTTCCAGCAAGGCTACCTCCTACTCCTTCTAGCTTGGATACACCCAACATAGCTTCCGGCACCTCTTCACAGCTTTCGGCAGTGCTACCTCGTGGTGAGATTATTGATTACAGCCACAAGAACAGTGATGCTCTCACCTCTATAGGGCATTTATCTGAGAGAAACATGTTTTGTCGAGATTGGGAGAATTCTTTCGTTGTTATGACTTTGTAATTTGGTATTGAACCACTGAAGCTTGTATTAATTTCTGAATGCTTGAGGCATGTTGCATGTCTTATATATATATATATATATATATATATTGCTTGGTTGGCAAAATTCGTCTTTGTGAACTGTTTGAAATTTTCTGACAGGTTGGATAACCTTAAAAACAAGGTATATGCTGCCCAAAATTTTGTATAACCACTGGCCCTGAAAAAGCACTTCGTTGTTATGTCTAAGAATGATTAGACTAGCGTGTGCATGATTATTTTGTAACAACTTGGCTTTGCCTTTCTTATATTATTTTGCTTGGGCATGCTATTTGTTGACAATTTGGGATCCCGTTCAAGTAGCTTGGCATGTTCTACTGCTAAGTGCATGTTATTTGCATGATATTTGCTGGGCATAAAATTAACTTAGCAGTAGTAAGGCTTGAGGCATTTCCTGTTGATGGGATCTGTCAGCGTGCCTTCTTTGACAGAGACCAAGCGATAATAGTCGCTGCTGTAAGCCTCTTTGACTGTGAATGAGCCTTCCCATTGCGGGTCAAACTTGGAAGGTCCCAACACTTGTCCTCTTACATGCTCCATGACTTTTAGCACGAGGTCTCCTTGCTTGAAGGATCGAGGTTTGACTGTCCTGTTGTAAGCTTGGGCTACAGTTTTGTGGTACAACGATGTCCTCCTTTCGGCTTCCGCTCTTTTTTCATCCAAAACTTCGAGGTCCAGCAGGCGCCAATCCGAGCATGACTTTGTATCCCATTCCAGGTGATTAACAGTTGATACTCTGGCTGTCGGGATGGTGATTTCCACGGGTGAAATAGCCTCAGACCCGTACACAAGTGAGTAAGTTGAAAAACCTGTAGTGCTCCTTGGTGAGGTACAGTAAACCCACAAAGCATCCGGCAGGTGAACACTCCAGCCTCCTTGATACTCATATACCATCTTGCTTAGAATCCTTAATATCGTCTTATTGGTAGCCTCCGCTTGACCGTTTCCTTGCGGGTAATAAGGCGTAGAGCGACGATGCTTGATACCGTACCCACTAAGGGTTGAACTCACTTGCTTGTTAACAAAAGGCGTGCTATTGTCGGTGACCATCTTGTATGGGATTCCGAACCTACACACAATGTATTCCTGAATGAAATTCGAGACAGCAGCTCCTGTGGCCTTTCGAAGGGGAATTGCCTCAACCCATTTTGTGAAATACTCCGTAGCGGTAAGGATCCATATGTAGCCATCGGAAGGGGGATGGATTGTCCCATTTAAATCAAGCCCCCAAGTATGGAAAGGCCAGGGAGTGCGCATGTCTTATAGCAATGTAGGAGGCTTGTGACTTAGATTGGCATGGACTTGGCCTGTGTGGCATCTCTTAACAAAGTCATGTGCATCCTTCTTCATGGTAAACCAATAATACCCAATGCTTAGTAGCTGCCGGTGAAGCTTCTTCATTCCTTGGTACTCTCCGCAGTCTCCATCATGTATTTCTTGCATGGCTTGACGTGCCTCCTATTCTCCCAAGCATTTTAATGGCTCACCATTAAAACCCTTTCGATAGAGAGTTGACCCATCAACAAAATACCTCTTTATGGTCTTTTTGAGCTTGTAGGCAAGCTTGGAGTTGGTTGGCAAAGTTCCTCCAACGAAGAATGCCAAGTATGGAGCCCTCCAATCTTCTGCGAATGAAATAGTGAACGACTCCTCTGTGGAGAGTATCGTAGAACATGTGGGACAATTGGATTGTAGTTCAGCTGCTTGCCTCTTCATCTCTGGCCAATAATAACCTTTGCATTGCAAGCGCCGGTACAGGCTGATCACTGGTTCCAAGCTGCAAGTGGCATCGTGTAACTCTTGCAACCTTCTTCTTACTTCTGCCACCCCGACACACCGGGTCAGAACACCTCCCGGAAGACGTCTGTAGAGTTCCTCAAAGATAATCACATAATCCTTCAAGTCTTTAATGCTGCTCCCCTCACCTAATTTTTTCTTCAGTGGCTTTCTCCAATCATCGTCTTCCAGCAGGTCCTCCTGGGCTATTGCTTCGATCACTGGTGTGCCTCTCCTTATCACGGTGATGTTGGGCTGCTCTTGCACAAATGAGAGCTTTGATCCCAATGTGGCCAACGCATCAGCGTACCTATTGGTGACTCCTGGAATGTGTTCCATCACAATTTGGTTGAAAGAATTAATGAGCCTTTCAGCAGCTGTCCGATATGGTGCCAGGGTTGCTTCCTTCACAGCAAAGCTTCCTTGCAATTGACTTAGTACTAGGTTCAAATCGCCGATGATCTTCGCCTTTTCTGCACCCATTTCTTTTGCTATGGACAATCCCATAATAAAGGCTTCGTACTTCGCCACATTATTCATGCATGGAAAGTCTAGCTTGAATGAGAGAGCCGTAGCTTGCCCATTGGGATTAATGAGCACGACACCTGCCCCTCCAGCTTTTGATGTGGAAGACCCATCAAAGTAGAGGGTCCATGACTCCTCCTCGGTAACAATAGCAACCATTTCTGGCAGTCTCCCAGGACTTCCTTGGAAAGAGTTGATTCCTCTACTTCAGGAAATAGAGCCAGCATGTCAATCATGGCTTATCCTTTGATGGCTTTTGGAGTGGTGCATGTGATATAGAATTCAGACAGCTGCAGCAACCAACATGCAAGACGTCCAGATAACACCGGCCTTGTGAGCAAGTATCTTACGGGATCATATTTTACTATGAGTTGTAGCTTGTGAGCAAGGAAGTAGTGTCGTAGGCGCTGCGCAGCATAGACAAGAGCAAGGCACAAGAGTTCGGTCTTCGGATATCTCGTTTCAGCTCCCCTTAATTGCCTACTCACATAATAAATGGGATTCTCTTCTCCACCATGATCATCTTGGGCAAGCAAAGCCCCAACCGCTGTGTTCGTCGCAGCCAAATAAAGTTTGAGTGGAAGTCCCGGAATAGGTGCCCTCATTGTGGGTAGCTTGGTGATCAGTTGTTGTACCCGTTGGTAAGCTTCTTGGCATTCCTGGCTCTATATATATGGCTTCCCTTTTTTGAGTAGAGGAGTGAAAACACTCATCATGGCAACAAGGCCTGGAATAAAACGCCAAATGTATGACAATCTTCCCATAAAACTTTTCAACTCCTTTGGATTCTTAGGTGGTGCAAGAGAGCATATGGCTTTGGGTTTTCTCAAAATCCACATCTATACCACGCTGCTGTACCTGAAAGCCCAGGAACTTGCCGGATGAGACTCCGAATGCACATTTCTTTGGGTTCATTTTTAACCCGTACAGCCGGCACCTTTCCGGCACCCGCCTCAGAACTTCCTAATGACTTCCTCTGGTTTTGGATTTTACTACAAGATCATCCACGTAGTCTTCCACCTCTTTTCCCATCATATCATGAAACACTGCCATCATGGCCCGTTGGTAGGTAGCACCGGCATTCTTGAGACCGAACGACATGACCTCGTAGTAGAAATTTTCATAGGGCGTTCGAAAGGCTGTCTTCTTAGCATCCTTGGGTGACATCTTGATTTGATTATAGCCACTGAACACATCCATGAATGACAATAAGCCTTGACCTAAGGTTGAATCGATCAAGATATCCATGTTGGGTAGCGGGAATTCATCATTTGAGCAAGCTCGATTGAGATCACGGTAGTCTGTGCATATCCTGATTACCCCAGTTTTCTTCTTCACAGGCACAATATTTGCTAGCCACGTCGGGTGTTTGATTGGCTTGATGAATCCATCAGCTAACAGTTTTTCAATTTCCACCTTGATTTGCTTCTCAATTTCAGGATGAAAATTCCTTCTTGGTTGTACAACAGGTCTTGTACCGAGCTCAATATTTAGCGTATGACTTACCAAATTTGAATTAAGGCCGGGCATCTCTTCGTAACTCCAAGCAAACACATCTCAAAATTCTTTCAACAAAGACACCAAAGCTTCCTTCTCTTCCCCCGTTAAATGAACACTGACAGAGATGGATCTTGGGACAGAGGGGTCATTACTCAAATCAATTGTTTCAAACTGCTCAGCTACTGCCGTTGAGCCATCTTGCATGTGCTTGGGTGCTGTCATTGGTTCTTGGAAAGGACAAGGCAGGGGTGCCTTGCCATCTAGACTCTCACGGCTGTCTGCTTGCATAGCTTCTCCACCATACTCGGGGCTTTCCCGTAGGATACGGTCAAGCCCACAATCCCGTCATAAGCGGTATACAGTGCGCCCATCTAGCAGCGTAACCTTTGAGACTTGAGGACGATCGTAGGCATGGTTGTTGGCCTTCGAGTGTCTCTTTCTTTCTCGATCAATGATGGTTATGAGCTCCTCGTTGCTCAGATCACGAATTTCGGTCCACGATGGCAGGTAAGTCCCAGAATTCTTGGATGGGTTGCTTCTGACGCCTGTGCACTTAGTGTAGAATTCTGCCTCGGAGTAGTGAGCTTCGCTTTGATTGAACGGTGCTTGGTTCCCCGGTATACGAAGTGGTCTTAGCCCGATTCTTCCTTTTACACATTGATGGTAAGTAGAGACCACAAGTTTATGCTTGTTGAGCCATGGCCTTCCCAGCAAAGCATGATAAGCCACGTCTACGTCCACCACATAGAACTTGGTAAGTGACCGGATTGGCCCTACCTTCAAGTTTACTTGCATGTGTCCGACCGTGATCTTACTCGTATTCCTGAAACCGCTGATGCTTGTTTGAGATTGCACGATTTTGGATAATGGAATACCAGCTGCCATAAGCACAGACAGAAGTAGTATATTGACAGAGGAGCTCGTGTCTACCAAAGCTCTTCTTATAAACACACCGTTCATTTGTCCCTCCAAATAAAGTGGCCTCCTATGGTCCGGGTATGGAACTTCCATGCCCTCGTCCGTGAAGACGATAGCATTGTCATTTCCTAAAAATGACCTTTGTGGTTGAGTGGTGAAGCAATGAGGATCAGATTATGCATAGATGTTCATGAGAGCTACAGCAACTACCTTTCTAGATTGAGGCCCAAAGCCAAGTTGGTCAAAGAGTGACTTGAATTTCGGGTTTCTTTGGAGGACCTGTGAAGCTGTGGGCCCCTGTTTCAAACTTACATATCGTTTCATCACACTTGTTTCAGCCTCTGTAAGGTTATGAAATGTTACAGCAGCTGTTTCATGTTGTCCCAATGAAGCCCCCGAGTAGCACTCTTCCGGCATGTCCAGGACGAAAACTTCATTGCCTGAGTCGTCACCCCATCCATCAGCGAGCGGCCATGGCATGTTGTAGCTTGCAGGCTTCAAATATTTACACCAATATGTCTTCTCCATGTTTCCACAAGGTTCCCACATAGCTTCCAACGGCTTTGGGTCATTCCTCCATGGGTGACACAATCCATCATCATCAAGCAAATCATCGAAACATGTAATGACACCAGTTACCTCTTTTCCCCTTCGTTTTGGTAAAGGGTCTTCATCTATTGTTTGCTTCCTAGAGGGATGCTCAAGGACTCCCTCATATATTTTAGCATGTAAAATCCTCCTTAGACTCTGACAAACAATAGTTGGATGTCCCACAAATTGATGATAACGGCAGTACCTAGGATCATTCTTCTCCTCTCGGGTAGGAATTTTGTAGGATCTGACAGGCTTGATTGCGCCATCAACAATCATCGTGTCAAGGATAGCATGAAATTCTTTATCTTTGCATGGGAGTGGCGGATATGTATCCCTATCCTTTTGTTTGCGCGAGTTGTACTTGTTGGAGGGCTTGTCATCTATGGCTTAATGCTTGGTGTGTCTCTCGTTTTCTTCACTTGGCTTAGCAATTAAACTTTTCAGCTCCTTGATTGTTTCTGCCATTTCCTTCTGAGTCTCTCCCATAGCATGGATGGCTGCAACAAGGTCTGTGAGAGTGAAAGCTCCCTCACTAGCACATTCTTCTTCTCTTGAGGAGGCATGTTGCCTTGATTCCGAGTCACCATGGCTTGGCCCATCTTGAGAGGTCATGTTGTTGCTTCTGGCTTTCTTCCTTGGAGGCATAAGTAAAATGGCAACTTGGTCCCCAACAGAGTCGCCAATTTATGTAGGGGGTTTTTTGTTCCAGCAGCCTGACGAATGGGCCTGGGCTGCTGTAAGAATACAACGAGCAAAATCCCCCAAATGCTTGAGTTCGAAACCAAGCTCCCAAGAGAGTTTTTAGAAAATCTGATGAGATTTTAAAAGAACACTCTCAGGATCACTTTACTAACACCCAAATAAGCATGATGATTTTACTAATGACTTAGCCTGAGGAGCATGTGCCATGGGAGCTAAGCTTTCACGAGTTTAGCAATTTGAGAGAGAGAGAGAACAGCATGAGTTTCTTGCAGAGGATAAAATCTAAACTGGGAACGAAGGAAAAATTGGCAAGATTTTATCTCAGGGAAAGAAGAAAACAACGGAGAAAGAGGATTGGGTGGCTTGAGTAGATTCCAGGTTGCTTGACAAAGCTTGGTCAGGCTCTGGTTTCTTATAGAGGAAATATTAGCATGATTCCTATCCTAAGGGAGAAGAAGGATGAACGAAAGAAAAGTTTGGGTGGCTTGAGTAGATTCCAGGTTGCTTGACAAAGCTTGGTCAGGCTCTGGATGGTTGATTTTTCTGGGTAGCAAAAGTCTCCTTTTATAGGCATTAAGAGCTCTGATTTTGTCTGGTCTTCCTCTTCCTTTTTCCTTGGCAGCTCCTACTTAGCCCTATTTTCGTGCAATTCTCTTATCAAGGCGTATGGGAAAGGAGCCATTGTGGTTCCAACAAGTTTGACGCAGCTGGACCTCCCCACAAAGGTGAGGCGCCACTTTGCTTTCTCTCTGTGTTTTCAAAACAGAGTTTGTAATGGGGAAAGAGATGGGTGGAGCCTTTTGTCCGATGGGTATTTGCCCTTTACCCATGAATTTCTGCTGATTCTTGCCTTGACCCTTTGTCTGACTTGTTTGGAGTCTTATCAGAGGTGGAACACGATGACAGCTTTTGTACAAGCTGCTGGACTGGGTTTGTGCGTGACTTTTGGGCTGCTGGCCTATTATTTCTAGTGAATTTTCGTCAAACTGCTGGAAAGGGTTTTTAACTCTATTGATGTGGGCTGGACTAAATATTTTGGTAGGTTTTTTGGTGCCTTCCTAGAGCATGGGGCAATTTTTCTCTTCTCTCTCATGCTAACCCATGTGCTTGGGTTCTAGGAATGGGCTTGAGTTTCAAAGCCCCCAAGTGACTTGAAACTTACGTTCCTTGAACCCTCAATGGGCCCCGTAATTGCTTGTTTCCTTCCATACCACAACCTTCTCAGTAAGCCCCGGTTAATTTTGTGGCTTGGGCCCACTTAGGCTTGTAGCGTGGTTAGGTGTGAGATAACGTTTTTGTGCTTGGCATGGCATGTTGCTTGGCATGTTTTAATTTTATCGTCCTTGGGAAGGACTGCGATGTTTAAGTTTGGCATGGGCTTGTAGAGCCGGTATATTTTATTTCAACCCCTAGCATGGCTAATTTATTTAGCATGGCATGTGAACTACAACTCGCATGTGGTGGGTTTTCGTGTACTCCGCTTTACTCTTTTCCTTAGTAGAGTGTCGTTTTGGGCTGATAATTTATTCGGGCCCAACCATGGATTTTTTTGGCCCTCAACACTTATCATGTTATCATCCTTACAGAAAATTAACCGAAGAATTTAATGGTAAGGAAGAACTTGACCCAACACCAATGTCTCTAACTAGGGAGCAATAATGGAAAGAAGTCGAGTCCATAAACTATGAGTGGGGGGAGATAACTGGAAAGCGGAAAGATGTAGGTTGTACTAATTGTTACAAGAAAATATCAATTTTCTTTAATCTTCCTTATTGGAAATCCCACTATGTTCGACATTGCCTCAATGTTATGCACATTGAGAAGAATGTATGTGAGAGTATTTTCAGTACATTGTTGAACATTCCCAGGAAAACAAAAGATGGTGTGGCAGCTCGTGAGGATCTTGTTAAATTGGAGGTACGAATTGGTTTGGCGCCACAAGTTGGGGAGAAGAGAACTTTTTTGCCTCCATCAATGTGTACATTGAATAAGTAGGAGAAAATTTCATTGTGCAAAGCATTGATGGGTATTAAAGTGCCCGAAGGCTACTCTTCGAACATGAGAAACGTTGTATGCATGAAAGAGTTGAAACTACTTGGTCTTAAGTCCCATGATTGCCACGTATTGATGCAACAATTGCTACCCATGGCATGGTGTGTTGCCTAAACATGTTAGATATGCAATAACGAGATTTTGTTTCTTCTTCAATGATTTATGTAAGAAAGTGGTGGATGTACCTAACCTTGATAGGATACAATTGGACCTTGTGGCAACATTGTGTTTGCTTGATCAATATTTTCCTCCATCTTTCTTTGATATAATGGTCTATCTAACTGTGCACCTTATTAAAGAGGTTTGTTTGTGTGGACCAGTTTTTTTAAAGATGGATGTACCCTTTTGAAAGATACATGAAGGTATTAAAGGGTTATGTACACAATCATGTGTATTCGGAGGGTTCCATTGCTAATCGCTTCCATGTGGAAGAATTTGTACAGTTATGCTTAGAGTACATGGCTAATTTAAGTGCAATTGGGGTACCTATATCGCGGTTAGATCTAGCAAATACTAGCACTGCTTTATCAAGCGTTGTTATAGAACCAATGTGGCATGACAAATGGAAGCAAGCACATCAAGCTATCTTGGATAATACAATGGAAGTTGATCCTTACATAAAGTAAGTTATCTTTAAAAAACTAACTTTTTTTTTTTTTTTTTTTTTTTTTTTTTTTTGTTATTAAGTCAGCTTAATAACAAAATTATTATTTATGCATTGTAATGTTTTACAATGAACATAAGCACCATTTGAAGGAGACTAATCCTAGGAAAGTAAAAGATGAAAAATGGATACAAGACATGCACAACTGAAGGTTTATTAGCTGGTTTCATCATAGGGTCAGTTGGGTTTATAATACTAATTTGTGTTGAACATATTTAATTGATACGACAAACAAATTTATTATGTTTTATTATCCTAGATAGGTGATCAATTATGCATGAATATGAATGCAGTGATAGACACCGTAAAGTGGTTGGCTCTAGGATCTCAAAAAGGAGTTATGAAATATAGCGGTTATGCCATAAATGGATATCGATACCACACCAAAGCACAATACAACGAGCATGCTGTCCAAAATAGTAAGGTTCGCTCGGTAGCAAGTACTATGCAAGTTTCGAGTGCGAAGGATAAAAATCCAATTGTTTCAAATATGAAATTTTACAGGGTTATTGAAGAAATATGGGAGCTTAATTATCATCAGTTTCAGGTGCCTTTAGTGTGCATCGGTTGAGAATGAGAAGGGTATCAAATATGACGATGACATCGGGTTGACTATGGTGAACCTCAATAAGAGAGGCTATAGAAAGGATGAATTTGTTATGGCCACTCACGTGAGTCAAGTATTTTACATTGATGACCCTGAACACGATGGCTGGTCAATTGTGCTTCCAATGCCGAATAAAGTCTATGTTCATAGTGATGAGTTAGAAGATGATGTACTTGAACACCAATCATTTACCAATGGACTACAACTGGTTGAAGAATTTAAATATGAATTGGGTGAGGGAGAAACGAAGTACATTCAAACAGATTGCGAGGGTATATGGGTCACTAATCGAAAAACAAGAGCATAGATGTTGGTTTATGTGTGTGGAATTCTAAAAGTACTGCTCCATTTTCTTATATAAGAATTTTCTTTCTTGACATCATATTAGAATGCATTTATAATTTGAATTTTTTTTACTGTAAACTTGTGTCATTATAAATTTCCAGTTTGTAAGTTGGTGTTATGATTTGTTTACATGAATTAATTGTTTCCATTACAATCTTTCTTAATCTGTGTTGTTATCGGTTCATATATAATCTGTCCATATTGGTGCATATATACAATTCACTAATAATGTTTTGCTTTTGGGTGTTTAGGTTTGCCTTAATCAATCTTTCTATGGGTTCAACAAAGAAGATTCCAGTGAAACCCTTAAAAGAGAAACCGAAGAACCACTCAAATATACCCCAATCAAATGAAGCTTCTTCATTAGAAACAACTATTACCACCATGAGTGAACCTAAAAGAAAGCGTGGTCCAACAGAAATGCATAAAATTCAAAAGAAAAAAAAGAAAGGGAAAAAGTTAGTAGTTGAGTTTAGCCCAAAAGGAGAACCAATGGGGAAGGTGGGCAAACAATATGCATCATACACAGGTATAATGGCTCAAACCATAATCCCTATTCATATATGCAATTGGGCAGCAGTGGATGACCATTTGAAGGAGAAAATTTGGACAAAAATAACGGTAATTTTAATATACGTATATTGAATAACTCTTTTATACTTATTTTAATCATTTCTCATAAGATCAAGATTCCTTATTTATTTCATTCTTGGTGCAGTCCGTCTTTGAATTACTACCTGAAAGCAAACAACCTACATTGCAATCTGCTTCAACCAAATGGAGGCAATTCAAGAGTACATTAACAAGGGAGTACGTACTTCCACATAGAAATGACCTAGAAGCCTTGAAGGAGCCTCTTGAAATGTATGACTTCATTGAATTATCAGATTGGCAAAGTTTTGTAATCTCTAGATTGAGTGAAAATTGGCAGGTATGATCAGATTTGTAAATACCATCATATAAATGTAAATACCATCATAGAACTGGCTGTAAAGGATATATTGGAATGGTAGAAGAATTAGTAAGTATATATAAGGACAATCTGTATATAGTTGGGTCAGTAGGAGTAAATTGCTTTGTGCTAACTTTGGTTTATCTTGAATAGGTAGATAAGAAGATAGTGGCAAAGGATGAGGAAGTAGATTAAGCTCTTCTATGGAAGGTAGCATGTGAAGATAAGAACGGGAAGATTCTTGATGAGGAGGTAGCTGAATTGGTTGGAACAATTGTAAGTATATATGTAAAAAAATCAGTCAATTGTAAAACAAAATTATATCTTTCTAATATATATGTGTGTGTGTGTGTGTGTGTGTGTGTGTGTGTGTTTCTAAATCAGGAAAAATTGTTGAAGGAGAAAGAAGAAGGCCTTATAATCGTATCTCGTTATAATGATGTCTTAGCTATGGCTTTGGGGACCCCTGAACATGGTGGAAGTGTGAGGGATGTGGGAGGCTTTGTGAAGCCAAATGCATTCTTCAAGGTTCCTAGGAAAAAGAGGGAGTGTGTGTAAAAGGGAATGGTGAAAGAACGAGATGTTTTGCTGCAAGAGACAAAACAGATGATGGAAGAACAACAGAAAAAGCACAAAGCTGTGCAAAAACTTCTTCAAAAGAAAATAGAGATGCTGAAGGTGGCGATTTCCGGTCAACCCTGTAATGTATCTAACTCACCCCATATTCCAAATATTTCTCACATGTGCGAGAAAGCATCAACAAACACACCATCAAAATTTACTGAAGTTGCTACTAGTAAAGAAGTTTGTGAGGATGGTTGTGATGATGTGGTGGAGCAAACTGAAGTTGAGGCGAACAAGGTAATGTTTATTTGAATTTACTTTGATATTATGCACTTATTAATATTGTAGTATTAAGACTGAATATTTCTTGCTGAATTTCATTTAGTTTTATAATATGCATACGCTTAATTTAGTTTAAGGCTAGGGTATGCTTGATTGTTATTTTTTTTGTTTACATGTCTTTTATATGTGTATTAGGGTAAGGATTGCAAATTGGCTTTCAGCTCAAAGGACAATATTGTTGCAAGTGGCACAATTGTTGACATCAATGTGCCTCAACAACTGCTTCATAATGTTCCTTTAGGAAAGGAAAATATAAGAGTCTCTGTTAATTATGCCATAAATGGAGCTTCTCCACTACCAATACCAGTGAAAGGAGTGTTGAATACTGTTGAGGATGATATTGGGTCTCAAGTAGCTTGGCCAGAGGATCTTATAGTTTTTATAGACGATGTAGTGGTAAGCAACCTTACTTTTGAACTTGTTTTATTTCATATTATCCCTAATATATACCAACTTTTTGGTATATGTGATAGGAGAAGAAAAAGAAAACTGCAAAGGAAAAATTAGCAAAGTCATTGTTTTAGTCTATCCCGAAAACAGTACCAAAGTCTTGCAAGATTTTATATGGCTTTGCACAGAAACTAATGTCCCAAGGTCAGACTCTTGCTTCATATATTGATGAGGACATATTTGGGGTAGAAAAGATGATATATGTCCTTAAAGAAGATGTTATCAGCTTCATTCAAATGAATGAAATAGGGCAAGCTATAATAACCGCTTACATTAGGTAATAGTCACTTTGTGTTTTATAATTTTACGTTTATATTTGGATAATGGTTAACAACTATTTATATAACTTGGTAAAAGACCAAGAATGGGAATCAATGATTGCATTTATGGACCCAAGTCGTATCTTTCATGATCTGAAGTCACCGGATGAGGCAGGGAGGGTTCAATACATTGTGATAGCTTTTAACCAAGCTAGTATTGACAGCATCTTTTTGTTCCCATACAATCCTGGGTAAGTAAAGTGGTTTGTTTTTTAGAATGTATATTTATGACAATTACTAATATATTTCCAATTAATATGTAGGGGTCATTGGATCCTTACAATCATTGATGAAGAGAAAGACAATGTGTATATCATGGATCCTCTTGGGGCTTGTCACCCTCATGAAGTGTGGAAACGTATTGTAAATGCGTAAATCATTCTATTTTAATTATTTCCTTAATATATCAACTTTTTCATTCTGTTATTTTTGTGCTAAAGTGGAATTAAACAATTCAATGCTGAAAAGGGGAGAGGCCTGCGTAGACCACCAACATGGATTATGCTTTCAGTGTGTGTGTATTTGAAAATCTAGTAAGATTAATTTTAGGGAACGTAAGTACTAAATGTTGAATGTGTTTTGTCCATAATGTAGGGTGCTCCCAAACAAGCTAATGGAAAGACGTGTGGTTATTGTGTGATGTGGTACATGAAGGAAATTTGTGAAGATTCAACCCTTGCATTTCGAACTAAGGTACTTATACAAATTATATACAGCTTCAGTTTTTTTGAGTCTTTGTTAAGGATTGGATGATTGGGTTCAACTGAAATACCAAATTTTTTTGATTCCTTTGTTTGATGTTGTTCCTTTTCGGCTCTGGCAACGTTTCCAGCTTTGAGGTGACTTTTTTTTTGTGTGTGGATGAATGTTAAATATAAAACCTTATTGTGCATCGCTTCTTGTTAAAGATTTTATATAGTTTTTCTTTAGCTTCTTGTTAAAGATTGTGCATAGCTTCTTGGTAAAGATTTTATATAGTTTTTCTTAATCTTATATGGTCTTTTCATTTCATTTAAGTATGCTAGAAGTGGGAAAAAGAAGGCATTTTACACCCAAATGGAATTGGACGAGGTTTGAGATGAATGGGCATGTCATGTGCTAGAGTGGATTTGAGTTTGAACATTCTCCTTGTTTTTGTAGTATTTTTCTTATTTATGTATGGATGATGTATGGGTTTTGGTTTGCTGGCAGAACTCATAAGTTTACATATATAGGGATGTTTTTTTTCTGTTGCAATGGAAATATGTATGAAATGGATGAGATGCCTCTACATTTTGAGACAGAAACTAAGTAAAATATGATGTGAAATGTGGAAAATTGCTTACACTTTATTAGTAACAAGGATGTCTATTGTGTATAACAACCTCAGTTTTGCCATAACAACTGAAGTTAAAAATTAAAAACAACATCAGCACTCTCTAGGAACCGAAGTTTATAATCTGAAAGGTCAATAATATTTGTAGAAAGTCAAACTATTTGTTGGTTTTTCACTTCAGCATAAGTACAAAAAACGAATGCCTAAACCATAATTTGCAACAGCAGTGGCATATTTGGTGAAGTGGTAAGTCAGCATACGCTTCAGTATAAACAAAACCATTGATGCTATAAAGAGTATTTAGCATCGGTGCTGATATATTCCCTGATGCTATTAAAGGTTTAGGCATCGGAGGTCAACGCTCTTTAGGCATTGGAGGTCAACGCTCTTTTTGGCATATGGTAACAACTTAAGCATCGGCGATTAAGTGAAGAGCGAAGTCGTAAATCATCTTTAGCGATGGGGAATGTCTGAAGCGTATAACTATATCATATGCATCGGTTCCCAATACTTCGGTTCTTGGGTACCTTTATCAACGCAGATTCTCTGAAGCTAAAGGTCAATTTTCTCATCAAATGTGGAAAGCAACTAATATCAAATGTGTCCGGGTTCTTTACTACACGCCGAAAAATCCAACGCCGCATGTGGGTATAATGACCAGAGAAGGTACATATGATGGTGAGGTTTATAACCCTTATATAAATATTATAAAATTCCTTAATTCAATTTTCCCAAATATTTATTCGTACTATAGAAGATAAACTCTCAAGCATATATTCCACAAAGACCCAAAAATAATTCAAATGGTAATCAAAACTTGTTTACACTTAATTTCCATAAAATACTACATTCCCCAATTAAAACAATAAACTTTTGTAAATAACCCGATATCACCCAATCCATATACTTCAATAATAATAATATTATTATTAATTAATGATAAATAATAACCTTTAGAGATCCCATAATTTCATATGATACTATAAAAGAATCTCATAATCCCAACAAAATCAACATAACTCAAATGATAGTCAAGACTCGTTAATAAGGTCGTTCTAGTATTCCTCGAAGGGTGAAACTACCTCGGAAGACTCTCGGTCAACTGAGGGGTCAAACTATCCAAACTTGGTCAACTGGGCCCACGACTTCCGATTTCCGATCCAAAAGTTCCCACGGGTTCACTAAGATTTATTATACATGTCCTGCAAGTTTGGTTTGAATCGAATGGTCGGATCACTCGCAATCACACGATCGGATGGTTATCATTTAACCTAATCTTTGAATTATTGAACCGAAGCATCTGGAGCTCCAATTCATGATCCGCGAATTCCTATACGATCCTAGAGATACCTAGATCAACATATTTGAAAATGGAGTCAATCCAATGGCTTGAACAAACAACGCCTAAACTGTGTAATCCGATCAACAGTCAAACAGAAACCAAATTCAAATCCAAGCATACTGTCATGCTTGGGATGACATGGGGATCATTTTAGGACCCAATGGTAATGCGTGGGTGACCCAAGTAAATTACAGCGATCGAAAAATCTCCAAACCACCAGTCAAGACCAATGCCGAAAGATCAAGCACATTAAGAGGAATAAGTTTCATACCTGTGTCAAAGACTAATTTGGTCATTAAAGCCCTAGAATGAACGGTTTTCTCTTTGAAAACCTAGAAATTTCTAGGCTTGGATTCAATGATTTCGGGATGAAATCATGTCAGGTTTTCTAGGGAAATTATAAGGGGGAGTTAGGGGAGAGATTTAGGACCCAATTGGTGGCTGGTGGTGGCCGAAAATGGCTAGAAAATTCGTCGGAGTTCAAGGTTTCAAACAATCGGTTCTTAAGTCTCCTTTTTCGTTCAATTTATGGTTTCATCGCTTGGAATTATGGCTAGATATGGGTATGTATGGAAAGAGGAGAGAGAGAGACGAAGAGTTTGCAAGTTGTGGCACTGGTTTTGGTAGCCGGACAACGAAGATATCTCCATCTAAATCAGGCTTGGTCGTGGTGGCTGTGCAATAGAGAAGAGAGAGAGAGAGAGAGAGAGAGAAAGAGAGAGGCAGATTCGTGAGAACCAGGTTTTTGAAAAAAAATCAAACTTTAAATTATTTACAGTTATGCCACTGGGCTTCCGTTGATCGTAACTTCTTTGTTACAACTCCGATTTGAGCCCACTACGTGTCTAAGGACTCATCTTGATGCAATCTACGTCATGGTGCCATTATTTTCCCCAAAATCCTTCCGGATTAAAAAGTGACCAAAATAACCCCATCCTCAAAGGCAAAATTGTAATTTCATAATTAAATAAATTAAATAATTGAAATGGACAATAAAAATAGGGTCGGGGTGTTACACATGATTATGTCATGATTTACATGAAATCAAGTTTCTTATATCGGTCAAGTCATGCTTTGAAAGTATGGGATTGAATGTGTTGCGCCAAAACGTCTAGTAAACAATATTCACACACTAATTCCCAACCTTTGCCAGAGTCTAGGAAATGCCAATATAATTTTCGTACTAACAATCTCCGTCTTTGTCATTTCCTAGACAAAATACTAGATCACATTGCAAACACGTTTACAAGAAGAGCCTACACATCCTAATTTGCTATACCCAACAAACATTCAGGTCTTGTAGCTTATGCACACCAACAAGCATACTACCAGTGAAGCATAATAGAATTGAAAAATAAGAAACAAGTCACTACAAGTTAAACAACAATCCTTCATATGTTAGGAGGTTAAGCAAGTCACTACAAGTTCTCCCCCTAACTATCATGTTTCAACTTTCGATAGTCAAGTTACTCCCTCTAAATCCCATATGTAACACAAAATATTCTCCCCTTTTTTGTTTGAGAAATCCAAAGGATCACAGAGATAACTACGAAAGATGAACAAATCCATAAGTGGAACATATGAACCTTAGAGGCTGCGAGCCCAAGTAGGATGAGGAGGATCAGGTGGCTGAATATGCACAACAAGTGTCAGCAGCAGCTCACCATAGGTGTCAAGACGTTCCTATATGTGGCGAAGAAGCACACGCGTCACTTGATGGGATGTAGAGAGCGAATCCAAAAGAGCATGTTGCTCGATGGAGAAACCACCAGAAGTACAATGAGCATCGATGGAGAAACCTGATTATTGACTTTGATGGTGTTGGAAGAGCCAATATCATCCGTAGACAGTGCAAGGACACTAGCATGAGTAGCCAAAGCTGTGATAATTCGAGGTTGAACAAGACTTGTTGTCAGAACAATGGCATTTGAGGCACCAGCTGCGATGAGGCTTTCACAGATGTAGAACTCAACATTGACAGAGTGCTCAATCACAAGCTGGAAGAGAATATGAGCAGCCTTCCAACTCACTTTCCTATGTTGGGAAGTGGGATTCAAATAGTTGTGCACAAGCATATATAGAGTACGGGTTTACTGAGACATCATACCGGATGAGAGCTCAGTGCGAAGGACCTTGGGTGGAGACACATAGAGTCGATTCACCAGCTAATGACAGGGAAGGAAATTTGGAACCGGTTCACACGAACTGCCAGAGCTAATAAGAGCCAAACCAAGGGTAGCCGAAATAAAGTGGAAACTTAGCGGAATAGAAATCCCACGCACACGCACAACAATTCCAGATAGAGAGGCAGAGGCAGCGAAGACATAAAATTCATGAATAAGCTGGAAGTTGGGCAGCCACAAACCACGAACCAACGACTAGAGACAACGTAGGGTGAGAAAGTCGACAAATGTGGAGCCAAAGCTAGAGAGATCGAAGTCCTCTTCAATTAGCAGGGGACGATGACAGACCACATTAGTACAACGAGTAGAGTACACCGGAGACACGAAGTGAGAGATCAGAGAATGGTGGGAAGCACAAGCGGCAGTTCTTGAACACAAGCGCCGTGAGGAGGAAGGGGTGATGACTGAAGTAGGGTCATCAGCAGATCGACAATGCATAGAGTGAGATGGGTTGTGGTTAGGGGCAACAGAAGAAGAGGAAGGCTGGTGGCTTTGTGTGCGACCATTGTGAGGTGACGGAGCTAAGAGGCAGTGAGTAGCGGAAGACTAGAACCCTTACGTGGCGGAAATAGGTGTTGGACATTGAATCTGACTGATGAAGAACACAACCCTTGGCTGCACAACTTAAACAACCAGGGTGAAACACACCGACCGATTGTTTGTTTTTTTTTTTTTTTTTTTTTTTTTTTGGAAAAAAAATGAAAAATAACCAATAATCTGAAGTAAGTATATGATGATCAGTTTGTTTGTGAATTGAATTGTATTTATTTATTTATTTGGTGGCTCACTTTATTGAGCTTTCGACATGATCAATGTAGCGGATGGTCAATCAATGTGATCAAGTCAGATGACCGTAAGCAACTAGGTGATGAGGCACCCCGAGGAAATACTGATCCAAATCATGAAGGCTCCAAAGATAAGCAAGGATAGCAAACCATCACAACCTATTGACTTGAACCTCAATGTTGGTTAGACATGAGGCCTAGTTACTGAGCAATGATAAGTCACCACTTTTTTTTTCTTTAAACAGATCAAGAGCTTATGTACAATAGTGTGATGGCAATCCAAAGAGAGACAAGTGCAAGAGAGTAGATATTCAAGGTACTTCAAAGCAAAGACTGTGCGTGTGCAAATGTAAAAAAGCTAGAAGGATAGATCATTTAATGAAGTTTATCATGCATCAAGACAATGGAAACCTTTGCGTGAAGCTGAGAGTGTGTGTTCTCAAGATAATGTTGTGCCAGAGCCCAATCTAAGATCATCAAATATGATTGGACAGTTACAGGATTGATATGACTTAACAATCCTTGTGTGAGCCAGACAAATTTATAGAAACAGAAAGTAATATAAGTATCATAAAACATGGAAAAGGCTTTGGCAGACATTAGACACCGAATCAATCTAGAGCATAGATACCTGAAGACTGTCTAAGGGTTTCAAACTGTAGATTGTCTAGAGGTTTGGTAAAAATATCAGCTAACTGTTTTTCAGTAGAGATAAATTCAAGTGAGAGCACATTATCTTCCACTAATTCACAAATAAAATGATGACGAATATCAATGTGTTTTGTGTGAGAGTGTTGAACTGGATTTTTAGAGATATTAATTGCACTCATGTTATCACAAAACGTTACTGTGGGAGCAAATATTTTCGTCTCCAATCACGGCACGCAACGTAGAAAAGAAGATTATCTCTTAAATAAATTAATTGAACTAGTTTATCTGGCCAATTAATTAATAGGGATAAATATCTTAATTAATAGGATATTATCTTTATTTAATAAGATAATATCATTAATTCAAATATTATCCTAATAAAGAGAAGATAATATCGTTAATTTAGATATTATCTTAATAAAGAGAAGATAATATCATTAAATCAGATATTATCTTCAATAAAGAGATATAATCAAGCCCAACTCGATCCCTACGAATTTGGGTAGAGAATAAACTCATCATATTCTCTACAAAACCCTAGCCCCGAGGCTCCAATAAATAGACAACCTCATTCATTATTCAAGGTACATCTAAACCAACTCCTAAACCCGAGAAAAATACCTGAAGCTCTCTCTCCCTCTCCTCTCTCCACATTTTCTCCACACGGCTCCAGCCACTACACACTGCTCCGGCCGCCCGGTTCACACCATACATACAACTCCGTACCCTTTGCTTAACTATTGTTTTCCTACAAACACTTGAACTGACTTAGGCATCGGAGGGCCTTTGGCCAACACCCCCCGGGTGTGGTCTATTTACTCCAATATTTTTTACAGGAATCAAGTAAGAGAGAGAAGGAAGATCGAGGGTTGAAGGATCTAGAAGCGAATATTCTCCCGCGAGATTATTTGCACAAACAGTTATCATTTTACCTTGCCGAATAACGTAGTCATTGAGCATTTGTTTCATCCGTAAAAATTGTGTGCAACAGCTTCCAGCAGCTATGTATTCGGCTTTAGCAATGGAAAGAGAGATGTAATTTTGCTTCTTGCTAAACTAGGAGACAAGGTTGTTGCCTAAGTAAAAGCATCCTCCAGTTGCGCTTTTCCTATCATCAATGTTTCCAGCCCAATCCGCATTGGAATAACCTACAAGTTCAACATTTGAGTCAAAGGAGTAGTATACACCAAAGTTTGTAGTACCACTTACATAGCGAAGAATTCTCTTCACAACAAGTAGATGTGATTCTTTGCTATTGGATTGGAAGCGAGCACAAAGTCCAACATTGAAACAAATGTCTGGTCTACTAGTAGTCAGATATAACAATCTGCCAATCATGCTTCTATATAATTTTTGGTCTACACTTTTGCCATGTGAGTCCTTGGAAAGCTTGGTGCTTGGGCTTATGGGATTTCGAAAGGACTTGGTGGATTCCATACCAAATTTAGACACAAGGTTTTTGGTATACTTTGTTTGAGAGATGAACATTCCTCTATTGAATTGTTGGGCCTGCAAACCAAGGAAAAAATTAGTTCACCAAAGAGATGAACATTCCTCCATTGAATTGTTGGGCCTGCAAACCAAGGAAAAAATTTAGTTCACCAAACATTCTCATCTCAAATTTGGTTTCCATTACCTCATGGAATTCTTTGACAAGAGTGCCAGAAGTAGATCCTAAAACAATGTTGTCCACAATACTTGTGCGACCATTAAATCCCGTTTGGTTCTTTTGACGAAGAGGGTTTTATCAAAGCTACCACGAGTGTACCCTTTTTGAAAAAGATGAGTGGACAGTCGATCATACAATGCTCTCAGGGCTTGTTTTAGGCCATAGAGAGCTTTTTTCAGACGATATACATGATTGGGGTGGATAGGATCTTGAAATCCTTCGGGTTGATCCACATAAACTTCCTCTTTTAAAACACCATTTAGAGACACATTCTTGACACCCATTTGGTGTAGTTTGAACCGAAGGTGACATGCAATAGACAACAGCAGTTGAACAGATTCCAATCGTGCAACCAGAGCAAAAGTCTCATCAAAATCCAAACCTTCAATTTGAGTATAGCCTTGTGCAACAAGTTTGGCTTTGTTGCGCATAATTTTCCCTTTCTCATCTGTCTTATTTTGAAAAATCCACTTGATACCAATTACATTTGAGTCTTTGGGACGTGGAACAAGGTACCACACATCATTTCTGTTGAATTGATTCAACTCCTCTTGCATAGCCAATATCCAATCATGATCTGCAAGAGCATCTGTCGCACTTTTAGGTTCAACTAAGGATGCATAACATAAATTGCTTACCTCATCACATAATTATTTTTAAGATCTCAATTTATCATCAACATTCCCAATAATGTCAGAGGGTGAGTGATCTTTCTGAACTTGTTTAGCACCAGGTCTGAGTATCACAGGTTTGAAAGGCTGATTACAATCCTCGAAATCAGTATCAGTAACATCAGTAGGTTTGTGAGTTTCCAGATCTGTATCTTGACAACTTGTTTCAACTTGCAATATAGAGGAGTCATTTACAATCACATTAGATGATTCCATCATTATTTTAGTACGACTATTAAACACCCTATATGTTCAACTATTCATAAAATAACCAAGAAATATTCCAACATCACTTCTTGCATCAAATTTTCCAAGATACTCCTTGTCTTTGTAGATGTAGCATTTACTACCAAAAGTCCTTAAATGCTTCACATTTGGTTTCTTCCCTTTCCAAATTTCATGGGGAGTGCTCTTGGTATGTGGCCTGAAAAACACACGGTTAGATGTATAGCATGTAGTACTAATGGCTTCAACCCAAAAAGATCTACCAATTTGGCACTCTTCAACAAGGCACGAGCCATGTCGAAAAGGATTCTATTTTTCCTTTCAACTACCCCATTTTGTTGATGAGTGATTGGAGCATAAAATTCATGCTTTATTCCTTTTTCAGAACAAAAATAGAGAATGTTTGATTTTCAAATTTCGTTCCATGATCTGTCCTAAGTTTTGTGATGCAAGAATTAGTTTCATTCATGATTAGCTTGTATGAGACATATAAGGAATGAAAGACCTTTGTCTTATCATGGAAAAAAATGACCCAAGTAAAACGTGAGAAATCATCCACTAAGACAAGAATATATTTCTTTCCTCCTAAGCTAGCAACTTGAATTTGACCAACTGAATCCATGTGCATCACTTCCAAAGTTTTAGAAGTAGAGATCGAGTTTGTACCTTTATGAGGTTTTTTGGTTTGCTTCCCCAGTTGGCACCCTTCACAAACCCCCTTATGTTTACCTGCAAGATTAGGCAATCATCCTACTGATTCACGTTTGGAAAATTTAATTAAGTCTTGATAGTTCATTTGTCCCAAACATCGATGCCATAAATCAAGATGGTCTTCACTTGTCCTAAAACAAACTTGAGAAACTTCATTAGTGAAAAAACAATAGCAATTGTGAGGTGATCTTTTTCCAATCATCACATTTGATCCGTCTTTATTATTGACAATGCATTGGGTTTAGTAAAACTTTCCTCACCTATTTCATCACAAAGTTGACTTATGCTGATGAAATTTGCTTGAAGATTTTCAACTAGTAGGACATTGTCCAAGCTAGGTGTACTAGTTGTCGTAATCTTTCCTTTGCCCAAAATCTTGGATTTTCTTCCATGTCCAAAAGTGACCATTCCACTCACACATTCTGTAGAGATTTCTGAAAAACATGATTTGTCATCGGTCATGTGTCTTGAGCACCCATTGTCAAAATACCAAGATTTAGATTTAGAGTCAAAAAGAGCAGTAAGAGCAACAAAACATTTCACATCTAAGATTTCAGGAGCATTAGTTTGATATGCATCACTTGAAAGTGCCAGCAAGCAATTTTGATTTTCCTTTCTCCTTCACACTAGATTTGAACTTGATAAAGATAAGGAATAAAGAGAGTTTTGACAACCTATTTACCTCTTTTACAAGATATGCAATCTTGTGTTGAATTCTTACTTGTCTATCCTTAGTGGATTTTGGACGTACTAAAATATGTTGGAGCAGTTTGCATTTTGGTCAGATGTGCCAAAGAGCTCCGCAAAAATGACACGTGGGTATAAATCTCCAAGTTGTTTGAGAAGTTGGAGCACCAGTAGGAAGTGATGATCTGAAAAACTTTGTGACAGATATAGCGGGAGACTTGTTGATTGAATCAAATCCTAGGCCACGTTTGTCTCCATCTCTTTGACTCATGCTAATCATTTTGTCAACTTTCTACACCAATTGTCAAATCAATAATCCTCTTCTTTGAACTTTTAAGTTCAATTTCAAGGGCTTAATTGCCAGAAGTCAAAGAAACAATTAATTTATTTTGTTCAATGCACTTTTTCTGTAATGTTTCCAATTTCTCGTACCTATCTTTACCTACTATTTCAGGTCCAGCATCAGAGGATTGCAACATCTTGGCATTCCTACTGTTTTCAATCTCCAGCACAACAACTCTTTTTGCAAGCTCTATATTATGTTTGTTGATTTTCTTAGAGACAGCCAACAGATCATCATACTTTTCCAGCACATGGTCAATATTTGGTTCTCCATCATTCACATTGTTTTGCAATGCCTCATCCAAGTTGATTGTGGTGATTAACGCAATGGTATTTTCTTCACTTCTCGATTCTGAGTCACTGTCACTCCAGGTTACATTCAATGCTTTGGCTTTTCCATTTTGCTTCTTTTATGTGTTGGCACATTCAAAGGAAATATGTCTATACCCTTCGCATTCAAAGCACTTGACTCTCTCTTTAGTGTTTTTCTTCTCAATGAACCTGCGAGATTTTAAATTACCATTAGTATAATCACCATGCTTAATTTTTGAATTTATACCTGAGTGATTTCTTCAATCGTGACTTTTGGATTTTGGATTTTTGAAAAACTTCTTGAATTGTCCTAAAAGATCAGCAAATTCCTCTCTATTGAATTCTTCCGATTGGTGTTCACCATCTTCTTTGTCAACCACTTTAAGAGCAACACTTTTACTCTTTTTAGGAGCTAGGTGCTTCATCTCGTAGGTTTGAAGCGACCCTATGAGTTCACGAACTTTCAAAGTTTTCAAGTCATGAACTCTTCAATGGTTGTGATCTTTGGTTGAAAACGTTGCGGCAAGGACCTTAAAATCTTTTTCACCACCCTATCTTCTTGAATTTTTTCACATAAACTTGAACGTGAATTCACAATGATGCAAAGTTTAGCATAAAATTCAGAAAAAGTCTCATTCTCATCCATCATGATTGTCTCAAACTGTGAAGTGTGCATTTGAAGCTTGGCTCCCTTGACAATATCTGTTCCTTCACGATTGACCTACAAAATGTCCCAAGCTTCCTTAGAAGTATCACAATTATATATATATATATATATATATTCAAATTGATCTAAAGAGACACCAGTAAATATAGCATTTAACCCCTTTTGATTATTAGTGTTGTGTGTGACTTTTGCAGTGGTCCACTCCTCTCTGGTTTTGAGAACTGTGGTTTCTTCATCTCCTTTTCCGATCTTCTTTGTGGGTTAAGGAAATCCATGAACCATTGTATTCCATACACATTCATCTAAGGACTAGAAAAACGACTTCATTTTAGTCTTCCAAGTGCCATATTTGTTGCCATCAAAATATGGTGGATGTACAATTGAGCACGTTCTACCCTACGGTATGTCGGATCTTGATGAGTATGTTCAACAACCTGCTTTGATGCCAATTGAAATTACCTATAGGATGACTAAAAATGCCGAGAGGGGGGATGAATAGGCTAATTCGAGATTATTAACAATAAATAAAAATAGACTTTCGAAGCACGATTGATATGGTTATCAATCCTGAAATGTGCAGAGCTTAAAGTAAAGGAACACACATATATTTATTTTACGTGGTAAAACCACACCTCTAGGGAAAATCCACGGGACTCCTTAGTCCAAAACAAATCCACTATAGAATGAAGATTACAAGAAGTACTCACAGATTTATCCTAGACGCAATCTAGATAAAGTTTACCAACTTCTTCGAAATTCAATTTCTATCACGGGATGATCTTCAACACTCCTTATGTTGAATGGAATACTTGTCGCAATTGCCCCAAGCTCGCAAGAGGATAAATGCCACAACGGTCTTGGTGCCCTCAACCGTATGAGTTACCAACATGCATATGAATACAATATGAATGATGAAAGGATTTGATAAATCACCAAATAAACAAGGAACACTTGATGACTTATCTGAAAAATATGCACAAAAGCTTTCTCTTAAAAATTCAATATGCTAAAAAACAATATGTCGAAAGTTGTGTCTTCTCAAAAGAGGGGCACACTTCTTTTATTCAAAACTCACTCTCCTAGTCAAACCAAGACCAAAGAGTCCACAAGCACTCTACAATTATGACTCTCAAATTTAATCCAACATGGACTCTAATGCAAGACATCAAAACATGGTGACCAAATACAATTCAATTATGGATATTAGTTTCGATTCAATATGGACTCTAAGTGATGACACCAAACAACCACTTTTATGAAGAAACAATTATCACCTAATTTAATTAGGAGATGAGCACGGTGCATGTCACTATAGGAAACGCTAATATTTTAACTTAAATCACAATGGCATTGAAAATAACTTCAACTGGGAATCCTATTGTGAATGCATGATTTACCTGAAATCAAGTTTCTCATATCGGTCAAGTCATGCTTCGAAAGTATGGGATTGAATGTGGTGTGCCAAAACGTCCAGTAAACAATATTCACACACTGATTCCCAACCTATGCTAGAGTCCAGGAAATGCCAATACAATTTTCATACTAACAAATGTCAAACACTTCCAAGCAGAAACCCAAAAACCCATATACAAATTTCAAACAAAGTCATAAATAAAGAGGGAATTTTCAAAACTCACCTAGAAACACCACTCAAAGTTCAAAGAGAGGGAGAGAAATAGAGAAACATAGTGAGAGAGAGCTGACATAGAGATGACGATGGAGACTTTGAAGTTTTGAATTTGAATTTTTTTATTGTTGCAAGGAGATGGCAAGCCTTGAATTCTCTCTCATCCTTGCTAGATTCAGGGAGCCAAAATTGTGTTCTCCAAAATGGGGAGTGAAGTAATGACCCTATTGGAGTTGCACTTTTCCTTCTTTTTTGCCAAAATATATAGAAGATAGGGTTAATGACCTAAATGGTCCCCCAACTATTGCTCCAGTATCATTTTGGTCTACCAACTAAAATTTTCATTTCGAACGTCCTTAGACTTTTTATTTTGTACCAAGATGGTCCATTTGTGACTGATTCCGTCACTTCTGATCACACAATGGCCATGTGACTGAGTTTTGAAGGGTATATGCGACTTTTTGAGAAGCCCTATCGTTCAGAACCAAACTACCTCCAAAATACCTCCACTTTCTTAGAAGCCCTCTCATTTCTCGTGATTACCATCGACTGAAAGGGATTCTAATGCGAGTTGCTGAATTGGTCGATGTTGTAGTAGTGTGCGAGTCACTGAATTGGTGAACTTAGTGTGTAATTTCAATGTTAGTTTTGGAGTTCGAATTTGGGAGTTTGGGTTAGGGTTTGATTTTGGGGACTTTGGAGATTTTGGGAAATTCACTAGTTGCTGATAATGGAGTTCGAATTCCGTTCGGGTGGAAAAACTCCCAAATACGGTAAGGGCTTCTATAATGCATTTTATGTTGTTTTTTTTTAAATGGATGAAATGGATGAGTTGTCCTTGTCTGGAACTGTGGTTTCTTTATAAAGATTCCTTTTTCTGTGTTTATGTTCGGCTTTTTGGTTGTTTTATGTTTAAAGTAAGGGTAAAGGAATCGTTTTCTTGTATGTGGATTTGGCTTTTGCTACATTGACTGCAAAGTGTAAGCTTTATGTCTGTGGTCCCTTGGTTGTGGTTCCTGTATGTTGAATATAGGGGTTTTTTTAAACATCTGTGGTCCCTTGGTTGTCTGCTTCACACCCAACTCAGTAATTGTCGCCCTTGTTGTCGTTAGCATTAACAACAAAACTATGAGTTTAGAATAACTAATTGTTGTTTCAATTTTGCAGCTACCAATGGAATGTGCACTCTAGAATTACATCATGGGGGCTAGTTTGAAAATTGGGTTTATAAGAAGGGCAAGGTCTGTTATTTGGACAATATTATAGAGGATTTTTTGTCCTTGTTAGATTTACTGAAAATTGGGAGAGGTCTTGGGTATGATGTTGATATTTCTCAAGTTGAGCAACGTTTGGAAATTAGGTGTAAAAATGTTGAGGGTGGACTAGAGCTTGTTACATCATATGCTACAGTGGTTGAAATGGTTGGTCATATACCATCCAATAAGGTTATTGTGTTATACTATAGTGAGATTCAAGACTATGAGTATGATGCAAATGCAGAGAATTGTGATGGGGATGTGACTCGGAATTACCAAGTGAAAGAGGTGGCTTATATTAAAGTTGGAGATGAGGAGACTTTTGAGAATGTTAGGACAAAAGTGGCAAGTGAAGATGCGGTCAAAGAGGTACCAAATGAAGATGCAGGGGCAGAATTACCAAATGAAGATCTAGTGGCACATGTGACAATTGATAATGAAGGGGTAGAATTGCCAAATGAAGATGAAGATGCAGATTCAAAAATTAAAGACAGTGATTATGAGTTTAGTGAAAATGAGGCAGAGGCCTGACCAACTGTTGGAGAGAATGTAGCAGATGAGGGGACTACTCATGGTGCTCCAGGAGAGGTGTCATCAGATGGTGCTAACACATCAAAATTTGACACTGGAAGTGAGACTGAAGAAAAAACTGCCAAAGTTTAAGCAGTATAGAAAAGATGTGGATTTGAAAAATCCTGAGTTTAGATTGGGAATGAAGTTTGCAAACAAAAAACTACTGATAGAGGCTATCAAGGAGCATGCAATTATACATGGTAGGGAAGTGAAATTGATAAAAAATGACAACAGACGAGTTCAGGCTAAATCTGTGAAAGGGTGTTCTTTCCAGGTATATGGATCAAATATTAATACAGAGGAAGGGACATTTGCAATAAAAACTTTGAGCCTAGAACATCAGTGTGGAAGAGTGGACAAGCTTAGGCATACCACATCAAAATGGCTTTGTGACAGATATGCAAATAAGCTGAAGTGCAACTCAGAGTTTGATCTGAAATTGTTTCAAGAAGATGTATTGGAAGATTACAAAATAAATGTCACAAAAATTCAAGTTTATAGGGCAAAGAGGCTAGCCAGAGATTTAAAAATGCAAACAGGGGTAGTACAATGAAGATTAAAACTCAGATTGTGAAGGGTGAGATAGTGTTTCAAAGGATATATGTGTGCTTGGCTTCCTGTAAGAATGGATTTTTAGAAGGTTGCAGACTTGTTATTGGTGTTGATGGCTACCATTAGAAAGGGTCGTATCCTGGACAGATCTTGTCGGCTGTTGGGGTGGATGGGAACAATGGTTATTTCCCAATAGCTTATGCAGTAGTTGATATTGAGAGTAAAGACTCTTGGATTTGGTTTTTCAATCTTGTTATTGAAGATTTAGGGATACAAATGAAAAGGCTTGGGTAGTGATTAGTGACAAACAAAAGGGACTTGTATCTACCGTTGAGACAGTACTTCCAACTGCAGAGCATAGGATGTGAGTGAGACACATGTACAGTAACTTTAGGGCATCACATATTGGTCTTGCTCTAAAACATATATTATGGGCTGCAGCAAGAGCTCCAACTGTGCCTTGGTGGGAGGCAGAAATGGAGAAGATGAAAAATGAGGATGAGGAAGCTTGGAAGTGGTTGAAGAAGAGACCTGCAAAAAATTGGAGCAGATCTCACTTCGAGTCACATTTTAAATGTGATCTTTTGTTGAATATTTTATATGAAAGTTTCAATGCAGCCATACTAGATGCAAGGGATAAGACAATTTTGAGTTGTTTGGAGAGGATAAGGGTGTATGTGATGCTTAGGGTGGCTAGTAGGAGGTCTGCATGTAAGAATTGGAGATACTTTGTTGGGCCTAGGATCTTCAAGATAATTGAAAAGAACAAGCTATGTTCATCACAATGCATTCCTAGATTGGCTGGTAAGAAATTGTATCAAGTGAGCCACATTTATGGTAGAGAATTTGTTGTAGACCTTAAAACAAAGACATGTTCTTGTAGGAGGTGGAATTTATGCGGAATACCATGTCCCCATGCAATCTCAACAATATTTCAAAGATGTGAAAACCCAATTGCTTATGTGGATGATTGTTATAAGCTCAAGACTTATATGAAGGCTTATGAACCAGTGATTCACCCCATCCCTTCAATGGACCAATGGAGTAAAAATGGCCTTCCTCCAATTAAACCTCCACTTTATAAGCAACAACCGGGTAGGCCTAAAAGAGTTAGGATGAAAGAGCCTGGTGAGGTTGAAATACCAGCCTCATCCCACCAAACCCTAGGCCTCCAAATTATATGCCCCACCAGCCAAGCTTAGAAGGGTTTTCATTGAAATAAGATGTCGTGGATGCGGTCAAAAAAGCCATAATAGAGCAACATGTGACAGACAAAAAAATCAAACCCAACGAGTATGACTGTTAGACACCTTGTTTAGTTCTATGTTATGACGCACTTACATTAATAATTTTGTTATATATTTGTAGGTTAACACAGTAAGAGGGAGAGGCATAAGTAGAGGAAGAGGCATAAGTAGAGGGAGAGACGTAAGTGAAGGAATAGGAAATGTTGCTCAAGCTCCTGCTTACCCAAATTCACAACAAAGTGTAAGCTTTGGTTGCTCTTGTGGTTTTAAGTTGCAAAAGTCATTAGGCAACTGAAATCATTAATGTTTTTTTAGATAGCAAGAGGTAATGGAGAAGGAGGCAGAGGCATAAGTAGAGGAAGAGGCAATGTTGCTCAAGCCCCTGTTTACCCAAATTCACAAGAAAGTGTAAGCTTTATTTTCTCAACCATTCAATTTTTTATTGCTTATGTCATTGGAAAACAATAAAGCTTTATTTTCTCAACCATTCATTTTTTTATTGCTTATGTCATTGGAAAACAATAAAGATCAGTAACTTTTTCAGGTGACAAGAGGTAATGGACAAGGAGTCTTACCATCTTCAAAGCTAAGTGAAATTAAAGGAAGAGGCTTAGGAAGAGGCATAAGTGGAGGAAGAGGCTTATCATCTTCACAACTAACTGTAGGTTTTTGTCATTTGGTTCAATTCTTACTCATTTCACTAATTGCCAATTTTTCAACTATTATACACTTGACATTACTACATTGTTTAGGTGGCAAGAGGAAGGGGACAAGGAGGACCATATTTGGACAACATTTCCCATGATAATAACATGGCCTCAAAATAGGGGAAATTATTGCCAAGGGTGTCATATGTTGTGTATTTTGGGATATGTAATTTTCTAGCCAGAGGGATTCTGTGACAAAAGGGACTGATTCTGACTTTAGATTGTGTAATTGGTTTTGAGTTTGAAGGGCTAAAACTCTGTAATTGCTTGCCTATTTTGGGTTAGGTACTTTCTTGGGCAGGAGAATTTTGTGTACTTTGTCTAATTGGTTTTGAGCTAGAACGGCTCAACTTGTGTAATTGGTTGTCTATTTTGGGTTATGTACTTTTCTAGGCAAGTGCATTTTGTGTCCTTGGTCTAACTGGTCTTGAGTTTGAAGGGCTCAAACTCTGTAATTGGAATTGGAATGTTTATATGGATGTTCATTTTGTAAATTATCTGTGTGGTCAAGAATGGAATGGCTTTTAATTTGTTCTATTCAGTAGAATATTAAGTTTTGTGCATCTCCCAGATATTCAAATAACCTCAATTCGAGAAAATTTGAGAACACTAATGCACATTCATTCTACAATTGAAATTGAAGTCTTCACCATTACATTCAAAGGAACAAACCACATAACAATTAAAACTTCCCACTCATCACAAATGTTATAAACAAACCCCAAGACAAAATCAAGGAAACCCACATTATCAATTGTCTTTGCCCATGACCCCATTTTAAAACCTTTTTTTCCTGAACCATTTCTTTCAATTTCTACTGCAGTTCTTTCTTTTTTTCTTCCACAGATCTCAATTGTTCTTCCTTTGCTCTACCTTCCTCCTCCATTGCTCTAAGTCTTCTAAGCAAACCAGGGACCACTTGTTTGCCTCCTGGAAAAGTTTCATTATCCACCCACTCAAAAAAATGCATACCTCTTCTGCTATTATGGCAAATCAAATCTTACCCAATTTCAGACCTCATCAAGCAATTACAAATGGAAAACAACAACTTTTACAACCCAAATAATAACTTACCCAATTTTTATCACAAGCATCGAACCCTCTTCCTGGGTTCAAATCTGTCCACAAAGTCCGACGAATTATCTTTGTCCCACAGGTACAATACCGACTCATCCCACTTGAGATCATTGAAATCTCTAACGTTGAAATCTCCGACATTGCAAACCTAGGGTTCTAATTTGGGTGTTTTCATGGAGCTTCTAATAGAAATGGGAGGGAATGCATTCCTACGTTGGCTTGGTCGTTTTACAGGAGGATACTCACCTAAAAATATGGTTTTGTCTCTTGATTTAATGGAATAATACACAGACTTTGACAGATGGACCATCTTGGTACAAATAAAAAGTTTAAGGACATTTGAAATGAAAATTTTAATTGGTAGACCAAAACGATACTGGAGCAATAGTTGAAGGACCATTTAGGTCATTAACCTATAGAAGATAAAAAGATAGCAACTCTGTTGGAGATGCCCTTATAGGCCTCGCTAGGCCAATAAACCCAAGCATGGTTTAAGTAGCAAATAGGCATGGGATTAGTCCTCGGGGCTCGTTTGGTACGCCTCCCTAACTTGGATTGGCTTGGATAAAAAATTATCTCATGTGTTGTTGTCATATGGTTCTAGTTTTAAATGGGATTAATAATCTGGGGCCCACCAAAAACACCTTCTTAGCTGGGCTTACTGAGTCCCATCTGTGAAGGGGGGGACAAATAATCCCCTCCTCATCACTCACGACTTCCTCCCCTCCCCACGCCTTCGTCTTTGCCATCAGTTCCCACCCCACCACACACCTCGTCACAGCCATCACCTCCCGCCTAAGCACACACCTCGTCACAACCATGGCTTCCAACCCTCATCCATGTCAGCTGCTCTCTCTCTCTCTCTCTCTCTCGCTCTAAGTCTGCTACAAAACCCAAATGGAGGAAATAAATCAATTAATTCAAATCGCTTTTTTTTTTTTTTTTATTTATAATGAAATTGGGGAAGAACCTCATAAAATAATAGCTAACCATCAAGAAATTCATCATCAAAGAACCCACCCAGGCAGAAGCCTCCTCAAAGAAGCAAATTCCCAAATTTAGATTGTGTGGTTTGGGCATGTGGCTATTGAAGAGAGAGGAGGGTGAAGAGAGAAATAGTGAAATAGGAAAATGAGAGAATATAAAATTTTCAATTAAGAAGCAGAGAGACAAATAGATTGAGAAGAAGTGGAGAAGGAGAGAAGAGGGAAAGAAGAAGATGAAGAAGTCGCAGGTTGGAAGAAGAAGACAAAACAGCAGAGAACAAAAGAAGAAAAGTTTTAAAAAAAACAAAACAAATAAATCCACTTGCCTTTTTTTAAAAATTAAAAATAAAAAGTCAAAAAATTTAGTTCTAGTCCAATCGTGCACCAAACACAGTACAAGTATTATCCAGCTTATGCCAAGTCAAGTCAATCCAAGACAATCTTAATATTTAGTCTAGTTCATGACAATCCTTCGTACAAAAAGAGCCTCCAATGCTTTATCTGACATTGTCCTTTCAAGCTAAACCCACGTCAAAAATGGAGGCAAAAAACTTTTCTGAGTTGGACCAACTCCCACATGGCCACCTTTCAGCTTTCTATTGGGTATTTAACTTCATACGGCCCAATTATTTTCTTTTGAACGCAAACCTCCAGGCCCAACTTGCCAATTAATATTTTTTTTTAAAGCTATAAAATTTGCCCAAACAAATTTCATCCACTTAATAATATTTGCAACACCTCTCGTAATATGAAGAAAAACAAACCGCTTCTCTGTTTCTATAAACTTCACTTAGTCAATTGGATAGGATGGACTCTTAGTATAAAAATCTGGACATGTTTGCTCTTAATGTATGTCCAACACGATGTAATTATGAGGACACCACCACATATCTGCTGGGCGCCTTGAAACTAGACAACTTTGCTCAGATTCTAGCTTTCTTTAGATTTGAACAAAATGGGAGATGTGGCTCCCTCTTGCCTTCCTCCCACTTAGTTTTCTTTTTATTTTTTGCGTACGTTATTTAATTAAATAAAAGAAGCAATGGTTTAACGAAAGATTCATTTCTTGCTCATTTGTTATTAAAATTGAAACAGAAAAGGGACCATCAAAAGCAAATAACACTCAATGTGGTAATCCAATATGGATAACTTTTGTTCATTTTAGGAATTTTTTTTGGAATCTGATTTATGTTTCCCAAACATAAAACTCAGAATGATGGGATATTCCTTTAGAGATCGGTGATTTAATATTTTTATTTGTTTGGTTCTTTAGACATGGGTAGTTATAATCCTTGTTTTATCTCAAATTATAATATTCCTTATTTTTATTTGTTTGGCAAAGGACTTACGAGTGTAGTGGTTTAGAGTAATTGCTCCTCCAAGAAAGGTTCTGGGTTCGAATCCTAGTATTCGTGTAGTGCGTGCGAGTTTAGGGTTTAGGGTTTAGGAAGTGCCCTAAAAAATAAATAAATTCTTGTTTTATCTCAAGTCTTTTTACCTTTTCAAACTACATTAAATTGTAACCTTTCTTTTTATCAGTGGGTATGTCATGATTCCAATAAGAGGCAAAGGCTCTTCTTCTTTCCTTTATATATAGGAGATAAGATAATCCAATTGTAGTGTAATATTAAATTGCTTGGGCATATTAAAAAGAAATCTATATTAGTTGTCACATAAAGAAGATTCCTCTGTTCTTGTGTATTTGATCTTCCAAGGGGTTACCACATATTTATTAGTTGTTGTCATGTAATTAAACTTCTTTAACATTAAACAAATGCTCTTAATCGTCCACCACTTTGTTAATAGTGGGCAAATTAGAGTAATGGTCTATTCTGATTCTCATGCTGCCAGACAAATGTATATATTGCTAAATCTTGAATTTCGACCACCCATTTTGACATGAGATAAAATGATTTGACAGGAAAATATTTTCAGATATAACAAACAAGAAAGGGTAGTACACCTATATATCGATCGGCATATAAAAGCCATGTAACATCAGATGATCAATTCAATCATATTAGCCACAATTTGAATTAGGGTTTTAATGAATTCATACACTTGGTACCACAGAAGACCAGGGGGATCCACTTGCATGGACAAACAGGAACATTGAAGCATAATTAATTAATAATTGATTATTATACGTTTCAATATATATATGAGATGCCAACCTGGGATGAGCATCATGGGAAGGACTCGCCATAAAACAGCCAACTCAGAAGCTTCCACTTGCACTCTGCCTCTCTGTAAATAATAACATATGCAAAAGGCCAATAGCTTAACCTTTCCCTCTCAAAACCGGCCCCTTCGACTTCCAATTCACCACTAATTAATCCACCAGTCACCCCAAAGTTATGTTAACATTTCACAAAGCCTGCAGTGACCCCCCTACATAATAATATATAACTTCAAAATATAAAATATAAAATAAATAGTATAAAATAAACAATACATTAATTTGCAGAATAGTTTTTTTATTTTTATTTTTAAATTTGCCTTGTTACAAATGTTGGAACAACATTAGGGTCTAAGCTTTCCCTATAAACAATAGATCTCTCCCGAGTTCTTTCTTGTTCTTCCGTTCTTGCTGCAAGCCTTGTTCTCCCTTTGTTTGATTTTTGAAGCACCAAGCAGGAGAGAGAGATGGGAGGGTGTGCAACAAAGCCGAAGGTGTTGAAGGCCGAGGGCGCAAGCGAAGCGCCAGAGCCGGCACCAGAGGGGGCAGCCAAGGAAGAAGTAGTGGCGGCGGTACCAGTTGATGATCAGGCAAAGGAGAAGGATGTGGTAGTAGATGCTGCTGCTGATGATGAATATGAGAAGAAGAAGAAGAAGATAGAGTTGGCTCCTGAGGAAGAGGGTGGCGGTGATGATAAAGTCAAGGAGATCGTTGATGATGATGAACAAGGAAGTAAACACCGCTCTCTCAGTCTTTTGTTCAAGGTGCGTTTCAAAACATTTTTATAAAAAAATTCTTTTCACTTTCTCACTATTTTATTTTGCTAAACTAATTAAGTGAAAGGGAAAAATATCAATCTATTTTTAAAATACTCTCATCATTAAACACACAAGGTTTTGCCTTGAATGATCGAGATCTGGTGTGATGCCTTATGGCTCCATCTTCTTTGTGACTGAACTTTTTATGGTAGGTTAAATGTTGCTATGATGTTCTTTTCTTGCGAAAGCTATTGTCCTTATGATCAAAATTATTTATTCAAAGTTACACTAGCCTTCCGGTACACGCTCATGCGGGCTAATTTTCTCTATTTTTTTTCTCTCTATTGTGTCTCTTTATTTTTTGGCCCAGCTTTACATTAATACATTTAGGTAGTGTACGGTGGTTTTTTTATTTCAAATTTGTCTGTCAGCTATCATTGAATTTTTATTTTATTTTAATGGTAGTTATGATGTATTGAATTTTGGTGAAGTCCGACAGCATGTAAGGGTCTAATATCTAGTAGTGATTACTATATTAACCAGTTGATGAAATATTATTTCGTTAGTCTCATATGTCTTGAAGGATATTCTAAATTCAAATTTCACGTACAATATTTCTTGAAAAAAAAAGAGAATATTTATGTATAAAACTTGTTTTTCTCCATTTCTTTGGAATTTGGAAAAATCTATATAAAATATTATGACAGGCCAACTGCCCATAGATTTTTTTTTCTTTTATATATTATTTATTTGCATTTTGCTGGTAGTTTGGAAGCAGGGCCACAATGTGGGAATGCATTAACCAAAGGACCTTTTTCCTGTTTTTCTTTTTCCTTTTCTTTTTAGGGAGAACTCACCCTTACTTTTGACTTGGAGTCCTGTTCTACAAAAGCAGATGCACCAGTTTTGCCTCTTTGGTTCATTTCTTAATTTTTTTTTCATTAATCAAGGAATTTTTTTTGATATTTTGAATGTTTGACCGCTGGTCATTTCGAATCTAACTTAAACACATTATATCTAATATTTTTATGGTTCTTCCAACCAATTTAGTATCACCTTCCTTTCACTATCCAAATCCATGCTTTTATATCATTCCATTATGCTAAGACACAAGTTTAATTTGTAGGTAGCGTTTTGTTGTTGGGCATGTGGACCCTGTCTTAAGATTCTTAGTACAAGTAAACACAATATATTGACTATGATAACCTTTAGCTAACTATCCTCGATTATATTTGAATTTAGAACTTCTTCCAACATAGTGAAAATTCAGTATGACTAGACCAAATAGTCGTTGGCCAGAGTTATAGTCATCAATTTAATTTCCTTAGTTTTATTTTTCCAATTTCAGTTTGAAATTTCTCTCCGGTTTTTTAATTTGTGGAAATTTTGAAACTTACGTATTATTATTATTTTTTATCTTTTTAAAATAGCTCAGAATTTTGAATAGGCTCAACAATTTGAAATCTAAAAGTGGTTTTACCATTTAAGGACAAATAGGAGGGCACCAAGACAAAATGATCCAGCCCCTCAAAAACTCATATGTCACTGTACAGTGACATTGAATAGCTCTTGAGTCATTGTTCAACATTGACATAAGAGTTATTTCATGTCATCGTCGGACAATAACTAGGCCGGTTTGTCTAATTTTGGAGGGACTGGACCATTTTAACATTTTGTCTTGTGTGGAATACTTTTTTTATTTTATCATTTTTTATTCTATTTATTTGAAGATGAAGTTAGTCATGGAGAATACATTTCAAATCCAATCCAAATATTTTCGGATTTTTGGACGTCGAAATTGATTTGGGTGTGCCAAATGTTAAAATAATTCAGATCGAAATCGGTTGAAAGTGGAATTTCTTGTCCTAACTTACATCTCTAATACCAAAACAAGGATAAAAATGCTTAATTATATAACTTTTCTTATTAAGACTTTTTTCGGGGAAACACATCAAAGAGATAATAGGAATGCATTATTGTCGTGGTGGTCGATTCATATTCCCAAGGTGAAAAATATTGCAAATTCTCTGGTCAAAATATTTATAAATTCTTAGCTTTTTTTAAGCTGGCCCATGTCTTTATGCTTGTCGAATGTCTTGTCGGCATTACGGATTTTCCATTAGATTCTAAGATATTTTGCACTGAAAGGTGACTATCTCTATGTACGATGTGTTGCTGAGTTTATTATTGTTTGGTTTGAATAAACCAAAAACAAACAAAAAAAACGTAACTCTTACATTACTTTGGGTTGAAAGCTACGTAGTCCGAATCCTATATAATCAGTATATATGGTATCTTGAACATTCCATGACAACTTCATTTCAGGACAAAAAAACGAGTCGCTGTTTAGAGGTCCACTAGTGGTTTAATTGGCTCCTCCTTGTTTGTTTGTTTCTCTTTTTCTTTTTCTTTTCCTATTTGAAACTGGTCTTTGTGTAGTTATATGGTAGGCTTCTGCAAGGCAGGCAGAACAAAGGATTGCCTGGGTTGGATTCTTAAAAGCTTCATCTGTCTTCTTGTCCATTCTCTCTCTCGCCCTCTCTTATTGCAAGTTAAAATGTGCCGTGACAGTGAGAAATGCATGTGAACAGAACCTGCCAAGTTTATGATCTAGCTATATATGATCTAGCTGGTAAGATTTTATCAAGATTCCGATGTGGGGTTTTATCACAAAAGACTAGTCTAGCTGTTAAAATTTTATTAAGATTTCGATGTGGGGTTTTATCACAAAGATCTTAGTATTATTAGTAGTGGAAGTACCCATTATATATTGTCAAGGTTCCGATGTGACTTTTTACAGCTGGTTGGGAGCATTTTGATTACCTGATTCAAAATGTTTTGATTTTGGGGTTGCAATTGTGGACAATCCATAGACTCAACTGTAAAACTAGGCAACTATATATGAGATTAGGAACATGTGGTAGATTTATTGGGTTATATATAGTTTATGATAATTTATTTTCTAACTATTTTACCATCACTGCTGGCTGGACTCTGGAACTTAGCAGAATGAAGAAGGAAAGGAGGAGGCAACAGAAACAGAGAAGCAGCCAGAACCATCGGAGACCGAAAAGCCTCTGGAGGAACAGAAGGCTGAGCCTGCAGAGATAGCCATTGAAGATGCACCAGAACCAGAGACCAAAACCAAACAACCATCTGAAGAAAAAGTTACAGAAGAAGTGAAGGAAGTTGCTGAAGCAGCAACGGAGGAAGTGAAAGGAACCGTCGCAGAAAATAGTCCAGAAGAAGGAAAAGATGTTGAAGTGAAGGGAGGCTCTGCTGAAGAGCATGCCAAAGTATGATGAAGAGAGGGTTGGCCATTTGACTGTTTAAGAGGACTTTGTTTTAATGCTGTTTCGTTAATTAATTAATTTTCTCTATCTCTGTTTTTGTTTCTTCATTTGAATTGCCATATTTTTCAACTTTCTCTGTGTGGGGGACAAACATCGGACATTTTAGATTGAATATACGAGTATAGATTGTTCCTTTTGGTGCAGAAGGAGGAAATGTTTTGCCAAAAAATGTTATGTTTGTTACAAAATTAATCTTGATTCTTGAGTTAAAAATTTAATTTCAAGGCCTAAACTAGCCCCAATTAATAAAAATACTTTATCTAAGTAATCCAATGCCATATTGTGCACTACGAGTAGAAAAATTATGTTTGTCCCATAACACAACCACATGATGTTCGTTATTTAGCTTGAGTAGGGTCTTTTTCTGATGATAGTAGGAATTCCTACTTTCCTATCAATCACAGTTTGACATGTGTGTAAAAATTTGTCTTTTTATATTTTCGTGATGAATCATTTTTGCTTATATTTCAAATTGATATGTTCACGAATGAGAAATGTGAACTTCTTGGGAATTCGGCAAGTGATAGATTCATATTTTTTATATATAATCTAGGGAAATAGCACTTAATGCCACCATTTTTATAATTTTAACTGAAAATACCACCTCTTCCCAAAAATTTTGCAACTATCACCTATAAATATATATTTATTGTCCACTTACTATCACCTATAAATATATATATTTATTGTCCACTTATTGCACACATATCACTTTTTCTGAAATTTAGTTCTCTCTCAGCTTGCTTAGCTCTCTATTTTCTCTCTCTCTCTCTCTCTCTCTCTCTCTCTCTCTCTCTCTCTCTCGTGCAGTTGTATCCCTATGGCACAGTTGTCTCTCACTCTCTCTTCTGAATTGCAAAACCCTCCCTCGACCCCATCTTCTAGGTATGTCTTCTGAATAACGTAAGGTAACAGCTGCTTACAACCTTGAAGCTCTACTGGATCGCCGACCTCAAATAGGTAGCCTTGATGGTTATTTTCTTAATCTCTATGGGTTTCTGTTAAATTGGTTTTGGCTTTTATTGCTTTCGGTTTTGTTTTTTGAATCTTCATGCTCATCCATCTGGGTTTTTACCAATTGCATTTAGATTGCTCTGGATATGTGAATCTTGAAACTTGGGATTTTCCATTTGATGTAGTAGATTTGTATAGTCTGATTGTGATGAATCCTTGTTCATTGTTGTGCTATTGTTGAATTGCTATTGTGTTGCTGTTATTTTGCTGTTATGTTGCTGTTATAGTGTGTTATATTGCTGTTATATTGCTATTATATGCCATTGTATTGCCCGGTTGTATTGTGTTAATGAAATAATGTTTTGTCATGGTCAGAAATGAAGGCAGTTGTTATTCTAGTTTGCTACAATGGAAAATGGGTAACCTCAAAGAAGATGTGCAAATACGAAGGAGGTGACTCAAAAGGCTTAATAGTACCACGGACCATATCATTTGCTGAACTGTTGGATCGTGTGCATCCGATTGGTAATACAAACAGTAGGGAAGACAAGGTTTGCTTAAAGTTCTCAGTTTTGGTGGCCTCGAATGAGTGGAAGCATATAAAGATTGAGGACGATGAGAGCATCCACAGTGGGAGGGTGTATAATGAGGTGTATGTTAAATATACACCCATTGTGATTGGAATCATTCACAATGGAGAGGTGTAAACGAGTGTAAATTTGCATCACCACCATGAGATGCAAATTTAGATGCACATATACATCTTTTTTTACATCTCTTGCAGGTGGGACCTACATGAGAAAAGGCAAGAAAAAGTGGACAAAAATGGGACCTACAACAAAAAAGGTGAAAGAAATCAATTATACATATTTAGATTTACATCTTCCCTACTGGAGCAAAAATCACATTTACAAACCCCGGAGGTGTAAAAGAGATGTAAAAGTGGCTTTACACCCTCGAAAATACACCATCTCACTATGGATGCTCTGATGATGTCAAATTTTTTATGAAGTACGATTGTGAGGTAACACCTTCAAAACTAGCTCCCTTACTCGTAAGTATAGAAGATAAAGGACTGATAAATGATGTAGTTGATAGTATGCATATCACGACAGATAGTAGTCGAATGGGTAATTTTTTAGTTGCCATTGTTGAAAGCAATGAAGTAACTCGGAATAATACAAATGTCGCTGATGTGGGAGGTGATGTTGGGACAGATTTTATAGACATGATTGATTTTAGCGAGGTGGAGGAGATGCATGGTGGTGATAATGATACTGAAACAAATGAAGTGTCAGTGTACTCTGCCCCACCCATTTTGAGTCCCTTGGACACATCAACCTAATTGCCAATAATGCATTTAGGAGGAGAATCTGAACCCACTCGTGAACATTATTTAAGTCAAATGGGTGAACATAACCAGTGTAATGTGGCCAATGTAAATGATGGAGAAGCATATTTGGACACAGGGTATTCGTGAAGTGATTGGAATCCGAAAATTAATGTTGGGCAAATTTTCTCTAGTAAGGGAGCATTGTTGACCGAGTTACAGTTGACGGCATTGAGAGGCCCCTTTGAATATAAGGTGCAATTCTCTTGCACCAAGAGGTTTCTTGTGGTTTGTTGTCAACGTCCATGCCCATGGCAGGTCCGATCATCGAGAATTGGAGAATACAACTTCATGATTGTGAGGTGTACAGCTGTCCATGAATGTGATTTGAGGTTTGTAAATAACAACCATCATCAAGCAACCGCAACACTTGTAGCCACTTCATTGAAAAGGAAGTTGAAGGATTCTTGGACAATATACACACCAACTGACATAATGAGAGATGTCAAACACAACTTTGGTTTGACCATCCATTATTCGAAAGCTTGGAAAGCGAGGGAGTTAGCTCTAATGTCCATTAGATGATCAGTCGAGGAGGCTTATTATGTCCTTCCAGTCTATTGCTATGAATTGGAGTGTATGAATCCCGGCACAAAGACTCACATCCAAACTGATGAGAACAATCACTTTGTGTATTTATTTATGGTAGTTGGTGCATGTATTAGAGGGTTTCATTCTTCCATGAGCCCAGTGATAGCCGTGGATGCCACTCATATAAAATCTAAGTACAAGAGTGTTATGTTTGTAGCAAATGCATTCGATGGTAATCGAAATATATATCCTCTTGCTTTTGGGATTGGGAATTTGGAGATGAATGCATCATGGCATTGGTGTTTCACTAAACTTCATGAAGCCATTGGTGAGTGTCCCAATCTTGTTATCATTTCTGTTACGGAGTTGCAGGGTATCCCACCGCCCAATTCTGTTACGGAGTTGCAGGGTATCCCACCGCCCAAGTAGCCATCTAGTATTGGGCATCCGATGGATAATTTAGGGGTTGAAAGAGGAAGGAGTATGAGGTTTTGTGGTGTCATGTTTCTGTAATTTAGGGGGGGATGTGATGGTGGTGCAAGGCATGAATTGTATAAATAGAGTTCATATTGAAGGTGTGTAATGTAGGCCATATCTTTTAAGGGATGTATACTTCATCAATTTTCCAAATTTTTTTTAATTTGTTTTTTTTTACTAAAAAATAAAAAAACACAAAGTCTGATGCAGTACCTACTGTAATAGGTTCGTATTGTAACTCTATTGTGCTCTTATTGATATCATATTGCCATTATACGCATGTGTATTGTGGAGTTATTGCCGCTATAATTGTTTGAACTGGACATGGATAAAGGAAACTATATACGCACAAATACAAAAACAGGCATCATAATTCCATCATATCCAATTTTGAAACTTACATAATACAACAAGAGGCCACCCCATAGTTACATAATACAAAAAGAAGCCACCTCATAGTTCCATTTTACAGGTTGTTTCCACTATATTTTACAATGTCCAAAGTCATATTAAAGTGTCAAATGTTTCCTCCATTGACACATTCAGAGTTGCATACTCTTCAATTGTGGCGACTGCGACCCATGAAATTCATGACCCCACCCACAGTGATGTTGTCCCAGTTTCCTTCTGGATCCACTATTTCTGCAAACTTGCAAAATAGTTCGAATCCAGTTTCCACTTGTTCTCGCTTCAACTGGGCCATTTCGTTAGATTACTTGAATACCATAACTCTAGTGGCAGGGGCAATTTCAATTTTTGCTTTCATACCCTTTATATGTTGGACATGCATGCGGGCATGATAACTAGAGTGAATTGTGCGCTTTTTTATCACACCCCACCTAGCTTGGCCCTCCAAAATTTTTGAAACTATGTCTGCATGGAGATTTTCCAAAACATGGTATTGCCTTGACATTGCTACAAGCCATGGACGAAGTCTGCAGTCAGTGAATTGGCTGACTTGGTTGGTGTTTCAGTCTCCCTTCCTTCAGTAATTGAAAGCGTTGGGTTTGGTGTGAGGTTAGGGTCCATGGTTTTGGATATTTATTGTGGGCCGGTGTAGGACTTAATTGGAGAAAAGTGGGACTTAATGCGATGTGAGTGAAATCAATGGGGAAGGTAATGGCTGCAAGCAGGAGTTAATGTGATGGAAGTTTTCTCTTCATACAGCTGGGTTGAAGTTTAATATAGGCAGGTATTAAGGAGCTAGAGTAAATGAGTGAGTAATTGACGGGTTTTATTAGGGGGAGTAATTGGCGGGATTCACTGGTGGGAGTTATTAGGCATGAGTTATTACTCAATTGCCTCTATGACTACTTTCCTATATTTGTATTTTGGAATTTCTGAATTTGGTAATTTTCCCATTTTATAATTTAAAGAATTTGCCTAATTGACCAACTAATTCAAACTGTCCAATGCGGTAATTTTCTTATTTCCATTTCAATTCGTTTCCAATTTTCCAATTTTCCCATTTTTCAAATTTTCCTATTCCGTATTTGCCTAATTTACTTTTTCTATGTTCCAATTCCTATGTGGGAATTTACGTATTTTCCCAAATTTTCATATTTTCCTATATTTGTCATTTGGAATTTCCCAATTTCCTAGTTTTTCCAATTTTGTATTTAAAGAATTTGCCTAATTTGGCAAATGTACCAACTTATTCAATTTGTCCAATATGGTAATAATCCTAGTTCCCATTTTTTCCATTTCAATTGGTTTCCAATTTTCCAATTTTGTATTTGCGTAATATCCTTTTCCTATGTTCCAATTTTACTATGTGGCAAATTTCATATTTTCCCAAATTTCTAATTTTATTTGCTGTGCTTTATATGTGTTTTTCTGCCATATAACGTTTCCGTATTTTCGTTGTTCTTCAAATTTTGTCATTTTCAATCTTTGTCTAATTTGAGCACATTTGGAATTTGGCAATTTCCCAGTAAGGTAATTTTCTGATTTTCCAATTTTCCAATTTTCCATTATTTCAATTTTGCAATTTTGTTTTGTATTTTTTTTCAAATTTCCAAAAATTTCTTAGTTACAAAGTCCATTTTTGGCTTGAAATCCACAATTTCCAATATCCCATTAAGGTTTTTTTTTGTTTTGTTTATAATCCAATTTATTGCTGTTATTGTAATGCTCTAAATTACAGCCAATGACTAAATGGTGTACATTGTAATTAATGCACCAACTACATACCCAATTCCGTCATATATAGAGATGTAACTAACTCCTTGAATATAATATAAATTAGACAAGTTGCTATATATAATTGAAGCATAGGCACCTTCTTAACGTCGGGTTTGGGAGACTGAACGTACCTTCAATTTTTTTTTGCAAACTGCAGCTATGAATTGTCGCCAGCAATACTTAAAGATGTCAGACGTACGCCCTTCAAACGATCATCTCAGTTACCCGGGAAACCAGTCATGGCATGTGCCATTCCCATCTCCACCTCTGACCCCAAATCACAATCCCACTTCATTTGGAAGTGAGGCTCAGAGCAACGATCCACTTGACAAAATCTATGCCGTGAAGCACGACGTCCAATATTTGTCTAGGGCAACAGATTGGTGGGAGAGCAAATGTGAGGCCAAGTGATGGGAAACTTGGCCAACAAGTTGAACAAAGCATATGATAGGACCTGATCCAAATTCCACTTTGGAATTCGAGCTGAACCCTGTGCGTGTCCGACACCTGGAGGGTGCCGGGCACTAATGAACAAATTGCCCATCTAACTTAAATCCAATTTTATTACAAGTTTGACTTCTGCCGAAAATTTGGTAGAGTCTCCCCTATAATTTGGTCATTCCCCAAAATTTTCCACTTGTCAACAAGCATATATATATATATGTATATATATAACCCAACTGTTCAGCATGCATCTATTTACATCCAAACAATTCAACCATAAATAAACGGCCTCAAGCCATACATAAATCCTAGGGCAATATTAGAGCAACTATTTCAAAATTTACAGTAGAACAATTTAATTATGCAAGAATTCCTACATAAAGAGAAGGTGGAGCAGAGTGTGAAATCTGCCTTGTGGTGGCACTCTAGTGCACGACTACTGCCTGGGGGCGCAAATCATTGGAAAATGTGAGTGGACAAAAATAAAAGTTTGGAAAATAACATATGAACATACTAACCCCTCCGTAAAAACTGTTAGAAAACTCAATTACATACATGTACTATACTCGTACTGAAAACAGGCACGCATATTTATATTTATATAGTAATTCACACATTTACAAGATTCTCACATTAGTTCAAAATTTGAAAATAAAGATTTCCCTACCACCTAGGTGTACCCTTATTATATCCGTCAATTCCTGTATTTTCCGTCCATTCCTCATGCCACCTAAGTGACACGTCCTCGCAGGCCTCGGGACAAAGTAACCCGAGCCGCAATCCTCGCAGGATTCAGGGGACATTTAGTCAACCTGATCCGCATTCCTCGCTCTACACAGTCTGGGCGTCCCCAAAACTTGTGCGGGCATTTTCAAACGCACGCTAACTCAACCGAAGGCAACTATTATGTCCGTGGACATTATCATAATCGAAGGCAACAATTTAATCATCTCAACTCCTACTTTCCAAGTCCTTTGCATTTCAAACATGGCAATATACAAATAAATAAGTAAAAATGTTTAAATCCAATTAATCATGCTTGGTAAGCCATAGTCATTAAATACTTATTCAATATCAAATAATGAAACTTAAATGCATAAAATCATTTATAAAACAAAAGTCCACTCACTAAGCGTCTGAGCTTGCTTGACCCTTTGAGGGTCCCTCTTGTGGGTCAGCTGGTGCTCGAGTACCTATTTATGCTATTATAAATATTTAATTAATAAAATTACCAAACAAAATTATTTCATCCAAAACCCTGACCCCTGGCTTTTAAAAAGTGCATGCACTAGTCTAAGACCATTCCTATGCCCACTTAAACCTTTCGGACAGTTAGAATGGTCTGAAAAGACTTAAGACTCAATAAGCGATAAATTTCCATACTGGTCAACCCAGACGACCTCCAATTATCAATCCGAGAGTTCCTTTAGGTTCTAAGCGATACCGGTGGCCGGAAAAACTTCAAAATTGAGGGCCAAAGTTCCTACCACAGGTTTAGGACATCGATTGGAGCAACTTTTGTTCTTGGACCTACCCCGAAAAACGATCGAAAGTGGCCGGAATTTCGAATTGAAAACTGGCCAAACTTTGGATCGTGATTAGATCTACCTAGGCTAGAAATTGTTTCAATCCTACCCAACCATCAGCTAGAGCTCGAAGAATAGATGGAAATCAATACCTTGTTTGCCGAAAATGGTGGTCGGAGGAGAGAAATTGAGCGGTGGGAAAATTCTGTCAAAACTGGCGAATTAGCGGCAGCTGACAGCGGGACTGCAGTGAGATGGAGGGGTCGGGTTGGTTCGTTTGGCAACGGTCTCGAGGATCGGGGTGGAGTGTGGCGGTGGCTATGGAGGTTGGGGAAGGTGGCGGTTGAAGAAAATTCAAAGGGGGAGGGGGTATCGCGCGATAGGGGGGTTGGGAGAGCGAGAGAGAGAGAGAGAAATCTGGAATTTAAAAATCCAATTTCGCAAAATTACAATTTTGCCCCTCTAAGTATTTTAATCGTATATTCCTCAATACAACTCGGATTCGAGCCCACTACGTGTCTACGGACTCATCTTGACGTGCTCTACACAACGATACAATTAAAATTTCTAAATTCCTTCCTGGTAAAAAAGTCAACTTTTAACCTAATAAAATATTCTAGGGGCAAAATGGTCTTTTATCATAATAAATTAGTAATTAAAAATTGATTTAGGATCAGGTTGTTACAATACCCCCTTACAAAAATTTTGTCCTCGAAATTTCCATACCTGTCACTCAAAGAGATAAAGGTACAGATCCCGCATTTGGTCCTCGGGTTCCCAAGTGGCTTCTTCCATGACTCTTCCACAAGACTTTCACAAGTGGAATCTTTCTAAAATGTAGCACCTGTGTCTTCCAATCCTAAATCTGTATAGGTTGCTCCACATAACTCAAATCATCCTCCAATTCTATTGGTTACTCCTCTAGAACATGGGAAGGATCAGAGATATACTTCCGGAGCATGGAGATGTGAAATACATCATGTAATCAGGAAAGGTCTAAAGGCGAGGCAAGCCTGTAAGCCACTGGGCCCACACGCTCCAAAATCTCATAGGGCCCAATGTAACGAGGACTTAACTTTCCTCGTTTTCCAAATCTTACCACACCTTTCCAAGGCGATAACTTTAAGAACACCCAGTCACCAACTTCAAATTGAAGATCTTTTCTTCTATTGTCGGCATAAGTTCAACCTGCTTCTTTGTCTAATCAGTTCAACTTGCTTCTTTGTCCATTCAACATCTTCAGATACTTCCAATATGTGCTCACCCACTTCATCCCAATAAATTGGAGTTCTATACTGTCTTCCATACAATGCATCAAATGGTGACATCTCAATACTTTCCTAGTAACCGTTATTATACGCAAAATCCATGAGAGGTAGTTTATCATCCCAATCTCCCCGAAACTGTAGTTTATGCATGGCAAAGACTGAGCAGTGGGCTTCCTCAATAATTTCTCTTTTCAATGTTTCATCCCCAGGAGCATACAGTCTCGTGCCCACCATTAATGCTTCATCATTTTTCACTGAATAATCGGTTCTGGTACCATTCTCGACCTCTAATCTTATAGCACAGATCAATGGGTCCTGCGACTGGACTTCAATTATTCATTCCACTAACACTGGTCTTACATAAAGAGTAGCCACCAAAGCTCCCCGATCATCCATACCTAGCCCATCTCTCAAATTCCTCAACTCAATCAACAATGGAAGATATCTTCCTCGGAGATGAGCCACAGAACCAGATGACTTCTTGTTGAGAGAATCCACTACCACATTAGCTCTCCCAGGATGATGCTCAATAGTGCAGTCATAATCCTTAATCAACTCTAATCACCTCCTTTGCCTCAAATTCAGTTCCTTTTGGGTGAACATATACTTCAAACTTTTATGATCCTTGAAAATTTGGCACGTTTCCCCATAAAGATAGTGCTGCCAAATCTTTAAAGTGAACACCACACTAGCAAGTTCCAAATCATGAGTAGGATAATTCAACTCATGCTTCTTGAGTTGCCTCGAAGCATAAGCGATTACCCTACCATGTTGCATCAACACACAACCTAATCCTTGTCGCGATGCATCACTGTAGATAACAAAGTTCCCACTATCATCTGGAAGTGTCAATACCGAAGCGGTGGTCAACCTGGTCTTGAGTTCATTGAAGCTCTCTTCACTCTCATCTGACCATTTAAGCTTAACTCCCTTTCTTGTCAAACAAGTGAAAGGGGTCGCTATGGTAGAGAAACCCTCCACGAAACGACGATAGTGCCCGACTAATCCATGGAAACTCTGTACCTCAGTGACCTTAGTTGGTCATGGCCAATAAACTACTGCCTCCACTTTTTGAGGATCCACATAAATACCCTCAGCAAAAATCACGTCCTTAGCACAATTTAAAAGTGCTTCATATGCGCCTTTTGACTTTTAGAATACACAAGAATGTTGTCTATGAACATAATCACAAAGCAATCCAAGTAACGTCGGAACACTCTGTTCATAAGATCCACAAGCGCAAATGGCACATAAGTCAGCCCAAAAGGCATCAGCACAAACTCATAATGACCATACCTCGTCCGAAAGCAGTCTTAGGCATGTATTCTTCTCTAATCCACAACTGGTAATAGCTTGATATCAAATCAATCTTAGAAAATACTTTAGCACCCTTCAACTGATCGAACAAATCATTGATGTGAGGCAACGGATACTTATTCAGCATAGTGACCTTGTTCAACTGTCTATAGTTAATGCACAACCTCGTGGTGCCATCTTTCTTCTTCACAAATAGAACTGGTGCACCCCAAGGAGAGAAACTGGGTCAGATGAAACCCTTGTCCACCAACTCTTGCACCAGTGTCTTCAATTCCTTCAATTCAGCTGGTGCCATTCTATACGGTGCCTGAGAGATAGGGTTTATTCCTAGAATGAGCCCAATGGTGAACTCGATTCCCCGATGAGTAGGTAATCCAAGAAGAATCTCAGGAAACACATCCAGAAATTCCCGTACCACCGGAATATTCTCCAACCTCAATCCATTATCCCAGGTGTTAATTATGTGAGCCAAGTGTTCTGAACGCCCCTTTCTGAGCAACCATCTTGCCGCCATAGCTGATATAAGACAAGATGGAAGAACTCTACGCTCACCACAGAAAGTCACCTCAGGTCGTTCGGGACTACGGAGTATGACCTCCTTCCGGAAACAATCAACCGAAGCATGATTCTTAGCTAACCAATCCATACCCAGAATAACATTCAAATCCACCATATCTAAAGGAATTAAATCTGCCTCCAGAATTACATCCCCTACCAAAACCATGCTACCCCTATACACTACACCAACTGTAAAGACATCTCCTGTGGGTACAGAAATAGCAAGTTCCTCACGTAGGGCCGTGAGTCTCACATTCGCATTGTGGGCAAAACCATGTGCAACAAAAGAGTGTGTAGCCCCGGGGTCGATCAAAACACGTGCAGGAATCCCAAAGATTGGTAACATGCCTCCTACTGAGACATGTTGCATACTCTGGATATTGCCCTGGAACATCCACCGCGTCCCATTTATTGACTGCCACCTCTACTAGCCATACTGGTCTGGGCCCCACTACTAGACAAGGCCCCCATAAACTGTGATGTACTCTGTACTCTGCTCTGTGCACCAGTCCCCTGGGTTGACCTAGTGGTAACTTCTCTACCCTGTAGAAGTATCGGGCATTCCCTCTAAATGACCGAATTGCCCATCTAACTAAAATCCAATTTTATTACAAGTTTGACTTATGCTGAAAATTCGGCAGAGTCTCCACTGTAATTTGGTCATTCCCAAAAATTTTCCACCTGTCAACAAGCATATATATATAATCCAACTATTTAGCATGCATCTATTTACATCCAAACAATTCAACCGTAAATAAACGGCCTCAAGCCATACAGAAATCCTAGGGCAATATCAGAGCAACTAATTCAAAATTTACAGCAGAACAATTTAATTACAGAAGAATTCCTACATAAAGAGAGGGTGGAATGGAGTGTGAAATTTTCCTTGTGGTGGCGCTCTGGTGCACGACTACTGCCTGGGGACACAAAACATTGGAAAATGTGAGTGGACAAAAATAAAGGTTTGGAAAATAACAGATGAACATACTAACCCCTCCGTAAAAACAATTAGAAAACTCAATTACATACACATACTATACTCGTACTGAAAATAGGCACGCATATTTATATTTATATAGTAATTCACTCAATTACAAGAAACTCAATTACATACACGTACTATACTCGTACAAGATTCTCACAAAATCTGAAGAATATAACCTGAAATGGTTGAATGTTTCAACAACAACTTCGAGATGTTCCGAGATTTTGCTTTGGTCATCTCACCATACTACAATTGGAGTGAAATTGATGTAGCTGGTGTCTGGCAGTTGCTGAATATGGGTGGAGAGGGAATGACTGATCATAGCCTTGTGCATGCAGCGAGGATGTAGGCCAAAGACATGGATCATTTGCCAAGTTTTGTGCAGCTGGGAAAAGGTGAGTGCTGGTCCGGTTGATGTTGTGCTGGGTGATGCGATGTGAAAGTGCTGCCTTCATTTTCCCTTCACAGGATAGTATTGTTAGGGTTCAGTGGCGATTTATTTTGCATGTCTAAAATGTGGTCTGAAATGGATGTTTGCATATTGTATGTAGATTGACCTAATATTGCCATCCTATTGTATGTGTATTGGATTAATATTGCCACTATATTGTACATATATTGTACGCATATTGTTGCCCTATTGGATGTATATTCACCTACTATTGCTACCGTATTGCAAGTATATTGCCCTAATATTGCCACCCTATTCTATGTATATTGACCTAATATTGCTACGCTATTGTATGTATATTTACTAGGGCTCGTAAATGGGCTCAGGGTTCGGGGCCTACTTCATTCAAAAAGAAGAAGAAGGGGAGAAAGAAGCAATGTGCCTTTCAGAAAGAGGCACTCAGTTGCATCACAATTACACCGTAATACGTTGTAAGAAATAATTTTTAAAAATAATAACTATGAAAAAATTATTTAGAAAAAAAGGATGGTATAAAGAAAAGCATGATTATATTTGGTGATGTGTTGTTTGTCTTATTCTTCATATATGTAATTGTTGTATTAATAATTGACACAAATTAATCTCCTAATCATCAAATTATAAACTAGTAATGAGTAAAGAAAAGTAAATGAAATGAAACAAAACGAGAAACCCAAAATAAACACAAACATCAATTTATAGCACCCTTTTATCGCTATGTATCACCACTGTACCACCATGGTAGCACCAGTTTATCACATTTTAGGTAGAAACGAATTATGCACTTCCTCTGTTTTTCAGTTTTGACATCTGTCCATTTTTTGACCTTTAACTTTTCAACCGATTATGCAAATTTTGTGTTCTTTATATGGTTGCATTTAGCACAGAAAAATGAAGAAAACTGCGCTGACCAAATGTAAAAAATGGATACAAAAACGAGTAGAATTCAGTGGAAACAAACACAACGTTTCAAACAAGTAAACTGTTATACCTTCACAAAGAGCAAGTATAGATCTGTTTATATATTGAGCTGTACAAAATAGTTCAACTTAACAATCTAAAGAATAAGTATGCTAACCACGACGGCAACTCGAAAACAAAACCCCAATTTGAGAACCGAATGAGAAATACATCCCTAGTGGTATTGATTAGACGTACTACCCAATTTGGTTTGACAAAATTAAAATGTATGCATATTCCTACTCCAAATTGAGTACAATTTATCTGCCATGTTTACAAAATGGAAACAGTTCATGTGCCATGTAAGGCAATATGCCACCGCCACCGACTATACAATATTACATTTCGCCATGTACAACATAGCCGCAGATAATTGAAATGATTTCACGTTGCTACATAGAAGAACTAAAGCAAATAGCTCTATCAAACTGGATGGATCACCATATGAAGCACCTCCAGCAGAGCTTCCATGTCTGCATATTCATATAAAGGAAAAACTCAAATAATTAAATTCAGAGTGAATTCCCAAGTGATAAGTGAAGACTGAATTCAATTGACAAACTTTATCACATTTATCTCATATATACGCCTCCCCACTTAAAGCCTCTATCGCAAGCTTCAGTTGGTAATATGTGATCTTCGATGGGTCAACTTTATCCACAAAAATGTCAGCACTGTGATGCTCAATGAATTTCACTATCATGATTCTGCAAGAGGTACTGTCGGGCCAATAAGTTCATTGCTTTAAAAATTGCTGCAAACATTGAATTTAAGGCACATTGCATAATGACGAACCAATGCAACCGAAGCAGTGAATTTAACACGTTCACATGTTTACCTGCAAACAATAATCTGTGGTTGTCCAATCGGTTTCAAATACCAAAGGATGGCAGAGTTGTTTTTTCTGTATGAGAAACGTCGCCATGTCAAGGCGCTAAAAGTTGAAGTAAATAATATGACCACAATTTAATACAAATGTACACATAACAAAGGTGAGAAAACAATTGAATTTTCCTAATGAAGTAGGGTTCAAATTCTTACCCTCGAGCTAATCCATTCGGTATCATCTAGAAGTTTGTAAAAAAACTCTGGGCCTATTGAACATGGTTCGAGCTGCACCTTCTAACTACAATAGGCAAACTTCCAATTATCACAAATACATACTTGTATATTAAAGGTAGCTACATTTTCTTATTGGTATATCATTGCATACTACAATAACATGAACATTGGATTTCCAAGGTAAAAAATCCTAATCTTAAATCGGTTTTCCAGGCAGTGCAAAACTCTATTACTACCTTCACATCGTGAATGGGCACGGTTTTTGTTGGATAAAAACATGGCGAGGTTGGCTCTGCATCCGGAACAACAATCGTCCTCTTCTTCCTCGAGGGATCGGTAAATGGACTTAACAATGTAGTGGTCAATTGCTTCTTTCTGCACCCTTTACCTTCCACATCTTGTTTTGCAACAGTGGCACTACCTTCCTTAATCGCTTCATCACCAGGTACAGTAACTCTTCCGGAGTAGGAAGCTTCTCAGATTCTGGCTACTCAAGAACTGAAGCGCCCATTTCTGCCTCTTGGACTTCCATGGCTGCGAAGGCTTCGGCTCCATCACAGGGGACTAGTGCTTCCATTTCTACCGGTTCTATAGTCGGAGTAAATATATTCATGACATGTCGCCTCCTTCATTCATAGGACTACCCACTTCGTCATGTCCTTCCCCACGTTCATTCAACCCATCATTTCATTTTTCCAACTCCTCTATCTCCAGCTTAAAATAGTGTTTGATTGAAGCGAGGGTCTTGCTGAAATCCTTCATAGACTTTTTATTTTTTTCACACTCCTTCTCATGCTTCAAAGACTCCTTCTGTACCGTTTCTTCCAAGTCATGCACAGCGCTCGATTTGAATTGGTTACCTTTGCCAATTCATCCTTTGTGGTTTGAAACTCATGCTTCAAAGTGCGTAACTCAGTGGATGAGAGTTTACCCTACATTCAGTTACAATGCAACTGTTACAATACTTACAAAAAATAACCCAAATACACCTACGGTATTGCTGTTGTATTGCCTATATATTGACTATATATTGATTATATAGCAGCGCCATTAAGTTTATTATGATGTATAAATTGCAAAAAGGTCTTGCTTACCTTAGAAGACGACGGAAGGGTAGCAGTTTTATGAACTTCATCATCTTTTTGATCAACTGAAGTGCTGGTTTTTTCTTCATCCTCATTGGCAAACAATTCAACAATTTCTTCAATGTTTTCAACATTGTCGCCCCAAGTCCAATAGGGTTGCTGCTTGTCAATTACACTTGGGCGGAGAAGTTGCACATCAACCTGCAATTTACACATACAAAGTACATATCAGTAAATTTATTATATTTTCATATGCATAACATTATCATTACAAAAATTAACTAACCTCACAGTTTTCGAATACTTGGCTCATTAGCTCGTGAAAACGAGCCAAAGTATTGCTCCTCCATTGTAGTATACGAGGGATGTGGCCATTCCCTTCGTGCACAACAAAATGGCAGTGCAACAAACTCTAGAAACACCTCAAAAGCCCAAATATATTTTGAAGAATAAAACATCAATCACTATAAACAAATTAAATTGAACTTATACATTAATGGAAATTTGCTCACCTGAAGTGCAAAGCCAAATCCTTTTATGTGGTACTCTCTTGGTCTACCACTTGCCGTTGTCTTTGATTTCTTTTCATATATTTTTTTGTTTTTGTAGCTTTTTGGGGCACTTTTACTCGCTGGTATTCTGCACAAAGTGTCCTCAAAAGTGAGGTATTTGTCTTCGCATATGAAACAGCACCCTATGGACACTTCAGAAACTCTTCAAGGTCTTTTGCCAATTTCAAATACCACATGTCAATGTTGACATGTTTTTCACTACCCAACAACACAAAAATAGCAAAATATAGAAATCCAAGCTTCAACACATCCTCCTCATCAGCGCAGTTGATGAAGGCTTTTTCTAGTTCCGAAAGGGTGACAGTTTTATTTTTGCAAAAATACTTCTTTTTCAATGAGCAGTTCTCATTAGTTGCAATCGAAACGAAAGGAAGGTTTCCAAACCTTAGCACTGTGAATTGTTGTGCTGTGAATTGTATCACCTTATTGCCAATGATGAATTTTATCCCGTTGACTTGGGAAACTCATATCACCCTTTCTCAACAACAAGCTATGGACAATTTGTACAGTCCACTTAAGGTCCTCAATGAGTAATAGATTACCACAACAATTGTCTTCGAACCTTCGTAACTGTTGCGGACTCAATTTCTCCTTAATTGTATTGATCACGGTCTTTGTATGGGAAAGGGACAACGCCTTTCCCTGGAACTTTTCGTCCTCAGCACACCAACATTATACAAATAATTTCATGCCGTTGAAATATACACAATAACAAGCAATAAACACACAATACAAAGGCATATCAAGGCAATAGGCACGAGATATATCAATGGTAATGGTACAATATAAGGGCAATAGAACCTAATATGCAATGCAATCGGAAAAAGATAAAGAGAAAGTTTCTACATAGCAGGCAGCCGTGATGCCTCGACATGGTGGTCTCGACCTCGGATATCTAGGACTTGGGGGTCGCAAAACAAGAAATGTGAGTGAACGAAACAAAGCTTTAAATGTAATTTATTTTCAAAATAATAACCCCCTCCGTTTTAGAAAGTAATGCAAAGCAACAAAATTTTTTGTATGCGTACATATATAAGAACTGATACTTGAAAAATAGTCCAATTTAGTATACTTATAACAAAATATAAGATAAAGAAATCCAGCTAATTAATACTTCTCACTTTCTTGGAAATCACAAACTTAATCATTTAGTCTTTATTGTAATACCATATAATCAAAACTTCCAAAATAATCTTGTTAATGTAAAATATAAACATCAAAACCCAAAATATTCTTTTTCTCCCACAACCATACCCTTTCTTAGTAGTATGCTTGCAAACATAAAATTTCAATAATTTGCAAATACCCAATCTTAAATCCAAACCTCAATCCAAAAATTCATACCTGTGCAAAGCAATCTCAATACACATGCTCAGAAAACTCAACCTGGAAACAAGTCCACAAATGTACCCACACAAATACCCATATACATATTTATATAACAAAAATGACTTTAAAACCAAGATATCCCATAATCCCTATAAACACACAAACTCAAACTGGACCTTTTTCCCTTCCCATACCACTCTCTTCCAAAACCCATGCCCGTAGGCATAGCGAGCGAGGAAGGATCCTCACCAGTAAATAAGAATAAAAGTGTATATATATATATATAAGTATACATATAGGTATAACCACTACCAAACTTGTACTGGGAAAACGATTATTTGACCACATGGAAGAATTCTTAATAACCATGTGCCTAGGGAACGAGCTGTCCAATCGGGGGACTGGGCTCCCAGACACGTACAACAGAATTCTCAATACTCATGCAGCTGAACTAAGTCCTACGCGCCCAGATTGCCCGGTCAAGGGCATACGAAACACCCTGCCAAGGGTGCTAAGGTTCCAATATATCCAAGTATCCATTGTTTTCAAGTATTCAAGTGCTGGGGCGGTACATCAGGTGGTGTTATCAATACTCCAATATAACATATCCCACATCCCAACTCATATACCATGACCATATCCAATTTCCTAAATAATCCCAATGTACCCAATCCCATATACATAGACATCCGGACAATAATAGCATCCATAACTCCATACCCAAATATTTATATATAATATAGATACCAAACTCCCATAAATGATACAAAACCAAAGTTATGATAATATAATAATTCCATAGTCCCAATAGTCAAAATAATCAAATATATAAATGCATGTCATTCCATTTTTGAAAATAATGATCATTTAAAAACAAAGTCCACTCACAAATAATTCGAAGCTGCTTGGCCCTGAGAGGGTCCAGCCTATTCAGCTCTTGCAACCTAGCGGTTTTTGAAAGGTTAAATTACCTCGGAAGACTCACGATCAACTGAGTGTTCAAACTTCCTAAATTGGTAGAATGGGCTCGCGGGGCCCACAACCTCCAATTTTCGATTTGAAATTTCCTATGGGTCCAACAAATTCCATTAAACAACTCTTGTAAGTTTGGTCTAGATCGAGCGGTCGGATGTAAGCCAATCGCACAATTGGACGGCAATTGATTCGCCTAACCTTAGAATCATTGACTTGGAGTATCTGGGACTCAGATTCTCAATCCGCAAGATCCTACATGATCCTAGAAGTACAAGGAACAAGATATTTGAAATTGGGGCCGATCGAACTGTCACGCCTCAACCCACGGATTTACATAACCTTGGGTTAAAACTTCACACCTTAATTATGGAATTTAATAAAAACTATAACTAAAACGTGATGAAACATTTAAATAAATAAAATAAATATTTCACATAGAATATATAGTGGAAATGACAACATCTAAAATATTAAAAAATTTACATTATTTTACAAGTTAGAACTATTCAAGAGTTTACTTAAAGAGTAGTTCATTATTCATCCACAAACTATGTACACAATACATTCTATAGATATGTCAAAATCATCACAAGCTCTAGATTTCAGGTTCAGTACCTGCAAAATCTGTTAGGGGGTGAGTGAAACCACGCTCAGTAGGGACATAAACCTTTTTTCTTTTTCTTTTTTTATAGGAATTTGATATAACTAAATTAAGTGACATACACAAAAGATTATTTCCATTACCCTATTTTCCACCATTATTTTATCAACCCCATAATTCTAGCCAAATTCCATAACATGATATAATTATGCCCTTCATGACAATGTGGCCATTTAAAACATCACAAATGCATATATAATTATGCCAACATTGTTCAAATAGTTATGAGTACGTAAACATCTAATACAAGGAATGTCAACCAAACAGTACCACGCATAATATAATGCTCACGAAATTTAATTAAATCAATCTCTGTAAAAGGCCCTCCCCAAGAAACCCCTACCTTGACACCAAAGATTTTGCTAGAAATGCTAGGTGTTTCCCAATTTTCCACTGCATTCACTAACTCAGTCTCCCACTCTTTTTCTTAACAATTCTACTTTTCTCTATCTCTATTCCAAAGCTTAGCTCAAAATTTTAAGAAAACACAAGCTAAGCCCTATATCTCCTCCAAGAATTTCATCACTTTACTCTCTCTCTCTCTCTCTCTCTCTTTTACATGAACTTTCATTAAAGGTTAGTTTCTTTTTCTTTTCTTTTTCAAAAGCAAAGGAAAATGTCCTACTTATAGTAATACTTAGGAGAGAATCAATTTGTTCTAATTGGTGGGGAGGTGATGACCACGTGGGAACTTGGGCTCCAACATTAGGATAACTATTATCAAATTGCCAACCTCATGCTAAAATAGAGCTTAGTCACCTAGGTAAAATGACACTTGGAGTCTAAAGTGTGTTTGAAAAAAGATCTAGGCTATTGAACTTGGTCAGAAAGAAAGAAAGAGATAAAGTTGTCAAAAACAAAACATATACTTACTGTAATATTGCTATTTTTTAATAACTAATAAAAAAATTATGAAAATATAACACGCATAATTTTATATATATATATATACACACACATATATATATGTAGATTTAACTATCTATGTTATGAACTAAATATGTAACAAAAATTTTAATTTCCCAAAATAATATATATTAAAAAATATGGGGTTTCACACGAACAGTTCAAACCTATCGAACTCGGATATCACATAATAGGCAAAATGTTTGTTCGATTGTCAAACGACAACCAATTCCAAATCCGAGCATACCGTCGTCTCAGAATGACAAAGGGAACATTTTAGGACTTAATGGGCTACCACAAAGTGGTCCACGAGCCACCACCTGCCGCCGTAGAGCGTGGGTGCCTTGAGTAACTCCAAATCGCTCGTCAATACCCATACCATCCCATCAAACACACTACATGAGCAACTTTTGTTCTTGGAACCTGGCCAAAAACTGACCAAAACTAGCCGAATCATAGCCAGAATAGTACGGGTTTGGCTAGAACTTCTCAGCCTAGAAACAGGGGTGATAGCCACCAATGGCGTCGTGCAACCTAGGAGAAGGCAAGAGGGAGGAGAGGGCTACCTGATACAAGTGGTGGCGCAGCAGGAGATGGTGAGAAACTTTGCCGGCGACGTCGATAGTTTATGCCGAAACTTCCAGTTGAAACAATGATCAAATCTTGGGTCATTGAGCTGGGAAATTGGGTGGGTGAGGTAGAGAAGAGAGAGATTGTTCTTTTGGGACCAGAATCGTCGAATTTGGTTGCCGGACGGGGACGATCTCGCCGCCCAAAGTGGCGGCATGGTGAGAGAGAGAGAGAGAGAGAGAGAGAGAGAGAGAGAGAGGAGAGAGAAAGAGGGCTGGCAGATTTTTAAAGTTTGACTTTGCAAAATTTACGGTTGTGCCACTATACTTCTACATATCATAACTTTTTCGTGAAAACTCGGATTTGAGCATTCTACGTGTCTACGAACTCATGAGAGCGAGCTCTAAGCAATGGTGCCACTATTTCCCCAAAATCCTTCCAGATTAAAAAGTGACTAAAGTGACCCTTTCCCAAGGCAAAATTGTAAATTCACAAATAAAAATTAGTTAAAGACAATTAAATTGGGTCGAGGTGTTACACAACTTATCTAGCTTGGAAACATCTGCCATCTTTGCACATATAGCATTAAAGAAGAAGCACAATCAAGTTATTGCATACGTTGCAAGCTTCTCCAAAACAGAACGAATTGCCACAAAGAGCAATTGTTGCATCAAGGTATGACAATTATGTGATTTAAGGCCAAGAAGTCTTGAATTTTGTAAAGATACAAGATTTTTTATATATGAAGAATAACCTTCAGGGACCTTCATACCATAGAAAGAATTGCAAACCGCTCCCTTCTCTGCTCTTGACAAATTCCAAGGCCCTAAAGACAAGTGAGTACGTCTTTCTCCATACTCGGGTTGCAAATCAATTTTGATTCCTATGTTCAATAAATCTAACCAAGCAGCAATCCCATATTTATTTTTTTCCAAGGATCTCCTGAAGGAAACTTGCATCTAATGCTTAGGAAATGAACTTTAGCCACAACCTATACAATAAAAACATTCAAAATGGCGGATTCATTTTTTTATACTAGTTGAGCTAAACCTTTTTCATTTTAAACCAAGTATCTTAGCCTAGTCTCTTTGAACACAAATAGAAAAAAGGAAAAAGGGAATAGATCTTTACCCTTGATGACCTTTTCTTGATTTGTCAAGAATGAACACCTTTGTTAGAAAGGCCTTTTGTTTCTCTTGATTTTGACTCCTTCACCTTTAGGCTCCAAGATTGGAGTCCTCTACGTCACCACACCAAATGCTCCTAGAGATGAAGAGAAGGCAATCAAGACGTATGGATGCTAGTCTACTTCTTGATTGGACCAATTTTTGGTTTATGGAAGATGAGATACAAATATGATCACTCATCAACCAAAGTAGGAAACCTCTGGAGGTTCGAATTTCGGTGGGAGGCACTAATTTGGATATTGGTATGTGTGTGTCTCTCTCACCTCTCTGAAGATCCAAAATATTGATGACACACACATCACCAACTTCCAAAATATTGTCTTTCTCATATTGGTGGCTTGATTGTGATGAGGAACATATCTCCCACTGATAAGATTTCATATATCTTGGGATCTCATTTGCATTTCTCTGAAGATTTCATTTAGTAAATAAGCCTAAAATTATATCGCATACGACTGTTTTCTATATAAACCATCATGTTTTTACTTCATACTTGTCATTTTGTTGATCTACCGTCATAGGCTACCATAATCCAGAAAATAAATCTTAAAAAGCAATACAAATTTCAGACGACGGTAGTCACAAAACGACAGTCATATAAAAGAAAAAGAGATGACGATGTTTTACAATTAACGACGTGGATTCCTATAATATTATAGAAGCTCATTGTGAAAAAACTGATGTGGTTAGGTACAAACAACCCGACACTATATTCTACAATAACAGAGTGGTAAATTACATTTACCACGACCCTTTTTTTATACAGACCGTTGTGGTGTACTAACTTAATATGTCTTGAAATAGTAAAAATACGACGTGGATATTTTTACATTTAGACGTCGTTATCTGTGCTAATAGTGCCGTAGTTCGCTATTACTCTATATGACAGTAACGTTATAAATACCATCGTAGTACATGAGGATGTCATATCTTGGGAAATTTATTTTACCATCGTGGTATATTGCATTAATACGGTTTTGATTACTAATCAGCCAACGTGGATTCCAGTAAAATTATACGACATTGATTAAGAAGAGTTTGTCGTGTTTAACTAGCAGTTAACACAACGGCAGTTTTGGTAAAACATCGTCTTTACTTTCTGCATCGGTAACTTCATATCTACTGTCGTTATTTTTGGGGTTAAGAGTTTACGTATGGAGAGAACATGTTTAATAAGACAACACTTCGTAAGTTTAAGGTGTCGTGTTTTAAAAATACCCAAGCAGATCTTGATTTTTGAGGTGTTTAAGTTACTTATCCACGGCGGTTCTCTATTATTGTCGTCTTTCTAAACACAACGATGATATTTATTTATTCCGTCATTGTTGTTAGGTCGTCTTTTTCCATTTTTGTAGTAGTGAACTGGTGGGCTTAGCTCACGTGGTTTCTCCTTCTTTGACTTGGAGATTTTATTTCCAAGCACAGCGGCATGTTTTTCTCCTTTTGAGATGGGGTTTTATTATTAACCTTCCCATTATTTTTAACTTCCTATCTTCTCTACTCTAAAACCCAATTTCCATTTTACACCCATGAGCCGTACCTTGTCTCCTTTTTAGAATGGGCACTACTACAAAAATCGAAATAGACGATGGGAAACCAACGTCATCTAGAAGGTTTTCCAACTGTCGTGAAATCGACCGCCATCTTTTGTACAACTAACAACGACGATTAATAACCGACGTCGTTAAGTAATTGAACGTCCAGATTTATTACGAACCGACGTGTAATTACTATATAATTAGCCTAAAATGAAATCTTCGACAACATTAGACGACGGTTTTATGAAATCTGAGACGTCTAAAGAATGTTACATGTCAAGATCAAAAGAAGACCTGACGTACAGATAATTATCCATGTCCCTAAACGAAGGAAAAACAATCGTGGTTAATTTGTACTATGTTAAACAAATAAAACAGCCACGTCTAAAACATAAACGACGACGTTAACACAAACCAACAGACGTTTAAAGAGTATTGCATGTCATTTGCCTCCCAATAACCACCGTAACATGCATGATATAACCACGTCCTGCACCTGGCATCATCGACACTTACGTAATTATCTACGTCTAGAACTTTAATAAAAACCAACGTGGTAAGTATATTCCACGTCTGTTACTTGCGAGACTCGTAGTTTAAATTTAACAAAGAAGGCCCTTTGACACAGTTAGACGTCACTTTGTCTAAATAACCAACGTCTAAAAGATTTAAAATGACATAATATTACTCAATATCGACATACAAAACTATACCCCACGTCGGTTTTTGTCAAAGGATGACGTTATAAATAGTATTGAAGGCGTGGATATGAAAATAACAGACGTGGATTATATATTCAACGTCCATGGTGTTAAAATAACGGATGTGGTTAATTATATCACTATGGCTAGATATCCATGTGCTTGACGTTGTAATTGCTTACCATGTCGGTTTTGATTACTTAATGGCGTGGTTGTCCTTTTAAAAGTTGCTTGTTTAACCTGCCTTGACGTATGTATGCTCGGAGACATCAGTTATTTTAGATTATCCGACGTGCAGAACATCTGTCACGATAGTTAATGGAACCGAACGGCCCTTATTTCGACCTTTAGACGACGGTTTATTTTAATGAAACCGACTTGATTTCTATTTCAGATGTCTGTCTTTTTGCTTTACGGTCTTTTGCCTTTTAAAACCCAACGTTGTTTTTATTTTAGACGTCTTTGTTTCCAGTTTTTTTACTGAACTATCGTACTTTATAGCTTTAACCCAGCTTTTTTAATTTTTGATTTGTCATGCCCAAAGCCTGCATATAATGAATATGTGATCAGAATTAAAATGATGTACACAATTATTAATTAGTGTCATACAATTAACTGAATAAGTAATGTCATACATTACAACAATCAATCAATCCATACATCTTCACACCCATCTCTAATATTTTCATTCCCTAACTCACCTACTAGGTCATCAAATGTGTCAACATTTGGTATCCCTCTAGTAAATGGCTCACACTCAATTCTAGTATCACCGACCAACCACGATGCATACGCTATTCCTTGAGAAAGTTCAGTGCTGAGAAGGACAAAGATCAACAGTATATGCTATTCCTCCTGTACTGGCTGAACAGATTTGTCTTCCCAAATCGTTCCTCGGTAGTTCTGCTTGAATACAGGAATCTGGCAGAAGCGCTTCACAATCATGCTGATGTAGGGCTTGGGCCTACAGTTCTAGCACACTTGCATTTGGAGAATCCTCTGAATCTGTCTGCTCCAGGTGCATTCTGGATGATCCAGATCTGGCTGCAAGTGTATTTCCCAGAACTGAGGTTTCCAGATATAGTTATGCTTGAAGACCAAGTTCTGGCTCTCTCTCTGATGTCGGCAGAAGTGCCCAAGCGTTCAATTGAGCAGTACCTGATGTTCTTCAGGCACTGAACCAAGAGGTCTGCAGCTCAGTGGCAAGGTGGTGCTTTGGAGAACGTATCCTTGGTTCCTGCCTAGATATAGATTGTTTGAGAAGGAACCTGAGGATGAGGAGGCTAAAGCTAACTTTAGGAAGAAGTTCCTGAGTGTCACCTTGTCGAGAGACCTTCCCCATGGCGGCTGGAAGCCTCCAAATTATCACTTGGGGGCGGAAGTTTATCACCCCAACTTTTGTGCCAAACAGCTCCGAGCAGGAGAAGGAGAATGAAAGAGAAGAAGAAGGAGATGTTCCTTCGAAGAAAGAAAAAGAGAAAGATTTAGAAGAAGTGAGATTTCATTCTGGTGGCACGATTGTTTTATATATGCTCCTCTTTTTCTAACTTCTGTTCATTTGTAGGAGGAGATTCATGCTGAGGTAATAGCAGAAAGTATTGCCTTGGCGCAGAAACAACAGGAAATCCCAGGGGCATAACTGACCAGCTCGGAGTTGGCCCTTTTTGAGGATGCAGAAGCAGAACACTCTATTGCGGCTCCAGTATCTGAGGGACAGGTAGAGCAATATGAATCAAAGCCTGTGAAGCAGGCATAACTACCTGTTGCAGTCCCAGAAGCTGGAGTGGAAGTGGCTGCTGCTGTTCCTAAACTTGTGGTAAATTTTTATTTTTATTTTAACTATGTCTATCTATTTCCTGCAGTTTTGTCCTGTCTTTGCTTCTCTAACTATTTAGTCTTTTCAGTTAGAAGTGCAAAGAACTGTTGGGGTTTTGCCAATAATGACCAGCCCTTTGAAGCCTCCAATTGTTGCTGTAAGTGCTTATTTGTTTTTGGATTTTCCCTTAGTTCCAAAATTTTGACACCATGGGGGCGGCCGTTCTAGTTGACTCCGAAGAATGTGAAAAGATCAAGATCATCATGATAGTACCTGGCATCAAAACACATGGCGGAAGCTAGAAATGGCCGTGGATCGGCCTCTACTATCTCTATGAAGCCTTCTTCATTCCAAAGGGCTAGTTGCTTGTGCAGAATGGAAGGAACACATAAACTCTGGTGGATCTAGTCCCTACCAAGTAGTGCATTGTAAGTGGTAGAAGTGGTGTCTATCACAAAGAATGCAATCTTCAGCTCTTTTGTTTCAACTATAACGTCCACATCTAGTATTCCAAGAGTCTTAGTGATGCCCCCCGCAAAGTTGGTGACAGTAAAGCATGTTGCAATTAGATCCTTCTCTGTTTTGCCCATCCTGCTCAGTAGTCTGTGAGGCAGAAGGTTAATGGCTGCACCTCCATCTACCATTACTTTAGGAATAGGAATTCCCCTAAAGTTTGCTGTTATGAACAGAGGTCTGAGGTGATTGGCCATTTCTCTGGTTGGTTTGGAAAAACAAAGCTGTTCTACAGCCAGTTTTGTGGCAGTTCCGCCTGTTTTGCCAGTAGGCATTTGCTGTTCTGACGCCTCCTCTACCTTGGCCAATCTGCACTCAAAACTTTCCTGGGAGAACACATCTCCCTCCAGAGTGTTTTCTTGCCCTTCTGTTGCCCTGAACTTCTCTGGCAAGATGAACACCATATTAATGCCTAAATCACCCTGTAACAGGCTCTCCAATTCTACACCAAAAGCCTCAGTTTCTTCATCTAGTTCTCCATCATACTCCATCTATTTTTCCCCATAGTGTTCTGTCCAGTCCTCATGTTCTCCTATTTCCAGGAGCACAGACTGGTCATCTGCAGATGGTTCATAGTCCAATTGCTGCTCTTCGTATTCTTCAGTCCAGTCTTCTTGTCCTTCTACTATAATAGGTTCGGATTCACATTGTATTTGCTAAGGTTCAAGCTGATTGACTAAGGATGAGGCAGGATGGATGGAAGGTCTGCTTGGAGATTTTGTTTTCATAAGCTCTTGTGGTTGATATGTTGTTTATTCTGCCTGGGGGGCTACTTCAGGATTCTTCCCTCTTCTAGTAGAACTGGTCTCTGGAAGTACCTGTGTGTCGCCCCTGTTTTTTAGGAAGGTGCAGTATTGCCTTTGAACTCTCCTTTTCTGAGTTTTGGTTAACTCCAGAGTTGGTCTACCGCTTTTTCCAACAGAATACCATCTGCCTTCTATGATAGTTGCCAAGGGTTTTTCATTCCCGGGCATCTTAATTGGTATTTCATTCTTGGGCTGCTCTGTCATTCTTCTGTTGCAGTGAGCAGGCCTAAGATAGTCCTTATGTCTGGCTCTGTCTTTAGATGAAGCCGGAACTGGACTATGTTGGTATGATATTCCACTTCTGTACGAAACGCTAGGTGTAAGCTGATTTTGTATGTCCAGAGTAACTTCTAATTCACTTTCACACTTGCACTTGCTGCACAGCACTACCCCAACAGAGATGGTTGCCTTTGGCCTTTGATTAGTCTCCCTTGTGGCCCTTCTAACTCTGCTGGTGCTAGCCTCTGTCGCTGTTTTACCTATCTTCTGGCCAATTTAAGTTGACCATGTTGACTTGAGGTTGGGGAAAAGCGTCTGTTGTAACTGAGGGAGGTTTCTCCGCCAGTTTTAGCCTTCCTGCTGTTATTCCTTCCTGTATGACATCTCTGAAAACAACACAACTGTTGGTGGAATGGTTCCAAGAGTTGTGCCACCTGCAATACTGTCTGCCCTTGAGTTCTTTTGGCTTGGGCAACCTGTGGAGTGTCTTGATTGCCTTATGTAGCAGCATCTCATCAAACAAAGCATCAACCTTGGTTAGGTAGAAGGAATAGACCTTGTTTTGTGTTGGTTTGTTTGGAATAAACCCTCCTGTGAACGGCAGTGGCTTCTGTCCCTTTGATGGCTTTGTAAGAGCCTTGCAACTGATGGGATGTTTCAACTTTGCCATTTCTGCCATTGCAATTTCTCTTTCCTTCGAACCCTCTGTGTCCTCTTCTGACTCTACCTCAACCAGGTGGACTAAAGAAGAAGGAGTTTTGTAATATGTGCCTTTGGAAGAGTTCCTCTTCTATTGTGCTTCCCTAAGCAGCTCCTCATATTTAGATGCTTTATCTGCTAGTTCTGCCAGATCTCCAAACAGCATCCCATCAAATATCTTTCTCAAATAGATTTTATGGGCGGTTTGAGCCATCTAGATGAAGTGCCTTTCTTCCATAGGAATTCGACATTTCATCTTGAGCTTTATGAATCGGTTATGAAGTCCTGAGCAGGCTCATCTTCATTCTGTTTGAGGGCAGCAAGATCACTAATGGTGACTTTTTGCTGGATCCTGAAATAGTAGTCGTGGAAAACATTTTCCATTTGCTCCCAGGTTTAGACAGAATTAGTTGATAGACTGGTATACTAGGTGAAGGCTTGTCCAGAGAGAGAATTCCCAAAAGGCCTTAGTTTTAACAGAGGGTTATTTTCTATGGTTATGCACTGGACAGAGAACCTGCCTATATGCTCAACTGATGAGGCATGAGGATCCTCTCCGTTGAACAAGGTGAAGTTTGGTACCTTGAAACCTGGAGATAAAGGTATCTGATCTATGTAAGCCGAACATGGCTTTCTGTAGGTGGGCCTTTCTCCTATTCTGGCTTCAGGCTCCATCATCTACCTGATCATTCTCTGTAGTGCCCCCATGTCATTCAAAGCGTTGACAGGGTACGAATTTCACCCCTGTTCTGGATGGATGTGGTCAATCCTGCGCTCCATTCTGTATGGCCTAGGCAGAACTTCCTCCCTGTGTTCTTCCTCTTCTTCAAAATTCGGATGATTCCTCCAGTTTGCCCTGGTCTGTTCCTGTCATTGTTGGCCAAAAGGTTGATTCCCCCTTTGCCTCTTCTGCGTCTTACTGGTGGAGGAAATGGATTGGGATCCATTCTCTTGGGCTTGTAAGGCAATACAGCCGGTGCCTTAGGCAGAAGTGCCAATGGTTGATCACGTGAGGCCACATATTGTGGAATAGGTGGAGGTTCTAGCTGATTCTGGGGGACCTGAACTGGTACAGGGCCTTCTGGCTGAACTGGACCCTCCTGCTCTTGGATGGGAAGGGCTCATCCCCTCTGTCCAGCTTGGATTTCTCCAAGCCCTGGTATCCCAGCTATCTGTGCAATGATATGGTTTTCTTGGTATGGCCATGCTAGTCCTGGTAGGGGTCCATAAGGGAGGTCTAGCTGCTGGACCAAACATCCGGGTTTGGAATTCTGGTCATAGCAGCCCGTGCTTCTTTCTTGAACTGCCTGTTAACTTGCTATTGCATCATGGCTGTCATGTTGTTAAGAGTATCCTGGCTCCTTTGCGCTGTGGCCTCCTGTCAAAACATAGCTTCCTGTATCTGATTCGACCTCCTGGAGCCAACCCTGGAACATCTGCTTCCGATACTACCATGAGTTGATTGTCTGGCATCACTTTCTTCTGACTCCAGTCCTTCCCGGAGAACTACTTGATCTCTATCCATGGCGTAGCGTGGGTTCTAGCTAGAACTTCCAATATTCATATACTTTAGAAAATTTCTCTAAGAGTATGTATACTGAGAAGTCCCACTGGGCATGCCAAATTGTTCACCCGTTTTATGTTTGCTCCTGTGATAGAAGGGTAAAGTTCCCCATTGCCTTGAAAACCATTGACTAATCAACAAGTCAACTTTCTTTCGTGTGTGAGTGTGCCACTGCTAGTAATGAAAAATCCTAGCAGACTTCGAAAATAGATAACTTGGACCCCAAGTTACTGATTTCTAAATAAGCGATTGTGAATTTGGGTGATGAATATCTCCCAAGTAATTTCTTTTCTTGCCTCAGACTGGTGAGGACTTCATAATTTTCACAGTACAAAACTGGCAGTTCTGGCCAGAATAAACGATAAGATAGTAAACTGTTTTAGGCAGAAGTGTCTTTTACAAAACTCAAGAGCGAGAAACCAACTCTAGAAAGGCAAAAAGAAGGCTGGACTTCCATTTCTATCTAGTTAGAAGCTTCTGACCCGGGCAGGATTGGGTCTACGAAACACCCGGTCAAGGGTGCCTGGGTTCCAACATATCCAAGTATCCCAAAAGTTTCCATGTATCCCAAAATCAGAAAGGTACATAGGGTAGTGCTAATAGCACTTCAAACTAACATAAACCACTACCAAACTCACATTCCATAATCCCTTTCCAACAAACCCATGTACCACACACACATCAAAATATAGACAATACACCCCAAAAATAGCATAAATCAATTTAAAGTGATCACAATCCGTAAATATCCAAATATGTTTCCAAAATTTTCATAAAATATTATATTTCAACAATTAAATATATAATCAAATCAATAATCAAATAAATCATTATGCATAAATTTTCGTCTTTAAAAATAATGATTATTCTTTAAAAACAAAGTCCACTCATAGATAATCTAAGACTGCTTGACGTTGTGAGGGTCCGGAGTACCTATTTAAGAATACAAGGACTATATTAAAATAAAATACTTCGAACAAGACTTCAAAATAATTCCCTAGTTTTCCTGGGATTCCAAGTGTGTACGATGAACGAGACATTGCTAAGGTCCAACTACGGGTTTCAAATGGTGAAATAGCCTCGGAAGAAGCTCGGTAAATCGAGTGGTCAAACTTCCCAAATTTGGTCAACTGGGCCAGCCGAGCCTACTACCTCCAATTTCTTATCCAAAAATTCCTACGAGTTCAACAAGGTTTGCTAAACCTGTCCTGCAAGTTTGGTCCAGATTGAGCAGTCGGATCGCCCGCGATAGCACGATAAGACGGTCACCGTTTTACCTAATCCTTGAATCTTTGAATCGGAGCATCTGGGGCTCTGATTCTCGATCCGTGAATTCCTACACAATCCTACAGGTATCTAGATCAACATATTTAAAAATGGAGTCTATCCAACGGTCTAAACATATCGAACCCGGATAACGCCTAATATGCGTAAATCCGATCGACTATCAAACGATAACCAAACTCAAATCTGAGCATACCGTCTTGCTCGAGACAACATGGGGAACATTCTAGCTTAAAAACCCAACCTTGACATCCCACCAACGTGCCACCTCCGGCAGGTGTCCAGAGAAATTTTCCGGCGATCGGAAAACTCCAAACCACCGGCCAATAATCATACCAACAGATCAAACACATCAAGAGGAGTAACTTTATACGTTTGCTTAAAGATCAACTCAACCATTAAGGGTCTCGAACGTCCAATTTTCTCGTCGAAAAACCTATTAAGTTTTGGCTTTGAATTCGACAATTTCTACTTGAAATTGGGTGGAGGTCTTTGAGGGAAAATACAAAAGAGAGGTAGGGGAGTGGTTTGGGTGTGACAACACGGCCGGTGGTGGCTGGAAATGGCTGGAAAATTCGTCGAAGGTCACGGTTTGACATAGCCGATTTTGAGCCTCTTTTTTGTTCAATTTTCTGGTTTAATCACTTGGAATTGAGGCTAGATATTGGTATGGATGTGAAGAGGAGAGAGATGAAAAAAAAATGGATCTGGTTTCGTGGCCGAAGAAGGCCAGATGATGGCGGAACCGTCGTCGGAAGCCCCCAGGGTCGCGGCACTGCAATAGAGGAGAGAGAGAGAGATATATGTTATTGGTCACTCAAAAATTTGACTTTTTGGAATATTTACAGTTGTGTCATCACACTTCTAGTGACCCTAACTTCTTCGTTAAAACTCTTATTTGAGCTCACTATGTGTCTACGAACTCGTATCGACGCGCTCTATTTAATGGTGTACTTCATTTCTCCAAAATCCTACCAGATTAAAAAGTAACCAAAATAATCCTACCCCCAAGGGTAAAATTGTAATTTCATAATTAAATAAATTAAATAATTTAAATGGATAATTAAAATTGGGTCGGGGTGTCACATCAAGCAAGGTTCTTGATGTGGTCTGCTCGTTTGGGAGCTTTGACTAGCATGTCATCTACATTGACCTTCATAGTCTTCCTTGTGAATTTAAGACAACCTAAAAAAATGTAGATTATAAAGATTAGTTTAAACACAAATTATACTTACAGGTGCACAGTATGGCAAATACGAGGTCATTCCTACAAGGATTGAGTTCAACTTCCAACTAGTCTAACCTAATTTGCTTCACCAAATACTTTAACTACTCTAATTATGTAAACAAGAAATTAAACACGTAGCATACTCACATAAACACAAAAGGGGTTTTTGAAAGAATGATTTAATTAACAATGAAATTAGAAGACAAAACAAGTAGAAAGTCACGAAACACAAGATGAGAAATTGAAACTGATAAAAGCACTAGGACAATGAATTCACCACTAGTAATCCGATCTAGCCTCTTATTCACCTACCTATTAACTAACCATTTGATGTCGCCACTTAGTTTTTCTTTTCCATGAATTACCTATGGTATTTAGGTTAACTCGTATATTCCTACATGCAATTCGCCTATGGTATTTAGGTCAAATATCAATACATAGAAACTCATTAAGATCAGTGAAAACCTCTAACAAGCATGAAAACCCTAGGAGTATAGTATTTACCCTAGACGAATTACAAATCCTAATCACAAGAAGCAAGTGACAGGACCCAACCCAAATTTCCTCCTTGGAATTCGTGTCGAACCCTGTTACCCGTCCGACAATGCTGGGCCCACTTACTAAATTTCAAACATCCTCTTCCCCTAAAACAAAGGACAAGAGGGTCAAGACTCTCTGTCGAAATTTCGGCAGAGTCTCCCCTGAAAAATAGACATTTACCAAATTATTTTCACCTGTAAATATCACAGTTTTAAAAACCAACTACCAACACACACACTGCAATATCACACAATTTACAAAATAAGCCTCCATCCTTCAAATAATTCAAAGCAGAACCACCAGCAATGCTCTTAGGTCAAATAATACATTAAACAATGCAAATAATGAACCCAAACAAATTTCTGAATGCCCACTGTACTCAACATAAAATAACTTCCCAATTTTCATCGAGCGATGTTTACCATCCAAACACAATCGCAAGTAGTTTAAAGACTCAAGTCCAAATCGTACATCAATCCAAATGGGTTTCATACTTGTCTTAACCACAAACACATTTTAACAACCCCACTTATTCAAACTGGAATATGAACAATCATTTAATCATGCCTCGGTTTCAATCAAGCTTTAGGACCGCCGACAAAGTTAAAACCAAACTCATCAAAAATAAAAGAAGTAAGACTACATCCAAATGACCAAATTAAAGTTCAAGAAATAAAATTTAGTCCACGACTGCACCTAGGTAAAACCCCAGGCTACCTACGTACCCCTTTGTGAGGGATCAGGCCACACGTAGTTCTTCTATCGACAATCACGATTCAGATAACATATAACCATTTTCAGTAATACTAATAAGTTAATTCTAGAATAATCTTTTTCCTTTAATTAAAATCACAATATACTGAACATAATTCCTTTAAACGTTACTCGTTTTCCCGATATGGTATAATAATCTTTTTTCCCTCTCCCTGTTACTTTACTACACGCCAGAGAGTCCAACGCCATGCATAGTAAAGTAACAATAACCAAAATGTCCGGATCCCTTACCACATGCTGAAATAGTCTAAAGCCATGTATGGTAAAGTCACCAATATCCGAGTGAGCACACACGCCGAAAAATCCAACGCCACGTGTGGCCCAACCAAACCATGTCCTACATGCGCAGACTGCTTTATCACACACCGAAAAATCCAATGCCACATGTGATAAAGTACAACATAACCAAGTGAGCCCACACGCCAGAAAATCCAATGCCACGTGTGGCTAGACCAAACCATGTCCTATGCACATGGACTGCTTTACCACACGCCGGATAATCCAACACCACGTGTGATAAAGTACTAACATGACCAAATGAACCCACAAATAAAATCCTTAATAAATCCTCCCGAAACATATTGTAAAATTAAATCATATAAAAGCATTTTAATATTAACCTCAAGTACTAAACCACGAATAAACTAAATAAAAATCATTTCAACCAAAACTGAACGCTCAAAAAATAAATACCATAAATAATTTATTTACTTAACTCAAGCCATGTATAATCCTTCAAAACTGTTCTCAACCAAACTCAAATATGCATAATATACCATTTAGAAAACTAGTAACCATAAATCATCAATTCCATATGACACAAATAATAATCACAATCCAAGAATTTCATAAAACTATTTAGAAAAAAAAATGTCCACTCACCTCATAATAATCATATCCGAAATTAAATTCTCAATTTCAAATTTATGCAAGTTTAACACATCCCAATGATATCATAGTTAAATCAATAACATTCAGTATACTGAGTTCAAACTTAACAAGTATCAGCATAGACCGAAATCCAAATCCATATCCTCTAATAATAATAATAGCATTAATAATAGTAACGACAGAGATAGTAACCCCAGTAAATCCTAGATCACATCCTAAAAGTCGAGACTAGCCCGAGCATCCTCCCACACACCAACAACTCATCGTATATGCGAGTGACATTCATAACAATTCAGGGAAGGTACATATCCTGATGCAAAATTCCAATTTTCCAAAACAAATTGTTTCCATCTAACCTAAATATATATATATAATAAAATAACACCCATACTTCCTTGTTGAAAACTAAAATAAAACCATAATTAAGAAAACACCAAATTAAACAAGCCTTTCAATTTTATTAATATTCAAAACACTATTCATATATTTAGGAATATACATTCTCTGAAAATCCCATAAAACAAGATAATAAAATCTAAAACACTATATCTTACACAAAGTCACCATAATCCTTTATAAATAACATTAATAGCACTAATAATAATAGTAATAATAATAAGCATTCACAATGCCAAAATTCACTTTAGGCAATGCTTAATAGACATCGGTAAAACATGAAATTGATGCTATTAGTCCCTTAGGCTTCGGTTTTATAAAAACTGAGACCATAGGGGTGTAAAGACATCACAACCAATATTGGGCAATTTGAGTCGATGCCTTTATATGGAAGTAGCATCGATCGATATTTGAATTGATGCCATATATCTTTCATATTGTTTTTTTAAGTAAAAGTTTCAATGACCAATGCTTTATACCCAGGTCAACTCCCCCAAAAAAATTTCATCCTTTTCCCTAAAAAAATTGGGGAATAAGCTGGTGTAATCAGCTTTCAGAAATAGTGTGCTGAAATGATCAGCCTACAAATTGTGTTCTAATATAATCACTTGGGGATGTGACATGACCAAAGTGCCCTCCATATAAAAGCAAATGTATCAACCCCTTAGCGCCTCTTTTCTGAACTCTCTTCTCTGTTTTCGCAGTTTGCCAAAAATGGGGGAACTTGAGGTTGCGAGACATTTTGGGATTGAGCAATCCAGTTCGCAACCCATCCATAGTCACAACCCAGATGTCCTAAAATTTGGAACCCTAGTTTGACTGTAGCGAAGCCGGCGGAAAGCACCGCCTCCATTGTTGACCTCCAGATCGAAGTGACTGTTGCGACTCCACAGAGAAGCGAAAGTGGCGACTTCCGGCGTCATTGTGAACGGAGGTGAGTTCAGATATTGGTTTGGTAGTGTATGTGTATTATAAAATCGTGCATCTCCTTTTCACCACAGAAGGGCAGAAGAGCTTAAATTTTCAGTTTGAAGGCGTTATGATATGTTGAAATTCATAGTTTGTGTTATTATCTGCAGTGAGATCTGTGTGGTAAACTTGAATTTTGTTTAAAATTGACCGAATGCTTGTATAATGTAGTGCAATGTGTTTGATAATGGGCAAAATAACAGCACACAGAAAAATCATATGTTAACTTTGTCTGCCCTAAAAATAGGTTTGTTAGGGTAGTTTTAGGCTCAATTTAGATGCTAATGTGGGGAATTTATTGGCATTCTGGGTTTGTTTTGGTAAAAAGTATAGTCTGTGTGTTTTGGTTTCCAATTTGGTAATTGAGCTTATACTACATAATACGTTTTGTATCACAACCTAAGCCTTTTGTTGAAGGTGTTTACATTTGTTGAAAACCCTTAGATGTTAGAGGGTTCATATTGCTGCCATGGTATGTTTATGTGAGTTTGTTAATAACTTGGAACCCACAACTATGTACAAAATTAGAGAAAAGACAGAAAGGAATAAAAGTTCCTTGTTGAAGCAGCTACAATTTGAGTTTTGAAGATTTTTGAGGATTTATAACATGATACGTGTAGTGGAATGATTGTTGTGTATGTTTTTATTTGATGGAATTTGTCTTTTTTAGTGTTATTCATTGCTGTAGTAATTATCTATGTTATTTGCAGAAATGGATACTGTTGGAATATTGGTATGCTACAATGGAAGTTGGGTTAAGAAGGATAACATTAAGAGTTACGAAGGTGGGGAGGCTAAAGGCATAATAGTGTCACGGAACGTAACGTTTTTCGACCTTGTTCAACGCATTTATAAGATCATGGATGCATATCCCACGAAATATATTGTCACACTGATGTATTCAGTTCCTGTATCCTCATCTGTCTGTAAGCACATAAGGGTTGAAGACAATGATGATGTTCAGTATTTTCTAAAGTACAACACAGATGTTATGGCCTCTAAAGTAACCCCTTTAGTAGCAAGCTTGAAAAATATTGAAGGTCATGGTATTGAAGGGTGCAATGGCATTGTAAGTGTTGAGAGTAGCAATGCTCCTACTAACTTTGTTGTGGAACAAAGAAATGTGGTAATTCGGGACAATGAAACTGAAAATGGTGGGAATGATTTTAATTGGAGTGATTGGGTTGAAGAAGTGAATGTTGAAAGTGGTGAAAACATAGTTGCTGATTTCAATGCACCTAGCAAGGAAGAGGAACCACACTCTGCTCCGATTTTGCACCCTCATGAGGTGCAATCCAAACCTCCCCGACAATCAAGTTCGACTGAAATGCACACAAGTCGGGCTAATTTGAAGCATGGTAAGAGTTTGGAATATATTCATTATGGTGGAGGCCTTTCGTGCATAAATTGGGAAGCAAATTTGAAGGTTGGCCGAGTTTATCCAAATAAGATTGCCCTTTTAAAAACCATCAGTTTAGCAGCAATTACAGGCCACTTTCGATTGAGAACTGTCTAATCTGGGAAGCGTCGGTTGTGTGTTTGCTGTTGGCAGCTTCCTTGCCCTTGGAAAGTTCGGGCATATAAAGTTGGATTACATGAGTTGAAGGTTGTTAAATACGATCCACTTCATGAATGTGATATAAGGTATGTAAGTAGTCATCATCCTCAAGCTACAACTGAATTGCTGTCTGACTGTGTTAAGTGGAGATTTCAGGATTCACGCAGCATTTATACTACAGCTGATATCAAGAAAGATGCGAAACAAAATTTCGGTGTTAGCATAAGCTACTCTACAGCGTGGAGAAGCCGAGAGTTAGCTTTCAAAAGAATTAGAGGGTTTGCAGAAGAGTCGTATTCCCTTCTCCCTTCCTATTGTTATGAATTGGAACGTACAAATCCGGGAACTTTGACATACATTAAGACTGATGCAGCTGATCACTTCTTATATTTTTTTTATGGCAATTGGTGCATGCATACGAGGATTGAAGTCGTCAATGCGGCCCGTGATTGCTGTTGATGCTACCCATTTGAAGTGCAAGTATAAAGGTGTTTTGTTTGTTGCGACCGCATTTGATGGAAATCGGAACATATATCCTGTTGCCTTTGGGATTGGAGATTTAGAGACGGATGCAGCTTGGGAGTGATTTTTGAGAAAACTACATTGTGCAATTGGTGATTGCTCGAATCTTGTTGTCATATAAGATCGCAATGTTAGCATACAAAATGGGTTGCGTAGAGTTTTTCCTTGGGCAAGCCATGGTATTTGCTTTTATCACTTGAAAGGCAATATGAAAGCCTCATTTCGGTTGAAGCAGTGGGATCCAATATTGGGGTCTTTTGTAAGGGCAGCTAAGTCTTATCGTCTAGCAGAGTTCAATCGTCACTTTTCCAGGATAAACAATGACCGAGTGTGAGCTTATTTACTACATGCAGACATCCATAAGTGGTCTCGGGCCCATTGTGATGGACGACGATATAATGTGATGACAACGAATATTGTGGAGTCCATTAATTTAGTTCTTCGGTTTGCAAGGATGCTTCCGGTGCTACACTTGATTGACGAAATTACAAATCTACTTCTCTATTTGTTTAGGCAACGTCGAGATTTAGCAATGAAATCTCATTCTACATTGTGCCCTGATTTTGGGGAAAAGAAGTTAAGGAAGAGGTTAGACGCTGCGTCAAGGATGAATGTGGTCAAAATCAATGATGTCGAGTATAATGTTCTGGATGGTGATTTGAACGGTCTGGTGCACTTGCAAAATCGTAGTTGTATATGCAGGAAGTTTGACTTGGAGCAACTCTCGTGCAAGCACGCTATTGCGGTATGTCGGCACTCGAAATTGAACCCCTACTCCTTTGCCTCTTCTTATTATACACGAGCTACATGGGCAGCTGCATATACTGAATCTATTTATCTTGTACCACCTGAAGGCACATGGGTTATTCCCGAAAACTTGAAGAAGGTCAAAATCCTCCCTCCTCTTTCTAAGGTTATGCTGGGCCGTCGCAAAATGCAAAGAATAGCTTCTAAAGGAGAGGAGTCCCGTCAAAAAAAACGCTCAAGGTGTGGTGTGAAGGGCCACTACTGAAATACATGCAAACAATCTGTCCCTCTCACCAACAAGTAGCATGTTGCGTAGATGTTACACTTGTTTAGTTTCTACCTCTGTTTTCGTCAACTGCGAAGTTGATGAATAGCTTCGATGATGCTGCAGGGATGGAAGTCGGTCGACTCAACGGCCATGTGAAGCATATGGAACAAGGTAACAAGTCCTTTGCAATGAGAGCCTATTATTAGTAGAAATTGGTGAACATACAGTGCCATCACCACAGTGAAACTAGCTGTAAATTAACAATGTTCCACTGGCCAATGTGTGTTTCAGATTAGAATTTATGTTCGTTTGTTATGTACCTTTTATTTGAAATTGTATTGAATTCGATTTGGTGTTCTCTATTGTGATTGTAGTCACATTGGCATAAACTGCTTTCCTTTCCCAGACAACGTCATGTATTCCTGTCTGTATATTCACACTATCGTCATGCAGTTGTCCATTTGTTGCGTCCAAAATGAAAGGGCCTAGAAGGCTAACTACAATTGCATCTCTTACATAAAACTCCTTCAAATGAAAATCTTATGCAATTACTATGATACTAGTAGAACTTCATGATTGCTCATTGTTCTCATTGCCATAGAACACAATATATAGATAATTTTTGGGAAAGTATCCATGCAGCTGCACATGGTCAACAGATCGCGATATTATCTATAATATCACGATCTATCGTGATGTGAACTTTAAATAAAAAACATTATTCACTTGAAGTCACACACACAGAGGATGAAACCCTTCCCCCCTTCTAGGTTTTGAGCTACTTAACCACAATGGCAGTCATCGCTTTTTGATTACTAACTATGGACTCTGGTATTTATAAGTGTTCCAACCTGTTTTGCAAAATAAAAATTAATTAGTTAGTGTTCTATATTGTTGCTCAAATATTTCATTACTTCATGTCATTCATTTCTGTCCAATTTAATCCATTTCATGTTATTGCTTCTTTAAATCGAAGGTTCATTATAAGTACTGAAATTACTAACTATCCCTTCAAATTGTTGCTTCATTACTTCAATGTCGATAATCCTTTTATTTATTTCCTATTTAATTCTTCCTTTCATAACTGTATTTGTGTTCCACGTAAAAATTTGCATGTATGTATACTGTCCGTGGTTTGTATGGAATCGATATCTTTCCGACCTTTCCATGGATATTTCCGTGCTTCAGAACCACCGATCTTTCCTAAACCCTCCATCTTTACGACCTTTGCTACAGTACCTCTTTACCATTACTCAGATGAACAAGCTATATTTTATGGTGATAATCAATAAAGCATCAATAAAACCACAATATACCTACCCTACGATTACAATATGACACAATACAATAGCAGTACATGCACAATAAAACAACAATATAACTACTGTACGATTCCAATATGAGACAATAATATAGCAATACAAGAACAATATAAATACTTTATGCTTCCAATATGAGGGCAATAAATGTACAATAAGCACACATCCACTACACAAGACTTTACATTTATACAAACTTACTAATTTGCCACTCAACCGTGAGAATAAGAGGAAGGCGTAAACAAGGCACCACATTCATACAAAATCCATTTCATGTCCACAAAATGCTTTGAACCTGTACTTACCCTGACCCAGCTACACAGACCCTACCAAAATCCAAATAGTTACAGGTCCATCATTAGATCCATGTCCTTGGTCTTCTTCCTAGCTGCATGCACAAGGCTATGATCAGCCATTCCTTGGCCACGCCTATTCAGCACCTGCCAGACACCAGCAACATCTATTTCGCTCCAATTTTAGTCTGGTGAGATGACGAAAGCATAATCTCGGAACATCTCGAACCCATTGTTAAAAGATTCAACCATTTGATGGTTAAATTCTTCAGATTCAGTGAATTTGTGCACAGCATCTTTCTTTGTTTCTTCTAATTTGACCTTCAACCAGTCTAAGTTTGTGCTCCGACTTTTGGCTTTCATTGTTTGCTTCACTTCTCTAGCATATGCTTTGTTCAGCTTGTTCGTCAAGTTTGCCATCACCTGGCCATGAATATCACATTTCGTTTCCCACCAATCTGTAGCTGTACACAAATATTGGAGGTCCTGCTTCACTTCAGCATTTGTCTAGTGGATCATTGTTGTTAGCCTCACTTCCAGATGACGTGGGATCTTATTTGGAGTCCTAGGAGGAGATGGGAAAGGGACATGCCATGGCTGGTCTCCCGGGTAACTGCCATGGTCGTTTGGAGGGATTACGTCTGACATCTTCAACTATGGATGGGGAAATTGCACACATGCACCGTGCAAAACAGTTAACATTAGGTTCAATTTGCTGTTTTTTTTTCGTAACCAACAATAGGGTGAGCTTTAGTATAGCTTTGCTCTCTGATATATACGAAGTACTCTGTTTGATATGGAATTGAATGAGTAAGTTAAACCCTCTTATATAGAGGAAGTTGTGTGTTTTATATTTATTTCAAATAGTACATTACAGGTCAGTCTGCACCCTGTCCTCCTCTCCCTCAGTCAGAGCATTGTAATATGCCCATCATAGCCTTACCAAATACGAATAAAGGTATGTCAACAGTGGAATAATCGGCCATACAAATATACACACCTAAACAATTGTGAATACACAAAATAAACACAACCTTACTAAAAAACTGTATACTATCTTAATATTCAAGGTCTTGACATAGGAATACTACAAATGACGACCAAGTTCCCTAATTATCAATTTACGAAATATACAGAAATGTTTATAAATTATTCAGTATTCCCTACAAATGACGAGAATATATTTTGTCCATATGAGAAAATTAAATGATACCAAAACAATCATATACAGTCCTGACCAAAATTTCAAGGCGAAGATAACGTAAAGTGGGCGGAATACACCTCAACATATTTGCAAATATCAAAATTCACAATTCGAAATTCACCGATATATTAAAAAATGGAACTCATATACATTAGTTATTTGGAAGACAGCAAAAAGGAAATTGGAAACACATATACATTCATGGTCCTTTTTTGTAAACCTCTGCATTTGTACATTGTCAAATGAACGTACTCATAAATTTGGGACATTTTGTACTTTTGGGACATTTGTACTTTTGGTACACGAGGGAAATTGGTCAAAGAGGACAAAAGGAATAAATTTCAAATACAACAAAGGTCCCATACAACAAACACCAACCAATAACCTAATTACACAAACCCCAAGTCTAATGTGTTGGCCAACAATTGGACCCAACCAGTCCCGCCAAAAATTGGAGCCAACAACTCCCGCCAATAACTCCCGCCAGTTGCTGACTGTCATTTACTCCTGCTCATTATTACCTCCACTATTTAGTTGTAACCCAGCTGTATCCACCCAACATTTCCATCACATTTAGGCCCCGTTTGGGATTGCTTTTTTTGGTCAAAAATCTACTTCACTTTAAAGTTAAGCAGTTTAATGTGTTTGGTAAAAATAAAATATCCTGATTATTTTAAAAGCAGTGGCCTTTTGACAACAACTTTTAAAAGCTGGCTCTAGGTTGCTTTTCAAAACTGCTTTCAAAAGAAGCAGAGATGAACCTTTAATGAATTTTTTTAAGGGAGATTCACTAATATACCCAATATGGGGGCCCAAATTATAAAAATACCCCATATGAAATGAACTTTATAAACACACCCAAAACTCATTTACAACATAACAAAGAGGCTTTAACTTCTTATAAATTACAAAACTACCATAAATTTCTTAAAACAAGCCCAACCCCAAAATCTCATAAAAATACCCAAAACACTCAATAGGGCATTAAAGTAATTTAATAATCAATATTAAATTCAATAAGGCCAGCTGTCATTTTTGGGGGTTTTTTTGGGTTTGTTTATAGAAATTCAATGATGGAGGGTTTATCTATAATATTAGTGCTAAGAATGGGTATATCACTAAATATCTCTTTTTTTAATTCCCAAAATACCATCATTCATTTTAGAAAATAAAACCACCTCCACTTCCACATCCAACTCCACCACTTGCACCACCACATTACCTCCACAACCACCGCCACTGCCACCACCACCACCACCACCTCATCGTCCTCCTTATCCTCCGCCACCACCACCACAATCACCACCTCCTCCAAAACCTCCACATCCACCACCACCTCCACGACCAACACCACCGCCACCACCACATTGCCACTACCACCACCACCACCACCTCCACAACCGCCCTCCCCACCACCACAACCACCAACTCCAACTTCATCACCACCACCACCTCCACTCCATCACCACCATTACCACCTCATGATTAGTATATAACACTTTCAACATCATGTCTATTTTAGTCATTATTCACAGTTACAACAATTTTATATTAAAATTTACCAAACGGTTTTGACACTGCTTTCTATACTAACAGCACTTTAAAAATATTGTTTACCAAACATGAAGCTGCTTTACTTTGCAGCTAATTATTTTCAAAGCATAGCAGAAGCAAATTTTTTTAAAAGTGACAGCAATCCCAAACTAGGCCTTACTCCGTCAAACCCCCTGCTTGCGCAACAATTTCACCCATATCACAATTACTTCCAGTTTGGGCAAACTAATGCCCACACCAACCCGCAGTACATACCCAACACCCATGGACCGAAACCCTACACCAAACCCAACCCTTGCCATTACTGAAGGAGGGGACACTGAAACACCTGCCAAATCAGCAATAGAAGACACTGAAGACTGGGTCCATGGACTGCAGCAATGTCGAGCCAATACCATGTTCTGGAAAAATCTCCATGCAGACATAGTGTTAAAAATTAAAGAGGGCCAAGCTAGGTGGGGTGTCATAAAAAAACCGCACAATTCGGGTGTGTTATCAAGCCCGGATGCATCTCCTACATATAAAGACTGTGAGAGCTAAAATTGAAAATGCCCCTACCACTGCAGTTATTGTATTCAAGGAATCTGACAAAATGGCTCAGCTGAAGCAAAAACAACTGGAATCTGGTTTCGAACTATTTAGGAAGTTTGCAAAAATTGTGGATGCAGAAGGAAAGTGGGACATCACTGTGGGAGTGGTCATGAATTTAATGGGTCGCGGTCGTCGTATTTGAAGGGTATGCAACTCGAAATGTGTCCACAAACAGAAGGTATGACTTGTAATACGACCATGTCAACGATTGTGGATAAACTTTGTGCAGTGGAAGTATGACGTGGCCTCTTTTTGTATTATGTACGTATGAGGTGCCTTGTTTATGTATTTATTTTGTATTATGTAAGTTTGAGGGGGCCTCTTTTTTTTATATGTATAATGTAATCTTCAGGTGCCATCTTTGTTAACATTGTATTAAGTAAGTTTGTGGTCACCTTTTGTGTTGTTTTGTTTTTTTAATATTTTGTTTTATGTAAGTTCACGCTGGGATGTTATTTTATTTTGTATTCTGCCAGTTTGAGGAGGCCTTTGTATTCTGATTGTTCCTGTTGCCTTCTTTGTATCAAGTATGCTGGAAGTTTTAAAACAGCAGTTGATGTAATTTGGATGCATTCATTTCAGATCCAAATTATAACGTAATTACCTTCCACATAGTTCAACTTTGTACACTTGTCAAATGACATTGCAAAACCAATACGGAAGACAGTATAAAACAAATAATTTAGAATAGCAGTACCAACCGAAAATAATGCACAGGTTACATTGCAATGCCAATATACGTGCAATATCATGCATTAGAAAACCAATAAAGAGCATTACAAACCCAATAAAGAGGCAATAGCAAACCAATATAGTTGCACTATAACACCAATACGTCAGTAATAAACCAATATACACGCAACGAAGAATTAACATGTACTGTATTTCTAAGTGTATACCATGCCGTATGTGGATTCCAAAATAAGGGTACGAATAACATTCCAATTGGATTAGGCCCTCAGTTTTGCCTATGGTAAAGTTTGATATGTTGTATAAAAACCACTCGCACATGCAAATGAAACCCATTGACTACAAGATGAGCCTCTTGACCTCTCCAAATAGCGCACAAGTTGAACAACAATTCATACAGAGAAAACAAGGAGATGAGTAGGAGGAGCCTCCGTAGCGGTGCGGCTGAGTCAGTGAGGTCTCCATGCCACTCTCAAGAGTCGCCTTCAAGGTCTTGGTGGGAAATGGAAGACGCGAGTTCAGTATGTTCACGGCTGTGCTACTGTGGGAACGCTGTCAAAACGCATACATCCTGGACGGTTTCTCATCCTGGAAGGAGGTTTCAAGTATGTGCAAGGGTAAGTTTATTTCTTTGTAAGTTTGACCTAAAATTTGGCATTTTCGTGGATTCCAATTGTGATGCTGTGCCTCTTTGTAACGGAAATATTGTTTCCGTTTATGCAGAGGAAAGGATGTACATTTTGGGAATGGGCTGACCCAGAGATGTGTGACAGATCGAAGCACATAATTCCAGGCTTGCTTAGGAAAATAAACCGCTTGGAAGAAGAAAGAAACGCTGGAAAAGGGAAGATGAAAAATCCATGGTTTTGGGTCTCTGTTTTCATGTTTGGAATGGTCATTTATTTGTTGTGTTCCAAATGTAATAGGAGATTTGTTCATCTATAGTTGGCAGGTTAAAGGTGGTTAGGTTATGGATGTAATGGAAGAGGTTTGATGAATATGGTGTTAATACTTTGTTCTATACTATAATTCAGCATTTTATTGGAACCCATACTCATACTAATGCTAGAATACATGATCAACTGAGTAATCTGAGATGTTCTAAGCTGTTTGATTTTAGATGGTATACAGATATTTTAATTTGTAGAGTCATGATTCATGAAGATAGTAATCAACCATTTTGGAAAGAAAAATTCATTACCGCTCTTCCAAACTTATTCGGCCATAAAAGAAGAACTGAGTTCAGCAATGAGCAAGGTCAAATTGATTGGAATAATTTAACCTAGGGAAATATAATTAGTACAATTAACCAAGTTGGTATGAAAATGTGGGTACCTATGAAAATTGGTCGACAAATACAATCTGAGCACAAATCTGCTAAATATGAGTTAGGAAACTTCTGTCAACAATATGGTCTTACGTCAGTACCTCCGTCTAGGAAAAATAAGTCCAATTACCCGAGTCACATTAGGAAAAGTCGTCATTACTCACGAAGAAAACAAGCCTTTGAACGGAATAAAGATAATCATGAGTTCTATAGGAAAAAGAAAGTTTACCCTAAGAAAAATAGGTTCAAAGCACCGAAACATAGTCGCTTTATGACAAGTGAAGACAATAGCAAAGTTAAATGTTAAAAATGTCAAAAGTTCAGACATTATGGCTCTGAGTGCATAAGCCAAAGATACTATGAAACAGTTGAAAATCACTTATGAGGAAAAAGACAATTTAATTATAGGTTTAGAGATGTGAGACTCTGAAACAAGTGAGATCGAAACACTAGTCAACAATTCTGAGTCAGAACCCTACCAGTCCTTTGATTCCTAGTCTAGTTCAGCTGGAGTCCAATTTTGTTGCCAAGATAACTGTTGTAATTCAAAATCACTTAGAGTCCTTACTAAGCAAGAAGAGCAAGAAGAGTTATTCAGAGAATTAATAAGTAAAGTATCAAATCCTGAGCTCAAATCGGAGTATCTCAAGAAACCAAGAAAACTCATTAGCCAAGAAAGTCCTAGTTCGTCAACTATCCCTAATTAAATAAGTCTAAATACAACAGTAGAAAAGTTTAGCAAGAGAAAAGAAGTCACCCTTCAACACCTACAATCTGAGATAAAATTAGTCAACAAGGAAATCATTGAGTTAAAGCAAATGAGTCATAAACTTGAAACTGAGAATTATGAAATCAAACAGAATTTAATTACTCGTCTAGAAAAGGATGATTCTGCGTCTAATAGTCAGTCTGAAAGTCCAACCAATATTGAAGATGAGCCATCTAATAAAGATCAAGCCCTTCAAATTAGTAAAACAAGTGAATTTTAGAAAGTGGTATTCTACAGTGAAGATAGTTGTCAAAATTTATAAGTTTCACACAGTTGCACTTTTTGATTCAGGAGCCGACTTTAACTGTATTGAAGAAGGCCTTCTCCCGACAAAGTATTATAAGAAATCCACAGAGTCTTGAAGTACTGCGTCGAGAAAAGCCTTACAGTTGAATTATGAGATTCCAAAAGCTAAAATTTAAAATAAAATCTATTTTAAAATTGCCTCTGTTTTAGTAAAAAACATCACCGATGAAGTAATATTAGGATTACCCTTTATAGGTTTAGTATATCCGCTCTAGGTTGAACATGATGGTGTTAGTTCTATTTATGTAGGAGAAAGACTCAAATTTGATTTTTTGAACTAAGCTTGAGTTACCTAACTTCAGAATCCTTGGAAAAAATATAGTTGCAAAAATAGTTAGTATAATTCAAAACAAAGATCGATAGTTGAAATCTCTTCAAGAGGAAGTTAAGTTTAAAATAATATAAATTCGAACATTTGAAGAACAAATGAAGTCTAATATTTGTTGTGATCTTCCTAATGCTTTTTGGCATAGTCTTTTCTCTATAGTCTACATTGATGCTGTTTTTATCTTCTCTGAGTCCATAGAACATCAATGGAAACATTTGCATAAGTTGCTTCAGATAGTTAGCCAAAATGGTGTAGTTGTCTCTGCTAAGAAAATGTTGTTTGAAACCAATGTTAGATTTCTTGGCTTTAACATAAGCCACTCCCAAATTCATCAAATTGACAGAGTCATCCAATTTGCTAACAAATTCCCTGATCAAATCATTGATCAAATGTCCTGATCAAATCTTATAATCTTTGTAATTGCCCCAGCCGAGGGTTAGGGATATTGTTTCGGCTAACGAACCCAAAAATTTCCGTCCAGATCGGATGAAAATAATTAATATACGAAAGTAAGTATTACACCGAACCACATAAAACAAAACGGCTACAATGTGGGTGCCCCACAAAAAATTGATATGGCTGCAACTTCGGCCAAATTAAGGATATTTTGTTATATGCCTATACAAAACATGTCAAGTACAGAAGGTCAATAACCGCATTGTCAGAAAGGAAACGTGAGTACAGCCCTTCTACTATGGAATACAAGAACTGGCGAATTACGTTACAGAAATGAACACCCTGCAACATACTACAAAATCACCACCTTTTATCGCCATCTGTACACAAAGTCAAAAATGGTTCCATGTAAGGCAAAACATCACATTCATTTTCAGGATTGACAAAACGACCAAACAGCCTGCAACTTCTGTGACATACATGTACAGAATCTGTGATGTCAATATGGGTATGAACCTGGAAGGACCACCTGCATAAGAAGGCCAAATGTGCCGAGAGTTAGCATTCATAGAAAGGGAAACTTGAACGTCTTAATAATTGGAGCAATTTTAATAAGTAATTCTATTCACCTTTCATAAACAACATGATACAAGTTTTGGATGATACAAAGTCGGAGTTCAGAACATATGCCATACTTAAATCAGATGCCAGTTGCAAAACATGTACATTACCATCTACGGTGTTGAAATCCCCAATACCCTAAACTTTGATTAACAACAATAGGCATTCGTATTCATAAAACTTGGAAAAGTTGCCAACATACTGTAAGTTGTTTGAAATGAAGACTGAAAGCACAACTCTGTACGTACGACATAATTCAAAGTAGGTAAATAACTAGGCAATTCTGAAGGCAATCCTTAACAGTGAATTGATATGAGGTCAGATATGGACTTTTACCTCATACATAGGCCTCTCCCCTGAGAGCCTCGATTGCAAGCTTCAATCGGTAGTAGCCAAACTTGGCTGGGTCAATGGTATTAAAAGGAATGCCAGCACTGAGATACTCAATAAATTTGACGGTCATAATGCCACATGAGGTACTGTCCACCCGAGCAGTACAGAAGTTAGAAGTGCACATACTGACAACATGCACAAAGTGCTTTAAATGAACACAGCTTACCCATCACTTTGCTGAGGAACATCGGAAATTCTGCAAATTGTGAATGGGTTAAACGTTGACATGTCAATCCCCTTTCTCTTCACCGCTTCAACCTCCGATTTCTCATAAAACCTCATGTCATACAACACCTTTGCAAGCGTCTGGGTAATAGGCTCCATCTGTCGGACAAGCATTGTGTTGGAGGTAAAAATAGTATACGAGTCATAGACAGTGGCAGTATGTCTGACAAAGTCAATTTCTACAGCCACCCAATGGGACTATCGAATATTATACGGGAGATAGACCTTGCGCACTTTCGTCCATGCTTGCGCATAACCATGTTGCCATGAACCGCAGACAAAGTGGTGTATATTTCTGAGGTAGTTAGGGGGAGGGTCAACAGTCGTTGAAGCAAGTTGTTTCCTCGTAACTCGTTTCGCAATTGGCGGTGTAAATGGCTGTAAAAATTGCTGCAAACAATTGTGAAAGACACGTTACATGAACAGGATCCAATGCACCAAACACAGCCAACAACATTACTCCTACCAATGCAACAAATTCAATGACACATAATATGAATACAATAATACCTGCAGACAAAACTCGGCAGTTGTCCACTCCGTTCCAAATACTTGAGGATGAGAGAGTTGTCTTTTGCGTATTAGAAACATGGCCATGTCAACGTGCTGACATTTCACAACACAACAACGACCTCAATATTAAAAAAAAAATGGACACATACTCAAAGTGATCAATTAAGAAATTTATCGAAATAAAGCACGGTTCAAAATTATTACCCTCGAGCTCATCCATGCAGTTTCATCTACAAGTTTGTAAAAAAAATCTGCCCCAACTACAAATGGTTCGAGCTCCAACTCCGCACTACAAAAAAATAAACTTGCAAAGGTAAATTCAACCAAAAAAAAACTAATGGACACCTTGCATAATATGACAATGACACACACACGAACAATTAGCTACGTAGATATTGTTATTGTACATGACTGCATACATCAAAAAACATGTATATTGGTTTTGCCAAGTTACAAATCCTAACCTGATGTCACTTTTCCAAGCCTTGCAAACTTGTATCATAGACTTCACATCGTCCATGGCCACGGGTTGTGTTGGATCAAAACGGGCCTCAAGTGTCTGTGCATGAAAACCAGTAGTCAGCCTCTTTTTCCTGGAGGGATCAGTGAATGGACTCAACAATGTTTTCGCGGGCCGCTTCAGTCTACATCCTTTGCCTTCTGCATCTGGTTTCTGAACCGTGGCATTAGCCTCCTTGTCCCCTTCATCACCAACCAGATTTATACTAGTTTCCATGGGAGGCCTCGCCTTGCGTCCCACCCCCTGAATTTCTTTCTTATTTCAATCCTCTAACAAATTTAACATTGTTTTACAAATAACTCTGTACCCTTCCCTATCTTCCGGACTAGGAAGGAGGGGATCTTCAAGACTAGGAACCTTCACATCTTTAGAAGTAGGAACCTTGTGAGGTTGTTGGTGCACTTGTTTGTCACCAACTGAAGTGTCAATTGCAGCGGCTTCGACTTCCATGGCTGGGAAGCCTTCCACAATATCAGCAGGGACTTCCGCTTCCCTTTCAGCCCCTTGTATATGCATGGCTGGAAAAGCTTCCACTCCATCAGCAGGGACTTCTGCTTCCGTTTCAGCCTCTTCCACTCTACCATGGACTGTTGCTTCCATTTCAGCCCGTTCTGTATGCATGCCTGGGAAGGCTTCCACTCCATCACCTGCAACTTGTGCGTCCATTTTAGGCCCTGCTGTAGTCGGAGTAGTAAGTTCATTCAAGGGTGACATTTCATTCTACCCTCTTTCATTCATCTGAGCAGTACACACTTCCTCATGCCCTTCTCCACCATATAATTTTTTTAACTCCTCCATCTCCAATTTAAAATAATGTTCCACTGAAGCAATTGTTAGGGTCAAATCCCGAATAGCCTTTTTATTTCTGTCACACTCCTTCTCATGCTTCAAACAGTTCTTGTCTACAATAGCTTCCAAGTCACGAACTCTGTTCCTAAGGCCCCGATTTGAACTACGTAGCTTTGCCAACTCATCCTTAGTGCTTTCTAATTGATACTTCAACCTGCCAAAGTCATTAAAAGACCCTTTGCCGTGCATAAAGTTATAATGCAACAGTTAGAAAGCTTACAAAAAATAAGAAAACTATTTCCACTTCTTTCGTATCGTATTCTCTACATTTTCACAACATTGGAAAAATGTCATGCTCACCTTAGAAGAGGAGGGAAGGGTAGTTGTTTCCTCAACATCCGCCTCTTTTTCTTCACTAGAAGTGCTGGTTTTGTCTTCGCCCTCATCCCCAAACAATTGAACAATTTCTTCATTGTTCTCATCATCACCCCAACTCCAGTAAGGTTGTTGCTTCTCAATATCAGTCGGCCAGAGAAGTTGCACATCAACCTCCATTTGAAACACATCTAATAAATCAGTGAACTTTTTACTTGTTCCTAATCATAACCTGAGTAATACAAACTGAACTAACCTCAAAGTTTTCATAAACCTGACTCATAACCTCCCGAAAACGGGCCACCGTGTTGCTCCTCCAATGTAATATTCGAGGGATGTGCCTATTGTCTTCCTGGACCGTGAAATGCAATGCTTCCAATGTTGGGAAGACTTCAAAAGCCCAAATCTGTTGACAACAATCAAACATCAAAATCTGTACATGTATTTAAATGAACTAAAACATTGTTGGATATGTGTTCACCTGAAGAGCGAAGCCAAACCCCCTTATGATGTACTCTCTGGCTCTACTGCATTCCATTCTTGTCTGCGCTCTCTTCTTCCCACGTTTGTTGGGCTTTTTTCTGTTTTGGGGCACCTTTACTCGTTGGTAATCAGAAGAAACTGCCCTCAAAAGTGAAGCATTTGTCATCGCATATGACACGGCACCCCATGGATACTTGTCAAACTCTTCTAAGTCTTCGGCCAACTTCAACTAGCGCATGTCAATAAGCACATGCTTTTCAGTACCCAATAGCACAAAAATGGCAAAATAGACCATTCCAAGCTTTAACGCATCGTCATCATCTGTGCACTCAATGAAGGCAGTGTGTAGGTCCAAAAGGGTGGGAGGTTTATTGCTACTGAAGTATTTTCGCTTCAAGGAGCAGTTTTCATTTGTCGCCTTCAGAATGAAAGGGAGCTTTCCGAACCTTAGGCCCGTGATGAGGCAAAAGTGTTGGGCTGTGAATTGTATCAACTTGTTACCCACAATGAATTTTATCCCGTTCACCTGTGTAACTGTCTTAGGATTAGCCTTCCTCATCAACAGCCCGTGGACAACTTGTGAATTCCACTTCAGGTCCTCTATCAGTAATAAATGACCAAAACAACTCCCCTCGAACCTCTGTAACTACTGCGTATTGAATTTCGCCTTTATTGTTGTAATGGCGGTCCTTGCGTGTGAAAGGGCAAATGGCTTTCCTTCGTACTTCTCATCCTCAGGAATCATAAGCTTTGCTTTACAAGCCATTCTAGAGTTCCCTGCACAACAACATCATACATATGGATCATTGGTTACCCATATTTCATATGTACATTACTCAAACTAATACTTTCAAGCCATTTAATATATGTATATACATATGACAAAACCAGAATTATTTTGAAGCCTCTTTTCTACTCTCCAACTCTCTCCACACTCTGCTATTATCTACATTCCTTTCTACAAAATCTATATTCGATTCCATCCAAAAACCAAATACCACCCAAGTGTGAAAACAATTTCATGAACCACGGATCCACTTCATACAGGGTTTTGGCGAAATGGCTACAACAATTACTCCAAATGCATCAATGCGTACTAAAATCTACTCATTACCATATAGTCATATACATGTCTACTCATATGCAATACAGTAGCACACATGGAACATCAGTATTGACAATTATGGACTCTGTGTACAAACTAGACACGTCAAAATGTTACTGCAACTGCAACTGCTAAACCTAGCTGGATGAACATGAAATTTCTAAATAGATACTAAAGCCCAAGAAAATACCATTTTCAGACATATATGAAAAGTTGCAAGCAAGGAATAACAACAAAATTTAGCAGGTTTTATAGCACAGGGAAAAGAAACATCCCACGCTAACTTACATTAGTATTTCAAATTCACATAATTAACCATTAAGACTGGAAGGGTGCAAACTATGTTACTAGGTGCTGAAACAGCAATGATACCAACAAATTAACTTATGCATTATTACTCAATAGCTAATTTAGGGCCTAGTGAGGTAAACCTGTGTTATAATGGAATAGCCATTGCCACCAGAATAAATTCCCACACTAAATATGCATCATCAAATGGAAGTGAAAACACGCATCACAAACGAACCAATCCCAGATGACAAATACCAACTTGAGGCACTTCATCGTCCACAGAGCAAAATCAATACACCAATACAAGTTTCATCCAAGCATGAAATAATTCATAGTTAAAATACATTATTATTGCAATCTCTGTAATTACTAAACTTCACAACATCAGTCACAGGTTACTGAAATTATCCTTCTCAAATGAAAACCATACAAATGCACAAACTAGTCAATAACAAATACAAAACCAACCTTAGAATCACTCGTTTTGTGCACAGAACCGAATTGGAAATCCCAGCAACACCTACAGAAAATCCCGATTTTTGTCTCTGACAGGATTGAGCAGGAGGAGGAAGTATGTGAACAAAGTCTGAACCGAAACCAAGATTTAGGGTTTTTTGAGGCCCTGAAGGAGCAGAGGAGAAGAGAAAGACGTCGATTCAAGACATGAAAAGAGAGGGAACTGAGAAATCGTTTAAGGGAGAGAACATTTAACGAAGAAACCCTCTCTTTCACCATCAAGAACCGCCTCACCAAACCCTAACATTGACTGCAGAGAGAGAACGAGAGAGTGCTGCTTAGGTTTTGGGGACAGAGGGAGACATAGAGTGGTGGTGGCCGCTGGGGAGAGAAAGCGCCAATAGAGGAAGAGACGACCGTCACAGAGAGCTGAGAAAGACAGAGAAGCCACAAGTGTTAGGTCGCCAATCCATGGCCAATAACTCCCCAATAGATATGTTTTTATATGGAGGGCACTTTGGTCATTTCACGTCCCCAAGTGATTATATTAGAATACAATTTGTAGCCTGATTATTTCAGCACACTATTTCTGAATTGTGATTACACCACCTTATTTCCCTTTTTTAAATATTTTTTTTTTTTACTTTTCTTCTTCTTCCTCACAACGAAAAATGAAACTCCCCCTCCTCTGTTCACTTTCTTTCTCCTGCCCTGCCTTCAGCTCCCTCTCTTTCATCTTATTCTTCTCCATTGTCTCTCTTCTCCTCTTCCTATGTCTAATTTTCTCTTTATTTATTAGTTCTATTTTTGAAATCATTTATGTTTCTTTTCTGTTTTGCAATTTTTTTTTGGATTTGCAAAGAGAAGTAGAGAAACGGAGTTAAGGAAGAGGGGCACATCGATAATGCAGTGGGTTTGTGTGTGGTGTTTTTTCTTTGAATTTCGAACAGGTTATGGCTGATTGGGAACGATGTAGTGGCTTTGGCAGATCTGGCGAATATCTGGTGGCTGGAGGAGAGAGAAAGCATATGTGGTGGGTGGGTCTGTTGGCTCTTGGTGGTTGCGGCGAGTTCGGCAAGTCTGCTGGCTCTTGGTTGCTTGGGTGGTCGGTGGTTGTGGCTGGTTGCTTGCGCTTGGGTACGGACGGAGGTGTGATAAGGAAAAGAATGCTAGCGAAGGCTAGTCCTCCATTTCCACACGGGTCTCACTAAGTCTAAGACCACCTAAGGAGGTGTTTTTGGTGGGCCAATATTAACAATCCCACTTAAAACTAGAACCAAATGAAAACAAACAAGGGATAAAAATTTGTCCAGTTCTATTCAAGCTAAGAAGGTGAAACAAACAAGCCCTTAACTACTTGCCTATAATTAAACCCCTAGCACAACACGCCTCTTTTCATCAGGGGACCACCAACAGTTGATAGTAGTGTCTCTTTTCAATTTGCATGCAACAAATCAAAGCTGGTCACGCATCCATTAAATAAAGGAGATGGGGATCCTCATGATATTCCTTACCTTTCATAATGAAGATTTCGATCCAGCAAAAAGAGATCCTCATTTCCTTACCCTTGATATGAATGTTGACAAATTCATGAATCGTAAGTCAAGTTTTTAACAAGGTTTTTTTATTTATTTATTATTTTTTATTTATTTTATTTTTTATTTTTATATCACGAGTATTCCATATGTGCTATTTCAAACAAATCATTTCTATTCTTATTCCTTCAAGGATCAATATTATCTCCACCTAATGTTGCACATCAATGTCATTTTCGACTTCAATTCCTGTGGGTGGGAGTGTCAAGATGAGTTTGCTTTATAAAAGTAACGTAACCAATGTTGATATGAAAAATTAGACGGAATTGATGTCGATGATGACATTGATGTACAGTGTATATATATATAGATATATATATCATTATTGAAATTGATCAAAAGTATTTTATGAAAATTAGCTAAGTATTTTATAAAAAGTAAATGTCTTTGTTCTTTTATTTTCATTTATTTTTATATTACTCCATTTTCTTAAGTTTACAATATAAATAAGAAAGTACCCCCCATTTGGATTCAAATAAAAATACTAGAAAATCAAATTCTCACCAAATCAAAATATGAAAAATTGATTTTAGTGCAAAATACGATTTAGGCTAAAAATGATGGTTTATTAAGTCAATATATACTTCATACTAAAATCACATAAAATTAAGTATTCTTATTTGATGTGTAAGGAATAAAAGCCGCTAAAAATTATCTTGAGAAAATTATTATTCCGAAAAACCATTTTTCATACATAGCCAATATTTTTACATAAAACAATTTTTCATGTATGATATGAATGCATGAAGGGACCTAAGGTTAATATAGGTAAAAAGCCTTAGGTGTTCAATCTACAAAGAGTTTTACAAGAATAACCTAACTCCTACATATTGAAGAAATATTTGCTTGAAAAAGCTCCCCCTAAGACAGTACTCATAAGGGTCCAAAGTTTGAGAGCTAGAGCCTAAAAGAAATGCAAATAAAGCCCAAAATCAAAACGACAACGTACCTAAAAAATAACGTAAATGCCCTAAAATGAGCAGGATTGCGCTAATATATGTCTTAGGTCGAATAGGATGAGACGCCTTTGGAGGCGAAGAGTATTGCGCTAATTTTTTTGGTTATTATCACATTCTTAGAGATATTTCTAGTTTATTGCAGTGTGTGTCTATTTTTTGAAGTTGATGCAATTCTCTTTGATAATGAACATCAGTATTTTGTATGGTTTTATCTATTAACTATGAATTAGAATCCTATTGTTTCATTTCGATGGGTCTATTTTGGATAGAATTTTTTTAACCTTTTACACATTGATCCCAGAATGAAATTTTCTGAATCCGCCACTAGTGTCAAAGATAGTGTCCTGCATACTGAGCTATATATGTGCAAGATATTTGCATGCCATTTTTGTTTTTCTTTTACTTTTAAATTTCACCTTAGCAGTTGTGTTTTGTACCGACAGGAAATGTAAGTTGCACTTTTGTTCACATCAAAGTCATTTTCCAATTTTCTGTCCAAAAAAAGAAGTCATTTTCCAATTTGATGATAGACGGTGGTTGCTTTCGAAACTGAAGAAAAAGAATGTTTTACTTTTTTTTTAATCACTAATTTACTATTCCAGCAAATATATAACGTAAGGAAGCTACTCTCTTTTTGCATAGTGCCTCCTTTTCACAAAGAGACTGAAACGTAGTCATCTACTGAAAGGCCCATATCCTACTCAAAGTAAATCACTTCATTTGTCATATACACTTCAGATAAAGACTACACTGCTCAAGGAAGAAGACAGATAAATGATAGAGGTGTAGAGAGAGAGAGAGGGAGAGAAACTATATATTAAAATCTAGGAAATATTCACTTTCGGTCCATGTAGTTTGTTAGGATTTTCTATTTTGGTTTATGTGTGATTTCAATTTGGCGCAATTTGATCTTTGTAGTTTAATATCCATTGCAATTTAATAACACATCCAGAATTCCGTCAAAATACAATTCCACGTGAGCCGTGGCGGACTTATAGAGGCGCAAGGAGGTGATGCACCTCTTCTTGCCGAAGCAAGCGTTGCTGGTGTCGGAAAGTTGCCCCTTTGCTAAGTCTGCTGCGCACTCCACCTGTTCAACAAAAGTCCTCCAACAATTCCTTTCTTTTGCTGCGTTACACTGTGCATCCGTGCAGCACACGTGTCTATATATATTTTTAAATTCCTAGCTAAAACGACTTCATTTTGGACCAGAAAAAAATAAATAAAAAAAAACCATACTATAGACGGAAAAAAAAAAGACGAAACTCCTTCAATAAGGAGAGTTCACCTTTTTTATTATTAATTAAAAAATTATTATTATTTCTTTTATTTTATTTTTTAAAACAACAAGAAGTTCCTTTTTGAGACATTCTTTCCTTCCCCATCACACCAATCGAAGTCCTCGTAAAAAGATCATCAAATTCATAATTATTTTTAACATCTGGTCTTTTTTTTTCCTCCTTTTTTTGTTTTTTGTTTTTTGTTTTTGTTTTGAGAGTATTCATTCTTTTATAAAAACTGATTCATTGATCAAGTCTTGTGTCAAGAAAGAAAATATTGTATCGATCAAAGGAAACGTCGAACCAGTTTTGTTTTTCTTTTAATAATATGTTTTTATATTATTTTATTTTATTAATTTGACTCTCTCTGTATTTGTATGATCATTGGCTCTCTCTTTATTTTATCCACTCTTGAAAATATAATGTGATGTTTTCATGATATGAAACCTCGTCGGCAACAATTTTTGGTTAATTGTAATGTTATTTTTTACTATAAATTACGAATGACATTGGTATTGTTTAAATTATAAGGATATTTGGTTGTTATTTTTTTAAAAAGCTTTTAGCCTTTCAAAAGTACACCTCTGTCGAGAAATTTCTGGATGCGCCAGTGCACATGAGGGACATGTGCTTACTCCGTCACGAAATTAAATAGAGTTTATATATCTTTGAATTGCGATGGATATCAGACAATAAAAGTCAAATCATCATAATTAAAACCACATAAACTAAAATGGAAACAGACTTTAGGACCAAAGACAAAAGTTACTCTCAACCCTCTTCTTAAGTTGAAATTTATCTCGTATATGCTCATTAGTAATGCTATTTGAACACCCCTATTCCCATTCTCTTTGATTAAACAAAAAGTAAAAATATCAAATATTATCAACCGATTGACCATTGATTTTCTTTTTCTTTTTCGAAAGAATATTTTTTATTAACAATGTTTTTCATAAGAATCTTGACGGCACTAATACTGCTGATGGATATAACGCAAAGTAGAAAATCAACTTCATCTATCCATATACTTAACTTGGTGGTTGCATGCATCGTTAATTTAATTAATCAAAGTGGTATGAGAATCCCATCCCCACCCACAAAGGTTTATTTATTTTATTACTTTGAGAATCTCACCCCTATGAATATAGAATATATTGTTGCTACTTTGTTTACTATATTATTGTTACTGTTTTTTTCTTAAAATATTTTATTGCTACTTTACTTTCACCTGGCTGTTTTATAATTCATAATGATATGCTACCTTTTAGTATTTAATTGAGAACTATAGTTCAAGAAAGAAAGGTAGTCTAAGTAAGATAGATTCTTGTCTATGTGTGACAAGCAGTGGCGGAGCCAGGATTGTATGAGTGGAGGGGCCGAACCGTAATACAAGTATAGAAAAAAAAATTCAATCTTACATCAATAATATATATATATATATATAAGAAAAAATGGATATTTTTTAGAACTTTGTACTTAATTTCATGTATCAAAACGGAAAAGTCTACTGATAAAATCTCATTTCCCTTTAAACTATCTATTTTCTATTCCCCTTTTTTTTTTGTCAAACTATTTTCTATTCCCTTGGTTCATCGGTTTGATTATTAGAGGATTAATACTTCCTTTTTTTATGTTAGTTGCGCAATGGGCCTACAAACAATTTACATATAATGATAAATGAAGTTATTTATGGATTGCAATTGGGGGGGGGCCATTAGAATGGTTATATGGTTTGCATTGTTAAATATATGAACTAAAACCCAAGCTTTACTGCGTTGAGAACAAATTGTGGAGGGGCCAGGGCCACCTCAGGCCATAGAGTACCTCCGCCACTGGTGACAGGGCTCCAATTTTTGTATGGCATTGTTTTTATAAAGTTGAAATTAAAGTTTATGATACTTCCTCTCGCTCAATTTACCTCATGTTCGAATTTCATGATCATTTCAAAATTCACATCACCTTTAACAACACAATGACCCACATTTAAAAAATTATTCATGTGTTTTGGAACAACAAACCTCTAATTAATCCAACACTTTCCTTCAATAAAATGTTTAATTATTCTAGTTGATGACTTATTTGTTTGTTTTAGTTCAATGGAACTTATATTTAAGCCAAAATGTCAAGTTTTTATTATTATTTATTTTTAACTCTGGACCACTCAAAAGTCAAGACCGGCCCTTCCCTCACTGCAAAGAGTTTCTAACTTGTCGTTGTGCAAAGATAACTTTCATGTGTCGAAAATGGAATGACATATAGTAGCTGTGTCAAATAACTAATGACTTAAAAGAAGAAGAAGAAGAAGAAGATAAAGCCTTATAGCTACACTTGAAAATTGTTGTTAGAGTTACTATCATTACCATTCGAGTCCCTTTAC